TATATTAACTAGAAGCTTAGGTAGTACTTAAACGCCGAACTGCTCTACGCCGAACCTATATAGATGCCTATCGAGGAGGACCGGAATATTAGAGAGCACGTTCTCGCCTTGAGCTCTAATCTTGTAATAGTTCTACAAATAACAGAATTCGTCTATTACGCTCCTTATAATCGGTATATATACGAAGAGCATAGCGATCCGGTCGTACTTATTGTTAGATAGAAATGCCCCTTACAGATAGAGCGCAAGGAAGAGTTTACGGAGACTAAAGAGAGCCTTAGCCGACTAGCCCTAGATAGTCTTAATCCTCTAATTTATGCGGCTTGTACTATAGCGCACCATTTCGCTAAAAGTTAGTTCTATTAGCGCGATATCCTCCGCGGCCTCTTTATTATACTCGCTATTAAGAGTGCGGCGGATCGTAATATAGGCGTTAGTAGCTATAGTAGTCTCTAGTCTACGGTCGGATTGTAGGATTAGCGGAGCATATCCGAGCGTTTTAATAATCGAGACATATTAGGCTATAACTAAGACTGTAGTGCGAGCAGTAATACTAACGTACATCTATTTAATTATTCGTAAGAACGTATTAACTACGCCGTAGATTTAGAAACCCTAGAGTTCGAAGGAGCAGTATACATCTATAGACTAGGAATAGTTCGGTCCTAGAGACGGCTAGCTAGCCCTAGATTCAAGGCATTAGCTACGTAGACTAGTAGATTTGTGCTATATATACTATTGGCGTCTTATACTCCGACGCCGCCTCTCGATGCCTACTAGGTTAATGTCTCTAAGTACTCTGTAGATACGATTACGGCCGACAATATTGTAACTCTAGCGTAGGTACTAGTAGAGATTTCGTCGTCTATAGTTATTAATTCTCTTATATTACAGCTCGGCCTATAGAATATCGTAGATACCGAGCAGGTATTCCTATTCTATACTCTTAGGGATTTGTTTATAAAGCTAAAGAGACCTCCTAATGTCGCGAAGCCGTCGGAGCCTAATATTAATACCGTCGTCTTAAAGATATCCTTAAGCTTTAGTATCGGATACCTACGCATAGTAGAAATAGAACTTAATACGTTCCTCGAGGATTGCGATATCGTATATATAGTAATTCGATGCTCGGTTCGGAGAGGTTACGCCCTATGTTTTTAGACGTAATCTAAATTAAGAAAGCCTAATACGTGTTTCGAAATTGTCGTAAAGTGCATTAATAATGTCCTAATGCGTCGCGCTACGGTCTATCCGAGTTTCTATCTAGGCTCTAGCGAAGTCAATATTAATAGGGTAGCGACTAACTATTATAAACGAGTATTCGCGTAAGCTTCGAAAAGAGTGTCGAAGAGAGCTTAGTAATAACTAAATGCAACTTGTCTATACTAATGCTACCTGCTCTATACCGCGCTTAGGATCTAGATTAGCGAGTTAGCGGACTACTAAGAAAGTGATTCTATTTAGTATAGCGTATAGCGCCTAGTAATCTTAAAGCATACTCTAACGTACGTAATCTTGTTATATAGTTAGGGCGAAGGCGCGAAAGGCTTATATCCCTAGCCGAAGGCTGTCTACTATAGGATCAATCTACTAGCGATAGGCGGCGGTGCTACGCCGTTAGCGGGTTATAGCTAGATTAGCAAGGGGTAATAGAATCTAGGTATTAAGAAGCGTAATAGTTGCTGTGCTCGCATTGCCTCGTAAGCGTTCTTTATTGTGTTTCTAAAGCCCGGCTAGGCTTTACTATACTAATGCTTATTACTAAGTTACTTACTTAGTATGCTACCCGATCTTGATTCTCTATATTACAACTACCGCGATAAACCCGAAATTGAGTATTGCGGTACTCCTCCTATATCCCCGGACAGTGCTTAGCATTACGTAATCGACCTTTATAGTCTATCCCGCTCGAAATCGTACGTCTTATCGGACAGCTCGTATCTATAGTATTAACAAGCTGCTAGGCACATCGAAGGCTTACGGCTACTAGAGAGTAGACAGAATGAGCGTATTAATGTCCTACTACGCTAACTTAGCTAGGGGTTAAACGTCGTATACCGACCTTGCCGTACCCTATCTTACGATCCCTCTAAGTCTAACTCGTACGGTATATTAGCGTTCTTCTCTCGATAGCGGCTAATATACCGGTAGTAACGTCGAGTATCTCGGTTTCCGCTCGGTTAAGATTATACGCGATATAGTTGCGGATAGTAAATATATTATAGTCGTCCTATACCGGCGCGGCTTTCGAATCTATCGTTTTACGATAATACTAGGATTAGTATCTCGCGGCTCCGACCCTCTAAGTACCGTTATAGCGATGTATAGGAGGAGGATATTAAGTGTTGCTAATACAGATCTAAGCGTCGCCGAGAGGGTAAAACTCCGTAGACATCCTAGCAAAAGCATTCGAGGACTGCGCTTAAGAAAATAGTAGGGCTAATTTCTTCTACGCTCCGAGTAACGAGACTAAAAACTCCGACGTGCGCTAGTAGTATATTATATCTTCTTATCGTAATCTATAGCTAAAACTAGTTTCTCCTTTAGTAGTGTAAGCAACAGGCCCTCGGGCTGTTACTAATGCGATAGCGCTAAACATATCCGTAATCGCTTATCGATACAGCTTAAAGACTAGCCGAGCGGGCGTAGAACTACCGTTATTGCGAGGTATCGATTCGAGTTGTAGTAATAGACTTACTTAGTATTAGACTTTATAAGAAGTGTTGCGCTAAGGCGAGATAGGGGTTCGAGAACTTTTATTAACTTTTAGCTAATTAGAGCGCTTCGCTTCTGCTTTGAAAACACGGCAAGGACTTGTATATATAGAACAAGTCGTAAAGCTAATTAGATACTACTATACTTAGTTATAGGCACGACGTTCCGCTAAAGACTATATATTCGGCGCTTCCCTTCGACGCGACTATAACTACGAACAAGCCTTAACAAAGCCCGCTATTAGATTTAAGAAGCATAGATTTTAGCTAGGTATAAAGTAGATACTACATCTAGTAGTAGTACTTGCCGCGGTGAACGGTTCTAAAAGTTGTTAAAAGTTGAAGAGAAGGTACTGTTTTAAGAGGCAAGGTAGTGCCCTATCGCTACGATACGATATATCTAGAAGGCTAATCGTGTCTAGATTCAAGGCGGTGCTCGAATCTATAGGAACAGATACTAGGATCGCGGGTAGTAATAGCAGCATATATTAAGCGTAAGGGTCCCGATATAGCACGTCTCGCTACTACCGATATAGAGCTAGATTAGCTTTATTTAATTGAACCCTCTCCGATAGCTTCTAGTAGCTAGAGCTTAGCTTTTGTCTTAGTGCTAGGCATTGTAGCCTTTTAGACTAACGATATTAGCGTGCCTATTACTCCTTGTTAATACTACGATCGCTGCTTTTAATGCTATCTTAGACTTCGAGCGAGTATTAACTTCGACAACTTTTAGCAACTTTTAGCAACTTTTAGTATCCCGTATGTCTCGTGTTCTGCTTGTCGGGGCCGTACTATTTTACTTCACGCTTTCTATAGCTTTAGCTATAACGTGCTTCCGTTCTTCTATCTCGCTTTAAACGCGGAAGGTCCGTATTCTAACTCTATATCAAGCTTTAGCAACTTTTATCCTCCTTGTCCTCGAGTATAGGAAGATTCTACTGTCTCTAGGTTCTTATACTATCTTTTAGTATCTTTCGGCATCTTTCGGCATCTTTTAGAATCTCTATATCCCTAATAATTAGAGGGCTCTATAAACTCGTATTACGCTTAAGGTTAATAGATCCGCCTTCTACCTATCTCTTTGTCTTCTTAAGCCGACTTTTAGTAACTTTTAGCAACTTTTAGAACCTCTATATCCCTAATAATTAGAGTATTCTGTAAACTCGCATTTCGTTTAAGGTTAATAGGTTCGCCTTTAGCCTACCTCTCTATCTTCTTGTGCTAACCTTTAGTAACTTTTAGCAACTCTTAATATCTCTATGCGCTCGAGGATCGGAAGGTCCTACGATCTATAGGCTATAATATCAACTTTCGGCAACTTTTAGTAACTTTTAGTAACTCTCCGTAGGTCTAACTAATATCTAGCGTTCTATAATATCGCTAATGCCGATATATCTTCTATTGCTGTCGCTACTATCGTTATTCCTATTATTTCTACCTGCTCGGCCGCGAAGACGAGAACAGACAAGAAATCTATATAGCTTAACTTTACTTTGTGATTTAAAGTTAAACACTAATATTTACGATACTCGATATCTTCCGCTACAACTATTAATTTGCGTTCTAATTACAGTCAAAATTTCCCTATCGACGTAATAAAGCCTAGCGCTTATATACAGAACAATCCTACTAAGTCGACCTCGCCGTCGCTATTACTACGAGTATGCCTATAAAGTCTTAGCATTACGTCCTACCCTCTACCTATCGAAAATTGCCGCTACTACTACTAAGACGTCTTAAACCTACTACTAGTAGGATCTCCTCGTCGCTACGATCCTTAGCGTACCTATTTTGCCGCCTAAATATCTACCGCTAACACTACTATAACCTAGACCGAGATTTCCGTCCTAACCGTTACTTTCGCTATCTACTACCCCCGTTAGCGTATATATATATACATACTACCCCTCTATTAGCATCCCTACCGCTACTTCCGTCCCTATACTCTCTAAATCCTACTACTTTCCTCCTTCTCGGCGCTACCCGAGTAGTTATATTTATTCTTAAATTTAGTATGCTTAGAACCGCCTAGCGGTTCTAAGTACAGGTTAGTATCTAATCCCCCCCTTTAGCTTAGTAGAAATGATAATTACTAACACTACTTATCTTATTACACAATGAGGATATATATAACACCGCGGTTGCTGAACTGATTCATCAAATTCCCAATCAAATCCATCAAATTCAAACTGAATTCAGCTAACCAATCAATTCACAGTAATTCAAGATTCATTTTTTTGAATTTCCGGAGCTTTGCCAGTCTGGAGCCCGCTGACGGTCTGAGCGATGCATTTTACGCGCTGTTTGTCACACATTGTGACAACACTACTGTATGCCATCCAAATAAGTAATGCTTGCACAATTTGCACCAACGAGTCGCCTGAACCAATTATGTACTCACCGGCACCATGGACATTGAAAGGCACAATTTACTCCTTCTTCCTCCTGCCAGGAGTCGGTATACCTCTATTTGGCGATCTCCCAGTCAAAGCATTTCCACCTCTAGAGCGGCAGTATCCCGAGGCAATGGCAGGAACATACAAAGGATTTTTAGGAATGATCCAAGTAATTCGATACACTGAAAGTCCCGTCGGCCCATACGATGAACTTCTCATCGTGCCGGGTTTCTTTACGTACCCTGGTCCAGACGGGTCCAACATCACCAATGTCCGCGTCAGTCGCATCTACGTGAGCCAGAAGTATACGGCATGGAATGGAAGAGAGAACTGGAACATCCCAAAGCATATTGCACGCTTCGACTGGACGACCGATGCCGGTGGCGGCGAAAGCGTCAAGATATATCCTTTCGACACCTCCGGAGATTCATCCGAGTCCGGACCCAGCGAGAAGCCGTTCTTCCAAATGTCTTTCTCTCCACTCTTGCACGGAATCGTGCAGATACCTTTCAGCACACATCTGTACGGTCTCCTTGGTGTCAATGTGACGCTCGTCCAGCCTCCTGTGCCGCAGGGTCAGGACGTTTATGGAGCGATGGTTGGCACCCAGACAGCCAAGTCTGTTGTGCCTGGACAGTCCAGTGATAAGACGACGGCTGGGACCATCAATCTCAGTCAGGCCGGAGGCGACGGCGAAGAGACCGGGTTCAATGCTGTGGGAGATGAATATTATCCGAATTTTTGGCCGGGGCTCTTGTCGACTAATGTTGGCTTGAGGATGGAGGATGCTACGATTACATTCAGCGAACCTGTCGTATGGAGCGTTTGAGACACTCACGTTGTCACAGCAAGCCTGGTGCTTCAATACCAGAGACGGATCAAAGCCTTGTGCTAGAAGGAGTTCTCTGCTACTTGACTGCCTCCCCATGTCATCGTATCCTCTCAGAACCACATTTAACTTCTCATGGACTTCTTCATACACACACCTTTGCGTCAACACGGACACATTCGACCTCAACAGCCACAAATGAACAGCGACACCAAACAGCAATATTTCTTACCGAAAAAAAAAATTCCAAGATATATCGCAATAACTACATAGTGCTAATAGCAATCACCCTGAATTGCGTACTCCACATATCCCCTCTACCAGTTCCAAACCGTTCATCGCTACCAAAAATATCCCGAATCTCTCAAGCTCTCTTCAGAGATCCTCATTTCAAGATCTACCACCGTCCAATCGGCCTCACACCTCGCAAAAACGAGGGTATGCTGGAACACTACAGGTATGGCGGGAACTGGATTCATGAACTCCTGACTTCGATCATTTCTACAGCGAATAAAATCGTGGTGAGAAGATACTTTGGAAGGTTCAAAGCATCATGAATGCAAATGCTTTTTCATGTCATAACCTCGTTACATCCAGTTCTATTAGTTACATCTTCAAAGCCTCATCATTCCCATCGCCATCCCTCACAATTGCGTCGCCTTAAAAGCAGCAGCCTCCTACCCAGCCTTAACCTCCTCCTCCCCCCCCTTCCCCTCACTCTTCCCCTTCAAAGCGCCCTCAAAAATCCGCATAAACCTCCAAACATCCTCAAAAGTATTATAAAGCGGCGCGGGCGCGACTCGAATAATTCCAGGTTTCCGTTTATCACAGATAACACCCCCTCGCACCAGCGCCGCACTGACATCTTCCATGAAATCCTCCTGCAACAAAACACTCAACTGCGCACCACGTTCCCTCGGATCACTCGGCGTGATGATCTGGAAAGGCCATGCGCCGTCTTTGACATTGCGTGCCGCGATCCGTGTCAAGAGGTGTTCGGCGTAAGCGGTAAGCAGCAAAGATTTGGAGCGGAGGTCAGACATTGAGGTTTGTGCGAAGACGGAAAGGGAGGCTTTGAGACACGTCAAGTCGACGACGGAAGGGTTCGAGCATTGGAAACCTTGGGCTCCGGGGGTGGGGATGAAGTTGTTGTCCATGAGGAAACGAGAGGATTTGTCGTGTCCGTACCAGCCCTTGAGGCCGACGTTGCGGTTGTTGTTGCCGTGTTTCGAGTGGATGAAGGCTCCTGCGATGGAGCCGGCGCCGGAGTTCATGTATTTGTATGTACACCAGCACGCGAAATCTACGTTCCAGTCGTGGAGGCGGAGTTCGACGTTTCCTGCTGCGTGGGCGAGGTCCCAGCCGATGGTGAGGTTGAGGGATTTGGCGTGGGCGGTGATGGTTGGGATGTCGAGGAGTTGGCCTGAGTAGTATTGGATGCCTGGGAGGAGGATGAGGGCCAGTTCGTCTTTGTTTTCGTCGATGAGGCGGAGGATTTGGTCGGTTGTGATCAGATATCCGTTTTCGGGCGCGACGGTCAACATTGCCTCCTTGGGATTGATGCCGTGCCATTCGATTTGAGATTCGATGGCATACCAGTCTGAGGGGAACGGTCGCCATTCGCACATGATCTTGGTCTTCTTTCCGGAAGGCTTGTAGAACGCGGCCATCATGAGGTGGAGGTTGATTGTGAGGGTGTTCATTGCCACAATTTCGCTGGGACTCGCGCCAACGATGTCGGCCATCTTCTCTGAGCAGGCTGCGGCCATGTCCTGGAAAGGCGTGATCGGCGAGTCCTCTAGTTGTGTGAAGTGACCGCCGACCGCTATGGAGCCCCATGTGTTCAGGTATGCACTGAGATGTTCGCCGACGGCTTTGGGTTGGAGGCCGAGCGAGTTGCCGCAGAAGTATATGCTTTCATCTTCGGCAGCCGAAGCAGGAGCTGCTGTTTCCTTGTCATCTCCGAGAGTCTTGCGCTTCAGTTGAGCTTTCGTTGGCACGACAAATTGATCTCTGAAAGTCTGGAGGATGTGATTGCTGTTATCGAGAGATTGCGCGAAGTCGAGCCTCTCGGCATTATCTGGGAACACAGGCTTCTGGCCTTGGCGGAGACGTTTGACAGCGGAAGTGACGTCCATACTGTTCCTGGTGTCGCAGATGCAATGCGGGAAGTTGAGAGACTGGGAGATGTGTTATTCTACGTGTCTGTGCGCTTTCTCGAAGATTTAGAATAAACTCGTAGACCGCTTCCGATGCAACATCCGACGCCCGCCCATCCGCCATTCCGTTCCGTCACATGCAGTTCTTACCCAATCCTTTCAAAATACGCAATCCCTAGTGCGTGATAGTGAATAGACCAGAAACCGTGCTGTGGCGGAGCCACGACTTGGAGCCTTGAAAAGTCCGATATAAAATAGTACTTTGAGCGACAATAGACTCTCGTTCACGCCCGTATTGCACATTCCGACAACCGCATCTTGTCTACACAGCCTGATCCAACCATGAGCCCTCACAAGATCAACATGCTACCCAGCCCAGCAGCGCTACCATCGTACGGCATATCTGAGAATGGTTTCTTGCCAGCAGAATATCCTCTACGACGATTACCGCATGCTTGCTATCAACCATGGGAGAATGTCATCAAGCAGATTTCGACGCTCATCGACTTGCAGCAGATACGACAAGTTGTTGATGAGATGCCTCTTTTGGGCACGCAGTTTTTGGAAAGCGAAGCAGAATGGCAGAGGGCATATTTGATCCTGGCAGTCATCGCGCAAGGATACATTTGGGCCGGCCCAGAGCCCTCAGAAGTGAGTATGGCCTGGATCGTTCCGCGGAAATCGACGGCTGACGTTCGAGTCCAGCGCCTTCCTCCGCAACTCGCGGTGCCATTCATCCAGACGGCAGACCATCTCGAGGTTCACCCGGTCGCGACTTACGCCGCGCTGAATCTTTGGAATTGGAGACCTCTGAGATCGGGCGTCGACTTGACACAGCCGGATGAAATGGTCGCGTTGCATACAGCTACTGGCACAGAGGATGAGTCGTGGTTCTTCGCCGTATCGAATGCGATGGAAGCCAGAGCTGGACCGTTGATCCAGACAATGCTTGCCGCTATGGAAGCAGTTGAGATGGACGATGTGCCCAGCATCATTTACAGCTTGGAATACTTCCGACAGAGCATGATCGACATCGGAATTCTCCTGGAGCGCATGGACGAACGCTGCAATCCACAGGTGTTTTACCACACCATTCGACCGTTCCTAGCCGGAAGCATGAATATGGAGTCCGCAGGTCTGCCAAGTGGTGTCTTCTACGATGAGGGCGATGGCAAGGGATCATGGCGGAAATATCGCGGTGGCAGTAACGGTCAAAGCTCGCTGCTTCAATTCTTTGACGCAGTCCTTTCAGTCGACCACTCGCGCTGTAATGGCTTTCATGCCGAGATGAGGCGATACATGCCTGGACCACATGCCAGATTCTTGGATGACATCGAAGCCATCGCCAACATCCGATCGTATGTCGACCAGCATCAAGGCAACAAGGAGCTCTTGACAGCATTCAATGATGCTGTGTCCGCTTTGAGTCATTTCCGTGACAAGCACATCGCACTCGTCACCAGATATATCATTATCCCAAGTCGCTCACCGAAGCCTGCGAACGGCGTGAACCGGAGGGACATTGCTTCAGCTTCGACAAAGCTGGCATCAGAAAAGCCTCAGACGCACGATCTTGTTGGAACAGGTGGCACCAAGCTCATTCCGTTTTTACGTACATCCCGAGATGAAACGAGCGAGGCTGCAGTCGCGCGACGGAAGAAGATTTGATAAGCTTGGTTTGCCTAGGGATATCACGAACTAGACATAGAAGACCGAACTTGGGTCTAACAGTTATGGAAGAATCCACCACTGGTTTGCTGGTCATAGATGGGAAAGAGCGGGATGTCGGCGACAGAAGGACCGTTAAGGGTGTGAGTTCCAGGCTGGAGGAAATCTTGCAAGCCCTGGTCGTTCTCAGTGATCCATGGAAGGGCGAAGAAATCGGCGTCGTAGATGGTCCAGTCGGCCGACGCCGTGCTGTTTGTACCATCGGGAGGCAAAGTGGTCGGTGGCACCTGCCCAAGAGGCGGCGAGGAAAAGCGCTCGGAAGCGGGTGCGGATATGCTTGTATCGGAAGTGTTTGATATCATCCCAAATAATTGTGAAGATGCTTGCTTCCGTTGCGAGCGTAGATGGAGCTCTCTCTTCTTGACATGTGCCACAGTTGTCTTGAGCAAAGCTTGGACGATTAAGGAATATTGTCGCGCGTGAGGGTCTACTTTGCCAAAATAGTCTAGACATCGGATGGACGCCCGGCAGGTATCCTCAAAGGTAAGTCCGGATCGGCCAAGTACGCCTACGGCTAGAACCAGAGAAGTCGTGAACAGCCAAGAAACCACGAGTGGCATCCTTAGCGGCATCTGCGCAGTGTTGACAGCTGCTTGCAAAGTTTCAACAAATGATGCAGCTGCGTCAAGCGCTGCGTCCGCATACTTGCGTTTCTCCTCGTGATCTGCTTGAGTACCACCGCCGTTCAGTGACGCACCCATATACTCGTACAGCTCGTAAATCAGGAATGGCCTCGTGAGAAGCATGATTCCATAGAAATATGAGCACAACGTGGAGCAGGCGCCAACATTAGCCTTTCTTCTTGTGCTGGCTGTGTCCATCTTGGTGATCTCTGAGAGCGGTTTGAGCCAATTTGAAGCCCAGCCCTTCAGCTGACGGGAGACATAACTGGCGATCCGGAGAGAGATACGCTTCCGTGAATAAACTTCGACCACGACTCTTTCAATAATCATGAAGATCTGCACGCTTGCGTCGAGAAGGTCTGCGGATATGTCCGTGTTGCTGCTTGGTGCATGATACTTGACGGTACAGTCGACATCGGAGCTTGAGGGAGGTCGTCCCAGGATGTTACTCATAAGTATGTCGATAACTCGAAGACTCTTCCAGATACGCTCTCTGAAGGTGTATTAGTGACAAGAACCTCTTGCGGGTATGCATGCATCGACCACGCAAATCATGTGCAACAGATGGAAAGCTAAAAAGGCATAACAATTACTCGTGAGATACATACCTTATTACCTTGAGACTCGCGCCAAATGAAGCATTGACTTCTGTTCGGTGCAATCCAATCGCATATGCCGTTCTAGTGGCCAAAGCTATTGTGATGTCAGTCTAACAGCGCAGCGTGATCCGTGAGAAAAGTGAATTTTCGCTTACAGAAGTACAGGTAGGCACCATTGGGTTGAAACGCGCGAAGCATGAATATGGCAACCAAGGCAAAGCCTTGGACTGTAGGTACATTCATGCTACTCGTCATATTCTTGAGAAGGAGATCTCGTGCATGCTTGAACCATGCTTCAGCTTTCGATTCGTGGCTCTCTTGAGCGCCGACAGCCAAGACGAGGAAGAAGACCGCAGCCGCAGCGTCATTGGAATGTGAGGTTAGGCCACTTGCCCACGTTTTGAGCTCTTTCAAAAGCTCATCTGGATCAAAGAGGTCGGCCAGTCCACTTGTGGTAACGATATATTCATGCACAAGAGACGGCACTTGGTGCAATTCTACGGCAAGCGACTGATGTTGATCCCTCGATGCAGGACGAGCAACTTCAATGATGGAGTCTCGGCTTGCTTGAAGCGGGATACTCTCTGCGTCGACTCCTGATGCAATGAGATGCCTTACGGTCTGTAGGAAGGACAGCGGCGCGCAATCGCCGATGAAGATGACTTTGCCTTGGGCGTCACGAAGTATTCGGCCTTCCAAAGGGACGACTGTATCCTCTTGGTGATCGCTTCGGCTGACTGTGGGAGACAGAGGAGTGCCGACGTCTGCTGCAACTCCGTCTCGAACCTGTGGCCTGCGTGGAGTGCCTTCGCTGTGCCTTCGATCGCGACCAGCGCTAGGCTCCACGGCGTCACTCGCGGCGGTCTGCTCGGGGGGTTTCGGAGTATTGCCGGCGGAACGGACGTGGTTTCGCGGCTTAGGAGCGGTAAAATGGCATGTGTCCGCGCGATGCTTCCGTTTGCAATAGCCGCAAGGAAGCTCGCCATCACACTTCACCTTGCGTCGTTTGCATAGATCACATGCCGCTGCGACACGCTCCAGCCGACGTCGTTTTCCTGAAGGTGCAGGATCAGCATCAGCATCAGCATCAGCACCCATGCTGGGAGTGAGATACGAGCTTCTCCAGATTGTTTGGTCGGATACGGTTTTTTTCAACACCTTCGTCCTCGTGCGCGGCCTTGCGGCTCCTGGTGTAAGTGCTGGGTAACAGTCGAGCCGCACAATGCTTGACGATGCTGTTCACTGCCGGCTTCCTCGCTTGAGTAGATAGCTTCAGTAGAGCCTAGAATACAGATTCCGTAATCATCTCAGATCGTGACCAGTCGATCGAATCGGAAGGCAGCATAAGCCACCACCACCACCACCACCACCAGCGCTGCCCTCGTCAGCTTCCGATGGCGCAGAGTGAGCAGAGTGGGATGGAAGGATGGAAGAGGCGATGCGTCGGATAACGGGCTTCCGACGCTGCAGTCTTGGCGGCCTCTTCCGACGCGCTAAAGACAAAGATTTTCTGGTGGCTCTTCCGCTGTCTCTTTCAGGACGTGCTTGCGATGACGACAGTACTTGCTCAAGAGGGATCGCCGACAAGGCGGCTGTGTGCATGGCTTGAATTGAGCCGCTAATCTACGGAGCTGATATGGTTCTATCGACGAACTCTCGAGTACACATCTGTGGTCTGCGCGATCTTAGATAAAGGAGCTTACCTTGGCAGTTGATGACAGCGGAGGCCAGCAAATTTTGGGGAGACATCGCTCTCGGAGAAAGATAAAGGCTGATAGCGGTACATCGTGCTACACCGCCACTTGCTATTCATTGCATTGATTGCTCTCGCAGTGCCAACCGGGCTATGGTGTGACTTCTCTCAAGGATCAAGGCGGTTGCTCCAGTCATGCGACGATGGTAGAGGCAGGTTGGCAGTCAGGCTTACCTCAGATGATACCTGCGGTTGCGGTGTGATATACTCGTGTCCTGCTTGAGCAGGCACGGAGCTTCGTCACTCATCCACAGCACACGGAGTCTTGCCTGTTAGTAGTGCTCGGACCGAGCTCCCAGAGCTCCCAGTCCAGCAGTCTGGAAATTCTCTCGCAAGACAGTGGGCAATGCGTCCTGTGCTATGAGTCTTGCGATGCTGCACAGTCCTTTCCCTCTCCTCACCGCCTTCGCACCTTCGACATGCCTCTGTTCGATCTCTGCGGACAATCCGCTGCCTTGTGACCTTTTGCGCTGCAGTTGTGACATGCCATGTTCGCAAGACCGCCGCCGCCGCCGCCGCCGCCTCCACCACCGTTTGATATGCTAGAGATGCCATTCAAGTTCACTTCCTTCTTTCGTCGCTCGTGGGCAAGCCGCTGCGATTCATAGCTGTTTTGCTCCTTCTTCGCCCGTAGCTCAGCTTTTGCACGCGCTGCGGCCTCTTTCCGACCTTGGTTGATCAGCGCATTGACTCCGGTAGAGTCCTGTTCATCGTTTTCATCGTCCTCGGAATCCGAGCTCGATTCAGATTCATCTTGCTGGGGCTGTTTTTGGGCGTTGCGTTTGAAGTTGCCGTAACTGATCCTGCCGGTCATCTGTGGTCCATCACCGTCTACCGCGTCACCGTCATCATCCTTCATATCGGCCTCGCGACTGCTCTGCGCGTCCAACGTCGCATAGCCAGCAGAAATGATGCGCAACGGCGACGGAGACGCGGGAGTACTTGGTGCTTTGATCCTGAGATACCACTTCGTATCGCCTTTCTCTGCAGCTGCGCGGTCGATGGCTTCGCTGTTCGCTTCTTCACGCGCGCTCACAGTGGGTGTTCCAAGGCCGCTTGAAAGCCGCTGTCTCTTGTTTGGTGGTTGTCTAGGCGTGCCCGTGCCAGGCGTGGGTGAAGGAGATGCACGCTGCATAAATTTCATGTTTGCCAGTCTTGAAGACATGGCCTTCGGCGGCTGCTTGCTCGGTGCCGCCATGGTGATTTCTGGGGGGTGTGTGAGAGTTGTTGTTCAAGTTCATTGCAAAGTTGAGATTGCTTATTGTATTCTACTGCAAGGCCAACCGAGCTTTCCTTTTGCCAAGCCTTTCATTGCCTTCTTCGCCCCTAATTCACCCACCGACTTTCGAGCAAGATCTCGATGATCACTGCATGTGAAGCTCCATGACGAATGGTATAGGGCTGTCCGATGACTGATACCGCTCGCTATGCATCTCTACCAACACAAGATGTTCTCGGGCATCTTCCTTCGGACAGGCATAGGACCCGAGCTGAGCTGAGGCGCCGATTGGCTCCACCAGGTCGATACTGACGTGCCTACACTGGCCCTACAGACGGGCTGAAAGAGCCGTAGAAGCGTGCAAATGGGCTATATAGTAGCCAAGCCAATGTGTGTCGAGATGTCGAGCATAGCACACTCATCAATCGAAGCCAACAGCTTTTGCAACAGGAATCAGATCATACTGATCGAATATCACGCAAAATCGCAGCGCTATGCCATCTTCCATACTCATTGTTGGCTCAGGCATTGCAGGTCCAGTTTTGGCCAGCTTTCTCCTCTTGTCTCCGACTACAGCCAAGGACAAGCCTACAATCACGATCCTTGAACGCTCTTCACAACCACGTTCTCAAGGCCAAAATGTTGATGTACGAGGCACTGGGTTGACGATTATTCAGAAACTTGGACTGGAAGCTGCTGTACGCTCATCGACTACTGGCGAAGAAGGCGTCGAGTTTGTAGACGACGATGGTGCTGTCTGGTCGCGGTTTGCAGCAGACAAGTCCGGCAAAGTTCAGACAGGCACGAGTGACATTGAGATTCTACGGGGCAGATTAGCGGACATCTGTCTGAAGCGGAGTCAATCCATCTCCGATGAAGTCATAGCAAGTGGTGGTCCTGGCATCGAATTCCTATATGGAGACTATCTTGACTCGATAGACCAGGATGGTGAGAAGGTGCACGTTCACCTCGCAAAGTCAGGCGCAAACCGAAGCTTCGATCTTGTTGTCGGGGCGGACGGTCTTCAGAGCACAACCCGTCGTCTCGTATGGGGCGACGGAGCGGAGCGCGGATGCGTCAAGAAGCTGGGCTGGTATGGTGGATTCTTCAGCATGCCTAGCGATTCTACAGATACGCTTTGGCGAAGGTGGTACCATGCTCCTGAGCGTAAAAGTGTCATGCTTCGCCCGAGCCACTCGAAGGACAAGACGACTATCTTCATGATCATGAATGGCGAACACAACCCCAAGTTTGATGAAGTGGCATCCAGCAGGAGGAAAGGCGTGCAAGAGCAGAAAGCTGTCATCACAGAGCACTTTCAAAATGCAAAATGGCAGACGCCCCGAATACTTCGCGAGCTGAACGCCGCCGACGACTTCTACTATGACATGATTGCTCAGATTCACATGCCGAAGTGGAGTAAAGGGCGGGTCGTACTCATCGCTGATGCTGCACATTGCGCAAGTCCACTATCTGGTATGGGCACCACCTTGGCGCTCAATGGCGCATATAACCTTGCAGGTGCTTTGCTTCAATATCCGAATAACCTGGAGAGCGCCTTCAGCCAGTACGAGAACAAGATGCGCCCTTTCGTGGATCGAGCACAAAAGTTGCCATTAGATGGTAAGCTCTTCTACCTGATCCATCCTGAGACTTCCCAAGGCCTTTGGATCATGCGTGCAATTCAGTACTTCATTTACATGTCTGGAATCGTCAACCTCATCTTTAGATTGGTTGGACCTCCTGCAGCTGCGACCGAAGTCGAGGAGTATGGCTTTAAGCAGGTGGAAGAGCTCAGGGAGACAAGCAAATGAAGTATGTTCTCTACCATGATACAACACGCTTGAAGGAATCGAAATGGCGACAAAGGAGCTTAGCATTATGGGGTGACTGGATGAGAATTGAACTTGTCCATATACGCTTCCCCTTGATGTACCATTCGGAAGAGCTCGATACACAGGACCTCGGATAATCCTCAGTGTCACCTTCGCCGCTCAATCATTCATGCCTCAACTCACATCATGGGAGCGCCTTGCCTCTGATTCTTCGCCTCAAATATTCTTTCCGAACGCGTCCAATTTCTGAGCTTCACTCGCTTCCATCCTCGCTTGCTGGAAGCTCTGTTTGAGTAGAGCTCCGTTTCTCCTCCGAAGCATCATAATTTCTGACGGCATCAAGGAAGACCTGGCGCTCCCTGTCAACTGTCACTCTCCAATGCCTCGCCAGCAGCGCTCTGCTGCCAGCTTCGTCGAACTTGATGGTACTCTCGATAGGGGCTTCTTGTACCGCGCTGATCGAGTCAAGTCTCATGCCTCGCCTAAGCATGTGAAGCATCAGCTTCCGACTGCGAATCACCTGATGGATGTAAAGGATAGCGAAATTGATCCGACAGTCGGTAAGATTACGTATACGGAAAGGACCGGGAGTGTTGAGTAGCGTGTTGAGGCCAGCCTCTTCGGAATCGTCCAATTTCCATTCGCACTGAATCGATGCGATCTCCCTCATTCGTTCTGCAGCGACCGTCTCGAGCGATTCCAGCGATAACTTCCAATCGTCGCCACATATCTGGACGAATACCGAGGTCTCTGCCCAAAAGAATGACGAGACCTCGACGCGCATCTGCTTGCATACCCTCAAAAGAGCAGGAGTCTGTAGCGAAAAGCCTTTCTTGTCTTGCCGAATGATGACACCTGCTTCCGTATGCAAAGCGAGCCGATAGATGTCGTTCCGCAATTCGCCTGGCAGCTGGAGCAGTAAGGATCCTTGCGTCTTAAACCTGGACAATTGCGGCACTTCACGCTCGAGCTTCTTGACCTTGGCGACGGTCTGCTGAATAGCTGTGTCGCTGATATCCGGTGTGAGCTTAACCTCGCCCGTCCGAAGCCTACTGCGTTTGCTTGCGGAGAGCAAGTAGGCCGTGGTCTCAACACTCTCGAGTTTACTGTACGGGGCGGTAAGGGGCTTGATGTAGGTATGAATCAAGCGGGAGTCCCAATGACCCATGTCATACATTTCTTCCAAGACGTCCACCATGTCATCGTAGCCAATGTTTTGGAAGTGCGCTTTGAGGCGTTCATACCACGCGCGGAAATTATCCAGATCGCTTTGGCTTATGACGTTCGCCATTTTGTGTCTTGCTCCGGTTGTGCGCCAATGTCGATGTTGTGTTGTCGAGTCGCTGTCTCAAGTAGACAGTCTGGAGAAAGTGAAGAGACCGTGTCTTGAAAATAAATGCGAGTCGGCGTTGTTAGCGCGGCTTCAAGGTCCGTGCGTGGGTGTCACATGCAGTCTCGCGTTTGCAGCGCATCATGACCGCCTCTGCATTCGGATGCCGACAGCTCTCAGGCTTTCAATCAGCACCTCTACTTTCACGATATGACTGTGGAAGCCTCATTGAACAGCACTTGCGCTTACAACTGTACGCACAAACAGGCTGATTGTAGCGAGACCTTTTGAAGGATCGATTGGCGCTATGGATTTGGTCGCAGAACTCACCCCGTGCGACTGAAGAACGGCAACCACTCTAGCAGCTCAGCTAATTCAGCATCAGGGTCGCGAGGACGAGCGGCTCGTCTATATCAGGCCTTAAAGATTAAAGAAGACGTTCTCCGTCCGTCAAATACTCCTCTGCAAGACAGTCGAATACTTCCCTAGCATAGATGTTGAATATTGAATCAGATTCAATTCATATTTATATTCAATACTGAATATGAATATGAATACGAGGTCACTAAATATTCGAATATTCAGTGTATTTAGTCGGCAATTTGACGGGTTTAACGGTTGTACTACGGCGTACGTAGATCTCTTTAATTATGCGAAATGGGGTTGTTTGTTGCTCGTTTCTTACTAAAAACCAAGCTCTTTCTATAGGCTCGGAGGATAGACCGCTTCGAGGTATATAGATAGAACCTAGGCATACGAAGGTCGCTAATTCTACTAGGTTGCTAAGTCGCTAGCGGCCTCTAAAGACGAGGTTATAGTGTTGTTACTACCTTGTTTATTCTACCGCTTTCTATTCGAGATACAAGCCTTCCTCGCTCTATAGGACTAAAGGCTTTAATAAGAACAAGAACAGCTAAAGAATATCCGCTCGGTCTATCTACCTCTTATTAATACTAATTAGGTAAATGATTATTAGGCTAATTCGGACGATATTTCGTTTATCGAGTACGTAGAATAGGCGGACTTCGAGCAGTATATTAGGGAGGCGGAAAGGGAGGGCTTATAGTTGCCCTTTCGAAGGATTACGAGGAAGACAATAAAGAGCCTTATCTACGCGGCGGAGATCGTTAAAAGGGCTGCTAACTACTAAGAGCGTATCGCTAATAGCCTTTAAAAGGTATATAAAGGCATAGAACGGAAGGGCAGGCGGATAGTACTAGGTACTCGTCGTTACCTTAAATTCGGAAGGAGGTATATATACTCGGAAGAGTGCTTTCTCGGACTAAAATCGTAGTGCCCGCTGCGGCAGGTATATTTTAAGGCTCGTATCGACAAGGTGCTATACCGTCTAATCGATAGCGAGGGTACTAAGGGCGGTAGTAAGGTTGTTATTATTGTTAATTAAGTGTATAATAATCAGTCGAAGATTAGTATTTAGCTTTCCGTACCTGCCTCCGAGAGCTCGAGTTTGCGTTATAGGGTCTATACTAGGCCTTAATTGGACTCGCTAACCTACATTCTTAGCTTCGGATAGCCTAACCGAAACGGGCCGCACTTAGCCTCTAAAGTCAAATTTCTAAATCTATCTGTTCTAATTAGAACCTAACTACCTTCTTCCTTACAATAAAGACCCGAGAAAATCGCTAACCGACCTAACGAGCGCTCGAAAATTTCCTAAATACCTAAGATTACGAACGGGAAAGCTAGAAGCTACGGAAACGCAGGCGTATAGATAGTATAGACGAACTAGTCCTAAATCCGATACTAGACGAGCCCTAAACCTAGCAATCGACATCTTCTTCCTTAGCCTTTCTTCTAATACTAATACTAGCACCGAAGCCTATACTACCGACGCTTACTTAGTAGAAGAAGCTTTACTATACGAAGAATAAGACGGATCCACTATTGTAGTTATACGCTCGAGATCCGTAGGATAGGGAGCCTACTCGGAATAGCTATAGACACAAGTACTTCTACTATAAGCACTGTCCGGTAGATAGCCTAAAGGCATAGAAATTAGTGTCTAGCAACGCCGCAGACTACCTTCTTAAGACATACAGCATTATCGTATACCCGGAAAGAGATATAATACTATTGCAAGGCCGTATTAATATCGACAAAATGTAGGCAGTAAGCGAGGGCAACGAGGCAAGGCGTGCGGCTACAATTCTAAGGAATATAGCGGAAGCCAATATCGATAAATTTAGGTAGGTAATAGCTCGCTATGCTATAGTATATAGTGTCGCTTATTCTAGCCTTGTTTCTAAGGCCTTTAAAGAGATAATATTAGCAATCAATCTATACGCAGACAAGGCTCTTTTAAAGTCTTACACTTCAATAATAGTACGAGTATAGTACAACTTCGAGAACTAGCGAGAGAGGGTTAAAATAGCGCTTCTTAACGCCCTTAGTTGTCTATACCTTAGTACTAATACTTAGAAGGCTTAGTATAGCTATAAGCACTTCTAAGCTATCAATTATTAGTATGTTAACAAGTATAGTAAACTAACTTAAGTCCTTATCGATTTGCCGCCTCTAGAACGAGGCTCTTATACTAGCGAGTTTATAGCTTAGCTATTAATCTCGTCCTTCGAGACCTTCTTAATTACTTATAAGGTTAGCTAGATAACTGCTAATAACGCCTCTAACAACAACACCCTCTGCGATACGATTAAGCGCTATATATACTAGAAGGGCTTTATATACTAGACAAAGCAGAGCCGCCGCCTACGTTGCTTCGGCTATATTATTAACCTTATAACACAGGCCTTTATGTTTGCTTAGTTAACTAAAGCGGCCGAGTTAGCGGACTAAAGGGCACTTCAAGCGCGGCAAGTGCTATTTAATAAGCAACTAGAGAGCGATAGTAACAAGGTCTCTATATCTAGGTAGTTAGATCTCGATACGGAGTGCTTTGCTAAGTAAACTCTACTACAACGTCTCTACCGACTAACGAACGTCACGAAAACTTCTTTTCCGATCGCGACGATCCTATCGATCCTAGCGATCGCGAGCGATCCTAGCGATCGCGAGCGATCCCGAGCGATCCTAAGCGATCCCGAGCGATCCTAAGCTATCCTAGAACGATAAATAGGTAACTTATAAAAGTTAGACTTTTGCCTAATACTACACTCAAAATAGAACATTTTTGTTATATATTACTAAGCCGTAAACCTTCTAGATAAAAAGATATAAAGGAAAGAAAATCGCTTTTCTAGACATTTTGCTTCTAATTTATCTTTTTTTCTAGTAGGTTTATAGCTTAGTAATATAGTAAAAAGGTACTCTATTTTTAGTATATTATTTTAAAAAAATATAAAATTTATAGTTTTTCTACGAAACTAAAGCTAGGGAACAGAAATAAGCAATATAGTATTTTGGCTTTTCTAAGTTATACTTTACTATTTTTAGAAATTTAAAAAATAGAACTTAAAGTTCTACCTACTAATAAGAGTATTATAAATTTTGAAGTCTTAATACCTAGTAATTATCCTAGAATCTAGAAAAGAATCTCGAGTGTTTCGAGTGTACTTTTTTTCAAAGTTCTGCTTATTAAGCGTCGGCTTTTAAAAGAAACCTTAACGAAATATCGGCTGCATTTAACGAAACCTCAACGAAAAAAATTTATTTATAAAAAAAACCTACGAAACCGCTAAATTTGACCTATATTAGTACGTAATACCCCGAAATACCTCCTCGTAGTAGTAGTATACGGAGTAGTAGCAGTCGGGCTCTAACTTGCCCCGCGTCCTTTGCGTTCCTTGCCCTCGAATTTCGGGACGGGCCGTCCCGAAATTCGCGATCGCGAGGATCCTATCGGATAGGATCGCGAGTAGTCGGAATTTCTAGATCGCGGCGATCCTGTTAGACAAGATCTTTAACGTGCGATCCTAAGGATCCTAAGGATCCTAAGGATCCTAAGCGATCCTATCGATAGGATCGTCGCGATCGGTAAAAAAGTTTTCGTAACAAAGGTCCTATAGCGAGAGAACGACTTCTATAACGCCTTTAAGGAGTTAGCTAAAGCATAGCCGAAGCTGCCTTCTACCTGTCCGAAGCTACTAGGTAAGACTCGCTAGAATAGCTAGTTACTAATAATTAAGGAGGCTATTTAGATAAGGCCTATTCTTAACGCCTTGTTTATTAGTATACTATAACTAAGTAAATACTAGCTTACCGAGAGCGACTAGATTGTCCTTAAAGAGACACGGTTATTCCTTACACTATTTAAAGAAGCGACTTAGCGGCTACAAGGTTACGACGTTACCTTCGACCGCTTCTAAGAGACTATAGAATAGCTACTTACTCACTTCGAGCGTACTAAGTAGCAGCATGCTAAACGAGAGCCTATAATAAAGGCTATCTATGTCTCTTAGCGCCTGTTTAATAAGTACTATCGTCTAATTAACGAGAGCGGCATCTACGTTACTGCAATACTACTATATCTAACTCGCCGTAAGGCATAGCTTCGTAAGCGTTAGTCTAGCAGCAAGAAGAAGGACTAATAGCTTATTAATAGCCTAGTAAGAGCAAGAGCCTTATAGACTAAATACGAAGCACGCTATAGACCTGCTTCTTCTACTAAGTCTACTTCTACTACCGTTATAGAAGCTACAGGTTATTTAACGGATATAATAGCGTAGTAACAATAGCTCGAGAACGACGTCCTTATAACTAATATTAACCCCTTCGAGTCCTTTATTGCCGCTACGCCTATTAAGCTGCTATAGGTTAGTACCGACAAGCGGATAAAGCAGCTAATCTATATAAGTCTACTTAAATAGTAGTGCCTTCCTATATAGCGGACAGCCTATCTAACGCTCTCGCAACTAGCTATCGACTTATTGTCCGCATTCGCTATGTCCGTAGAGTCCGAGCGCACCTTTAGTAGTAGTAGAAGGACGGCTTTATAGGACCGTGCCTTGCTTACTAGCAATAATATCCGTATAAGCGAGTGTAGCAAGCAATAGTAACGTATAGGCGTAGCGGACTTGCTATTAGATATGCTACAATTAGGCGTAGAAGCTAAAGACAACGACGAGTTATATAATTAGCTAGTATTCTATAAGACTGCACTGCTAAGAACACCCTCCTTCTTAACCCTAATCGTTACTATTAACCTCGCTGTCGCGCTAAGCCTATATTGAATATGAATTAAATATGAATATTCACTAACATTCAATAGTGAATATGAATACGAGCGGTGAATCTTGAATATTCAGTATTCAATATCTATGTTCCCTAGTGCTCTCGAAACCCAATTCTAAGAGGCCTCGACATCGTACTTCGGCCCTTCCTAGAGCTGACGAAGAGATAGTGCGGCGCTTTCTCTACTGGGTCTGCAACAGACGCATGCCAAATCTTACTGAAAACAACGATCCATGTCTTCATACACTCCTACAATCGCATACGCAATTAGCTTCATGTCGTACGCCTTTGAATCCCCAGTGATGCTATCACATGCCCGCAACTTCAGAATGCCGCTATGCATACGCTCTTCGACATCCCAGGCATCTCCTCCTCACACCCAGATGCAGTCAAGGGGGCTTTCCTCCGTAATGCAAAGGACTCGATCCTAAGGCAAGTCTTTGTAAGCGGCATCTCGCCTTCGACTTCTTAGCGATGCCGTCTAGGCTTTCGAAAATGCAAAACTATAGAAGGACGAGAAGTGGAAAGTAGAACAGACATACAGGACCATCTGTGCACTAACCTCTTCCGGACGCTAAGGCCTTTCCTACGTGTTAAGAGTGTCTAGATTCTGTGTCACCACTAAACTCCCTTTTGCACCTCAACACAGCGCCTCTCCTAACCAGGCTGACACCTTTACTTGGTAACTTCCCCATATGGACTGCTATAACCCTTCCAGATGCCGCCAAGACCGCCACGTTTGACCGCCGTGTCGGAAGCAGATCGCGGAACCGGCCGTTTCTGAAAGAATTGCTACTCATGGCATCGTAGAGCGCGACAACAAAGGCAGAGATGCAGACAGACGCAAGCAGATGAGTCGTCGTGGGATGTTGTTTCCCGCCGAAATCGAGGCGCCTCGCGGATCGACTTTGTTCTGGATGGCGGCTATTCTATCATCAGCCTATACAGAACGCCTTGAAACGGCTGCACTGCCAGAAACTCCTGCGTCTCACGAACCTGTTGAGCATGACGCTTGGTTCTTCCATATCATCAGACGGCGGCAGCTCTGTATCAACTTTTCTTCTGCCGTGACATCGCAACCATGGATTGGCTGACTATCATGGCGTCTGTGCTCCTTGGCGCCGCATACGTCGATGCGAAAGCTGTTGTTGCTCATTTCATGATGTCAAATTGTCGTTACTATACTTCGACGGAGTGGACTTCTGATATACAGTGAGCCGATCCCGTATTGAACTTGGAAGACTTCGAGCTCACCCAAAGCGCAGGGCTGCTCAAGATGCACATATCGATGGCTTCGCCCTCAATGTTGCGAACAACCCGGACAGCGCGACGGTACGATGTCCTGCCAATAAAAAATATGGCTGTGAAAATAGCTGAACACGCAATGTACAGATCCAGCAAATTGAAAATGCCTTTACGGCTGCAAATAAAATGGGGTTCAAGCTGCTTTTCAGGTAATTAGTGCCAGCCATAGTGGTTGATTCCTGAATAATCGATTCTACACCCTCAAATCAAATCAGTGAATATTCAATTCAGAATATTCAAGTGAATAATCAGAATCAGCATGTAAAAGGGCAAAAAGAATGAATATTTCACTGGTTTGAATAGTTAGTTGGATTCTAGCAGTAGATTAAATAGTGGATTAGATAATAGTCATTCAATTTTAGTAGTACTCCGGCGTATATACGAGGCTCTTTGTCGTCTTCCTCGTAACCCTGCGGAATAGTAGCTATAGACCCTCCTTTTCCGCATCTCCGATATACTACTTAAAGTTATTCTACGCTACTTCGTTAATAAATGATAGGATGCCGGCTTATTAGAAATAGAGCTAAGCAGGGGTAATACAATAGTCGGTCTCGCTAAGAGTTAGATAAGTAGCTACTATATCCTTAAGTAGGAGGTTGAGATAATAGCTCTATAATACTAAGAACGCCTACGTAGACTAGTCGATTGTCTATAACTCTTGCTCCGAGTTAGGCTCCGAGTCCGACATCTAAACTATTAGTACATACTAGAATGCTATAGTTAGCTGTTTACCTACCTCGATTACTTCTACGCGTTTCCGTCCTATTAAAGATATTGTATTGTCTAAAGAAAGAGCTGGAATTTGCATACTTACATAGGATATAAGTGCGCCGTAGTATAACCGCCTAAATATTCATATTCATGAATATTCAAGAATGCTAGAATCAATTATGAATATTCTGAATATAAATATTCACTTGAATATGCAATTCAAGAATCAACCACTATGGTGCCAGCGACGAATTCTTCCAAGCCCGTGTCACTGACAGGAATCATGGCCACAGCTTCGACTATGCCGGAGCTGGAGCATGGCCACAAACCCAGGTCATCAGCTACATTCAGCAGTACAGCTCTAATGCCGCGTACATGCAGTACAAGGGAAAGCCGCTTGTAACAACATTCGAAGGCGCACAGCAAGCAGGAGATTGGACCAATATCAAGAGCCGGACAGGATGTTTCTTTATTCCCAACTGGTCATCGACAGGTGCTTCGAGTGCCGCGACTGCTGGCGGTAGCGTTGCAGATGGTCTCTTCTCGTGGGAAGCTTGGCCAAATGGACCGAACAACATGAACACAAATGACGACAAGAACTATGTGAGCGCTCTAAACGGCAAGCCATACATGATGCCAGTTTCTCCTTGGTTTTACACAAATGTGCCGAACTTTGGCAAGAACTGGCTCTGGCGCGGTGACGATTTGTGGTTTGACAGATGGAACGAGGTGATGCGCGTTCAGCCTGAGTTCGTTCAGATTATCTCTTGGAATGACTGGTGAGTGTACACCATATCCAAGTCATATCGACGAGACTAATTACTTCGATACAGGCCAGAGTCGCACTACATCGGGCCTCTACGATCCAAAGAGTTCGGTGCGTTTTCTTATGGCGGCGCGTCTTACAACTATGCTAAAGGCATGCCTCATGATGGTTGGCGTGCACTTTTACCTTACTGGATCGACAGTTACAAAGGCACTTCTCCTCGAATGAAGAACGAGATTCTTTCGTTCTGGTACCGGCTGTCTCCGAAGACGGCTTGCGGTACGGGTGCAACATCTGGAAATAATGCCGGCCACAATCAGCAGACTCACTCACTATCCGATATCGTTCAAGACAGGATTTTCTTCGATGCGTACCTATCTTCCGCTGCAGACGCAGTCGTGACGATTGGTGGTGGCTCTAACACAACTGCGACTTGGAGCACAAAGCCATTCGGTGGAAGTGGCGTCTACCATGGAAGTGTTCCTTTCAATGGCAGAACTGGTACGGTCTCGATCAAGATCGTCCGGAATGGAATCACGATGATTTCGCAAACCGGCAAGGACATTTCGACGACTTGCACGAACGGCCTCACGAACTGGAATGCCTATGTCGGCTCTGCTAGCCGCTACGCTTCGAGCAGGACGTCGTCAAGCTCGACCTCATCAACATCAAAATTTTCCAGCGCCAAATCTGCTACCAGATCTACTTCGTCAATTACATCAACCACTTCGAAATCCTCTACCGTAACTTCGGCTTCAACTCCCTCGACTTCAACAGCAACAACCTGCGCCATAACGTACCGATGGTCTTCACAGTAACTCAAAATTCTGTCTGCGTCTACGCACCAGACTGAAAAATTTTCTCCTGCAATCGCTCGTCAAGCCAGGTCCGCGGATCCCGAGCAGCACCAGCACCAGCACGAAATCGACTGCATCACACTCACGGCCTTGCACGAGATTCCGAGGCTCGAACGAAACTATAGCCATAGCACCCTACCTGGCCCCTAGTAGCGAACTCCCACCCTCACGTCCTCACCGGGCGCGGAAAGCAGAAATCAAAGCATAATTTTCCACCGTGCATTGAGAACCACGGCAGTAGTACCAGCTCAAAGCTTTCACCCACAGCGGACGGATGCACGACTCACAACTGCAGATCCAGTCGGGGAAAAGAAATTGACGCATGCCGTCAACGAAGGAGAAGCCGGGCAGTATGAGTAAGGTAGACGCACGAGTCGAAACGAGCAACGAAGATCACAAGAAAGAGAAAATTTTTCCCGAGTGTTTCATAATAAATCTATCGGGCTGTTCCCGTTGAAGGGAATGTGATATGCCGGGCCCCGGCCGCTATGAGAGAGAATCAGGAGTCGTTGAGGGGGAGTGAGTCAAGTGAACTTGCTTTCAAGAGTTCAGGGATTAGAAGAAGGTGGGGGGAAGGAAATGTGTATCTTCATGACTTGAGAAGATGCGATATATGCCACGGTGTATATGCAGGGTGGAACTCAATTCCTGTCTACACTGAGAGAGGGAATCTTGCCTTACGCACGTAAGCGGGTCTCTACGCTCCGAGCAAGCCAAGCGAAGTCAAAGTCGCTTTTCTAAATTTTGCTATCGTGCCGTAGTACGTATGAGTTAGTATGAATCCGTAGACTTTTAAATTGGCCGTAGAGAGAAGCGCGAGTTCCGAACGTCCTTCGTACAAGCAAAGTTGGCGCTTAGGATGAAGACATAGTAGGCCTGAGAACTATCGGGCCGAAAATTGGTCGACTGTCGCTATATAGACTGCGGAATGTCATCCTAAGGAGCGGCTCGTAGCTGTCAAACTAGGTATAGTAGTTCTATATTTTAGGGCTTTCGCTAATGTTACGGCTTCATGTCCCCGTGGGTAGCGCTAGACATCACATCGCACATGCAGTATATCGATCTGGTTGTTTTTTGAATCTGATTAAACGAGCGGACCTCAGCGATTGATAGACGACGGTCTAGTCCCAGCCTGGCAAATGAAGGAGAGAGGGTGACGTTTCTCGATGTAGGAGTCGGAGTAGGCAAATGTATGCGCTCGCTCAAAGGTAGATCTGGTGGCTGAGGTTTGCTCGATATCGAGGCCGTGGCTATACGGGACGTTTTCTTAGCGTTGTGAGGGCAAGCAGCGTGTCCGAATCGGCGACGACTTGAGGACCAACTTCACAGGGCTGGGGTTGCATCAAGGCTCGACTTCTGATTCTCCTTCTGCCGTGTTGCTACACTACAGGACGAAGCCAAGGTGTAGGTATCTGCATTCATTGCTGGAAGGGGCACGCTCTCGGTCGGCAAGGATTGTCGATATCCACAGCAGTCATCATTTGTCGCCAATGCGACTCCTTCGCTTGAGTCGACGAATCTGTCGAAATTCGCGGATGCTGAGAGGATCTGTCGAGGGGACGTGACGCTGAGATTCGAGCCCTGAGCCGTCCATCGTAGGCCAGATTGGTGACTGCGATGAGGTAATCCATCTGCGTGTGACTTGCTTTAGCATCTGGGACAGGCAATACTAGTTCATCGTTATTTCGACGGTACATGTATCTGATCATGTTCCCCCCAACTCAAGGCTTCTCGAAAGGCGGCAATGGGGCGTACTGTAAATGTCACAGGTCAGAGCGTGTCACGTCCCGTACAGACAAGATCACTGCGGAAGAACGATCAGACGTGTAGGCAACGACCGTATGTGGGAAGCTCCATAGCGCTCGGTCGACTCCTTACCCTGAGATCGATCTGCTACGTCCGTGCCTTCAGCGCTTACGCCTGTGCATGTGCGAGCCCCATGGAGCATGAATCGAGCAAATGCAGCATACAAGGGCATGTCCCGCAAGAATTCCAGTTTCCAGGATTGCGACTCGATCATCGAAGACGCTGTTGTGGAGAACAACCAAGCGTCTGAAGACGACGCGCTCTTCCAAATGGCCGGCTTGCTATCCATCTTGGATGCTCATCCCAGCATCCAGCGGACTGCTGGTCATGATGAGACTGTGGCGCTTGGCTTCACTCGTCCCCACACGGCATCCTGGCTGAAGAAGCCCAACAACCACGCAAGAGTATTTTCATGGAAACGCTAGCATGGTTGTTGTTTTTGAATCCTTCCGCACATGCAAAGGCTGCATAAGCGGTGAAACACATTCTCGCATCTCAGTCAACAAGAGTCATGGAGGCTCGCGTGAAGAGCGGCGATCATGCCTTCAAATGCACCAGATCGGGATTTGTATGTGAGAACGGCGCAAGATAATCTCTCAGAGATGTCGTTGGCTGTGTTTTAGACATTGCCATCAAATGCTGCCGAGCTGGTGATCGGTGCTCTCATATTCTTTCTGGCTGATGAGTTTGGAACGACATGATAATAGCAGTGTCGGTGGTAAATAAGTTTTGAGGCTCTCCTGCCGGAAGTCTTTCTGCGAGTGCATTCCCAACGGCAGAGTTCTGTCATGAATGCTTGGCCCAGCCACATGGTGCTCCGGCAAAGCCCACGAAGCCAATACAGTATGGTCGGAATGGGGGGATGTTGTTCGCGGGCGAAAAGGATGCAGAAAATGTGAGGGCGTGGCCGTTTGCTACATAGCTTGATCAAAACGGGATGTGCAGCATCGCAGTGACTGTGCATTCCGTGGTTGTCGTTATTACGCATACGGAGCGCAGAATCAATGATGGACACTCAGTACCATGGACCGGCTGTCCGGTTGGAGGCGGAAGAGCGCACGGGTGTCTCAAGTCCACGTGAGGTTGAAGAGCAGAGCCTCCGGAGATCTGCAGGACGCGAGGTAGAACTAGTGTGATTCAATCTTGCACACCATCTTCCATCCTCCGGGCGTACTTGGATTCTCAGGCGGGGGTCGGCAACTTGGCACCTTGGCAGTGTGCCTCTCGGATTGCTTGACTGTAGCGGCACACAGCAGATTAGCGAAGCGAAGCAGGACACATGCCCGAAGAGGACATTCTGGGAGTATACACAGTCTGGGTCAACACCGGCAATGCATGTGCGATCGTGCCCCGCGCATCTCAACTTCCGCGCATCTGCGGCCTTTGTATTCACATTGCCCGGACCGGGCGTTTGATTTGCGGCTCTGCCTTCGCCTCGACAAGAGAAGCGCCACTGATAATGGGGTTCAGTTCAGTTTAGCGTTCCTCTACGCGAGGCTACAGTCTCCGGTGCATTCTGTCCGTTTCGCTTTGGGACAGACTCTTCAGCTTCCGATCCGACCCATGCACGCACACGTCGATGCCCGTGGACACCACATGAGCCACTCGGACGGGCGAGAAATGCTCATGCCGCGAGGTGTGTGCTGCCGCAATGTTTCGACAGGCGAGGGGCTGCGGCTCTGCCATCCTTGTGCCGAAGCACGGATGCAGGCTGAATCTCGCAGTGCAGTGCAGTGCAGTGCAGTATTTTTCGGCTGGCATACCGAGGAAGAGCCAGGCCGAGACTGTGCTGTCTCTGCTGTTGTCGGTGTTCCATGCGGGTTCTAATAAAATCACATGGTCCTCCCGAAAGGCGTCTTGGTTGCGACGTTGCCGTCCGCACCCGCACCCGCACCCGCGCCCGCACCCGCAGACCAATGCCACATTATCATTATGCAATGCTACGGTATGGCGGCGCTGGGCGGCGGCGTGAGGATTTCATGTCGACGTGCGCTGCCCTAAGACATTATGTCAGCGAGCTCAATCGGCTACAAGGTTCGCACCTGCAGTGTGCAGCGGGCAAATTGGTCGAGCGCCAAGGCTTCGCCGCTTCGAACAGCATCCGGCGCTATCCTTACACTACCCACCCCACCACCCCGGCCTGCAGCTTTGTGTGACGCCATCTCCCTTGACGAGATGCTGGCTGTGATTGGGCAGCGGGCGTGTCTCAGGCGGAGATCGGAGGTCTTGATACGCCGAACCAGAACACGGCTAGACGTGAACGAGGCAAGGCAAGGCTCGCGTCGCACGAGCGTTGCACAGATTTCATGGCAGTCACGATGTCGGATGTGATGCTGCTGACATGGGTGTACAGGCGGGAACGAGCGTAGGTACCGAATGCACGACACCAGATCGAGGGAGACTTGCTTGGTGAGGAGAAACGACAGCGTCGGCAGCTGGGATGTCACAGGCGAATGGGAAGCACGTCGTTTGACGTCAGCCCTGATCATGGATGGGAAACGACGACCAGAATAGATTGTAGATGATTGCAGAGGTCCTGACGGGGCGCAACAAGGCAAGCATGTGCATGAGGATGAGGTTGCCTTGCTCAATAGCGCAGAAGATGCCGAGCACCAAGTGGAGAAGCTGCAGGCGTGGATGCTTGGCACACTAGGTGAGGATCGGGGCAAGAGGGCGAGGGTGCGGGAAGGGATCGGCGGAGGCGTGGTGTGGTCCAGGGTCGGCGACCAGGGAGCGTGGCAGGCTCGAAGGCTTGCAGTCCCCGGCGGCTGGTCACCAGCAGCAAGCGAGAAAGGCTAGTGCAGTAGGGACGGACGCGAAAAGTGCAGGGCAGTCATTGGGCCGTGGCGGGATTCCCATGATGAGGCCGCAGTGGCGTCTGGCTGCGAGTGGAGGGAGGAGCCCAAAGTGCTATGGTTGTCATTCATTTGAAGGCAGTGGAGTGGAGCGTGGAGGGTGGAGCGTGCGGCGTGTGGTGGGTCCAGCAGGCCAAGGCCGAGCAGGCCAGCCGTCGGGGGAGTGAGACGCATGTGCACGTCCATACACAGCAAGTCCATGGTCCGACACGGCCACGGATACGGCCACGGCGACAGGGAGTGCGAAAGACGATCGGCACGCTTTGCCGTTGCCGGCGCCTTTGCTGCGACTCTACCGCACATGCACGCACCAGTGCGAGGTCTTGCAGTCGTCCTTCCGCCTGCGCGACCTTTGATTGGCCTTGCACGCTCATCGCACTCACCATTAGCAGCAGAACTCAGTCTGCGCATGTCGCGGTCGCGGAGTCGGAGCCGCGGCGATCGCCAGAGCCAGGACCAGGGCCAGAGGCTTCGCGGCATCACGATGATTCTGGGCCTGCGCTCCGTCCTAGGGAGGCAGTAGAGTGATAAGGATAGAGAGCACCGTAGTAAATCAGCTCCGGCTATTAATAAATTAACGGACCTACGGCCGCTCGAGTCTCGGTAAGACTATATTATTAGTAATCTATATAGTATTATATCGCATAGAGACTTCTAATACCTATACTAGCTACTAAGTAGAATTGTAATATAAGAACCTTTAGACTTCCGCTTCTTAATCTTATCGTATATAAGTATCCTTCTCTTAGCCGCCTTACGTAGAGCGAAGATACTAATATAGCTAATAACTTCGGTATAGAATAAGTCGTTAGAGAATACTATTACTAGTTGTATAGTCTCGAGTCTAACTATTACCTTATAGCAGTTAACCTAGTAGTAGAAATAGGGTACTATCTAGTTAATAAAGCTATAGATATCCTTCCTATAGATCGTTAACTATACCTTAATACTAGTATAGCAACCTTTAACTAGCGAGGTTATTATATTACTAAAATAGTATATTCTATCGATCTAGTATTTAATATACTATTCTCGATAGATCTACTAAGTATCCGCTATATACTAAGCTAGCCTATACTACGCCTTATTATCTAAGTAGTTACGAGCTAGTTTGCTATTACTAGCGGCAATCTTACCTTCCTTAAGACGCCTATAGTTACTAGTAAACGAGTTAATAGACTAAGAGTCGATAGTAGCGTTAAATAGGTCTATAAAGCCCTATACCGCTAGACTTAATAGGCTAATAATAGCCTATGCCTTATCGATAGATTAGGAGGTCTAGTACTAGGGAAGGCCCCTATACTAGCTTCCTATAAGAACCTAAGTAAGTAAAGTCTCCTATCCTACCTTAGTAAATCCTATATAATAGTTATATAATATAATTACGTATACTATAATACTAATCCGCTAGCGTAGAGCCTAATTAGCGTATACGCGGAGATACTCGGTAGCTTATACGGAGATACTCGGTAGCCGGCTCGGCGGATATACTAGCTGTATAGGGCTATTAAGTTTAGTTAATAGGAAACACTTTACCTTATTTTTTAAAAGATACGGTTTAGTTCTACTATCTACTACTACGATTAGTAGAGGGTATTCTATACGTTACTATAGACCTATTTTCTAATAGCTAGTAAACTATCGAGAAATAGTAGTATTAGGTTTAGTATCTTAAAACTAGTATCTAGCTTACTAGATAACTAGGTATCGAGACTATCGTATCTAGCCTTATACTCGAAGCTAATATACTACTAGTAATACGAGCGGTCGCTTTCTACTATATTTCCCTAGAAGTTTAAGAGAAACTACGTTAAATAGCGGCGATTAGTACTATAGACCTTAAAGTATTTATAGCCTACTATATTCTTAGGTCTATATACCCTTAATTTATAATCTAAGGCCTCCGAGATTACCTAGCTTTAGCTCTTATACCTACTATAGCCTCTTACTACGTATCTCTTAAAACTAGCGCTTTTTTAAATTATATAGCTTAGGAGATAGAGTAGTAGCGGCGGTAGTAGCGGCGGCGGCGGTAGCCTCCGTTTATAACTATATAGAAGGGCTTAATTATATAGCTAATATTAGATATAGAAGGGCAGGGGTAGAATAGCGATAGTAAGGTATATATAATAGCAATAGCGATAGTTGAGTAGAAAATAGCTATCGCGATCGGACGACTGATTAATAAATAGCCGGGGCTAATATACGAACAGTCGCGCCCCGTACCGTATCGCTCTAGTGTAGGGTGAACTAACCCATTAGTTGCCGAACGGTGGCCCTAGCCCTGCAAAGCCGTTTTCCCTGAGCCCGCAGTGAGCATCTGCGTGCAATCATCGACCGATCTGATTCTCTAATAGGCTAGCCGGGCGATCCTGAGCCTGAGCCTGAGCCTGAGCCGGAGCCGGAGCCTGAGCCTGAGCCAGGGCCTCCGCCGGCCTCAATGCACGGCACGCTGGTCGCTCTCGCACCACACACACGCAGCCTCTCACACTTCGCTCCGTCTCCCGTGAGGCTCAAGCTTTGCGTCGCGGCGAGCTGGCAGGCATCAAGACCCTGGAGCTGCTCACCCTCCTGCCGCAGACTTCCCGAATGACCGGGTCACAGATGTATTTCGGCTGTGGCTTGAGTGCAGCCTCCTGCCTCCTCCTGCTGCTGCTAAGTGGCAAGTGGCAAGCGCGAGTGCGCATCACGCTCGCCTGCGCGCGCTGCGACTCAGTCCATCTGGCATCAGTGCCCCTCCTCCCGCTTGCTGTATTCTAGGCGCAGGCGCAGGCGCAAGGGTAGAGCAAGACTAGAGGACCTGTACCTAACGAGACGGAGGCTGCCGCGCTGCATTCACGCTTGAGCTCAATATCATCGTCGCCCTCGCGCCCTCGCCCTCTCCCGGCAGCTGACGCTGAACCTTTTCTGCATTGCCGGCAGCCAACTGGATTCCTGCCGTCACCACGCACCTCGCACCTCGTCGACCTGACTGCACTCCTCGCCGCAGAGCATCCCATCGCATCAATCTGCCCTGACCATTGCGCTCCCTCCCATCGCCCACCATCCGAGGCCACACGGACATTGTCACCCCCGCCGCCGCCCTCCTTCAGCCTTATCTGCTCCCGAATCCCGCTCTCGCGCTGTCTGGTGTCTCCTTCTCATCCACCTGCGTCTGCATCCACCGACACCTCCATTCGCTGCAGGCGCCCGCGCTGTACCGCCCCGGAACACGCGCACCTCCACATTCGCCCGGCCAACTGTGGAGCTCCGAAGCACTTTGCACTCACTCTCACGTTCGCTGACTCCAAACTTACTGCTACCGCTCGATGCGCCTTCCATCCATCCATTCCTCTCCCCTCACCCTTCCCAGCGTTGCGTCGAACCCCATGATTGCAGCGCTGCATTGACAAAACCCACCACCGCCCCTCCCCTGGAAGGACCATGTTCTCGGGTGCGGCTGCCACTCACGCCGAGCCGCTGCGACCTTTCCAACCACATCACGAACGACATGCGAGCCACAATGACCGCTTGCCTTATATGAACCATACTCCTCGACCGGAATTGCCACGACCACTGGAACCCAGGCCTAACCATCTCCCCCAGCCCGCTTTCAACGAGCCACCGACGAGCCAAAGGAGGCCAGATGCCTTCCGCGCCGCTCCTGCGCAATCTCATTTTCGACCGCACTCTCAAAATCTACCTCGACTGCATGATATTCTAACATCGGCCCCTCCAGCGCCAAATCCCCCAGCGTACAGCAATGCATGGACCTCGACTGCCGCACCGACTGCACCACAACAGAATGGCGATAGCTATCACGGCCACACTGCGCATCACGCACCAGTGACTTATCCTCCTCAGAGCGCTGCATCATCATCATCATCATCATATCACCCTCAGCCAGATCGTCGACTAGAACTACCAATCTTGGAGACCAGTCCCGTTGCGAGGCACGACAGCCATTCGGTAGTTCCTCCATCACCCTATGGACCACATCCGGACTCTGCCAGAGAATACAATGGACCTGCACGGGAAAGGCCTCGCCAGACTTCGGTCAGCTCGTACTACCCTAATGGCGTACCGAGCCCGTATACACCCGCCGGACATGAGGAGCATCAATACCGAAGCCCCGCTACGTCGATGGATCGACCAGGAAGCAATTCCTTCACCCCTGCCGGCCCCGAGTCATCTAAAAAGTATCTTGGTGTGAGGGAAGTCGCTGGAGAAGGCACTTTCCACTTTTACGAGGGCGGTTATCGCATCCCAACCCAGGTCGAAGGCGAGCCTGTCAATCCCGCCTGGGGACTCACCAAGGCTAACAAGCCACGCAAGCGCCTGGCCATGGCATGCTTGGATTGTCGGGAGAAGAAAATCAAGTGTGAGCCTGGCGCGAATAGCTGCTTGCAATGCGAGAAGGCGAAGCGTCCGTGTCGGAAGTAAGTTTAGGTTGTGGAAAATTTGTGTCTCACGCTTACCATCTTTGCTGCAGAGCTCCCATCCACCAATCTCAGAGCGATATCAGCACACCACCGATATGGCCAAGCAACGCAACCTCACCCATCCGAGAACGAATCTCGGATCCAACACCTTCATTTGGCCATGAGCCAGATGCCGAAGCCATGCACAAGCGGCGAAACTTGGAGGACCACTCCCCTCCCGGCACTGCAGCAAAGAAGCACCGATCTGCTTCACCGTCCTATGCGATGAATGGGACCATGGTTGCTTCGATGGGCATGAACAACCACCACACATCACCTCCGATGCCAAGAAATGACAGCAAAGCTCTCTCGTGGGATGAGGATCCATACTCTGTGGACCCACAACTGACCTTACAACTACTCGAGCACTTCTTTCAGGATGTTAATGACGCCACCTACAATATGTTCCCCAGGCATCACTTCATGCATTGGGTCAGAACATGTCCGCAGAAGTGCCAGAACGAAAGACTGGTCTTGTACGCCATGCTCGCGATGGCTTCCATCTTTGCTGATGATGCCTACTCTGCTTTCGGCAGGCAGTGTGCCAACATCACGGCGGAAGCACTACACTCAAGACATGGACGCTTTAGCATGCCAGTCGTGCAAGCACGATTGCTTCTTGGCCTGTATCATTTTGCCCGGGGTGCTAACGACTTGACTTGGGATTACATTGGGGCAGGGATGAACGCCTCAAACTTTCTTCGATACCACACCGAACAAGGTTGCGTTGACGACGAGCCGCAAATCGAGAGAGCGCGGAATGAGTTTGCATTCTCGAAAGAGCAGTTGATTGAATGCAAGCGACGAACTTTCTGGTCGGGCTTCCTGATGGACAAGTACTGCGGTGGACGCTCAACGGTGGTCACTTCTCAAGACATCTTCCTTCGAATCCCGTGCTTGGACGATCAATTCGAGCGTGGGCTCAAGTCTGAGGCCCCTTACTACAACAATGGCATCATCGATCCCGTGCACACCATCCTCACCGCCTCCAGTCCTGTGTCGCCGATCTCGTGGCTGATACTGGTATCCGCCATTTGGGGAGATGTGGTTGACTTCATGTACCGCGCGGTCCACCGATCTCCGCTTGTTTACGAAGAGGAGTACGAAACGTTCTACGAGCGAACTCGCAACGCTCTCCAAGGCTGGTCCTCACGACTGCCGGATCAATTGCACTTTTCCCAGGCCAACGTGGAACGCAGCATCAAGGGCGGCTACGCAGGACCATACATCTCTATGCACATTTTGTATCATCTGTCGTTGGTGAAGATGAATCGATTTGTACGCCATGCGCTGGTACCAAAGTCGATTACAAGAAATATCCGGGCTACCACGCGGCACTCACATGAGCTGCTGCAGGTCATGAGCACGTTACGAGCAGCCAAATGGGACATGGCCGAGAAAGACGGCCACATCGCATCGTTTTCCTTCACCACACCCTTCGCTGGCTACGCCATCCTGGCTGCAATCGATGTCGTCGGAGCCGGCGGTCTAGACTCCAACCTGAAGGCTACTCTGGACCTCATCAGCTGCGGACTCGAATGCCTACGCGAGCTTGCGAGATACTGGAACAGTGCGCGTGACCAGGACAAGGCATGCGAGACGCGCTACTACCAAATTCATAATGTTTTGAAACACCCGTTCACCGCTCGCAGCGGCTGCTGGCTGGGCCGCGAGTGGGGTGTGCATTCTTCCCTAGAGCGGGAATTCGACGCCGAAAACGACTGCATTTACGGCGCTGAACTGGACCGGGCGTACTTTGATGCATTGAAAGACGAAACTACTACTACTACTACAAATGGGACCAACGGAGGAGGCTTACGCATTGCTTGATTTTGAGACTTCACGCGTGATATCCGACAGACCAGAGTCCAACAGGAGGCTACGTGTTTTGTGCGAAAAAAAAGGTTCAAAGGAAAGAAAGAAGGGCTCGGAAATACAGGACGATTTGACGATGAGCAGCCATCTCCACTAATAAATCCCAGTGTTCCCTTTCTTTCAGTCGTCCCCTTTAGCCGCCGCCGCTTAAGGACCGGGGTTGTAAAGCAATGTATAAGACCCTCTATTCTAATTAATTGTAAATTCCCAACTCCCCCCTTCCTACCTCGCTATCCCCCGGTATTCGGCATTTCTATCCCTAATCGCAACGACTCGCACTATAATCCTATATCCCGAATTATTCGAGTAGCTTGCTTTACAACGAGGATATACGAAAGGTATTATGTTTTTATTACAAAAAGCTACTATAGAGCCGCGCTAGTACCTACGATAAGATAATCTTCTCTCCTACTATATATATATATATATATATATACTATCGAAACGTTAAAGTCCTATCTCGTATATCTATATTCTAAGAAATTAGAATAGTATAGCTCTAACGCCCGCTATAGGAGAAAGAGACTTAAATCTCCGAGTCGGCTACGCGTCGGTACCGTCGGTATTCTAAGAGAATAATTTAAACTCCGAAATACGAAACGCTATATACGTATATACGTTCGTACGTAGTCTATAACGATTTCCGATTTCCGATTTTCTAAGATAGATATATATTAAGATTAGAATTTTTAAAATCCGGCTTTGTATTTATAGGTCGGGTTAAAAAGAAGAAGAAGAAAAAGAAGAAGCTAGATAGTAGAACGTGCTAGTATAGAGCGCGGGTACTATTGTTTTTATATAAAGAAAAAAAAAGGATATAGGTGCTAAATAGTAAAGTATAGACGAGTTATATTATATTATATTTTATCGGTACTACTATATAGGGTTAAATACCGGCCGGAGAGAGGTAGTCGGCCCTATAGCTATTTCCGCTTCTCTATCTATATACTAGATTATAGGAGAGATCTTTAATAACTATAGACAAGTATAGCGAGAATCGAGTAGTATAGCTACTAGATATTAATAATTATACTCTACTTTTCCGAGTAGAGAGGAGTTTGTCCTAGTCCTCTAGTATTTCTATAGAAATCTTAGTAGTAGGCTAATAGCGTCGGCCTAATATTATAGGGTGTTACGGGTAAGTAACGCGTACGTAGATGCTAGATATAAGACTTAATAGGTTCGATAAAGAGCTAAGTCTATCTACGTGAATCCGAATAGTTTTGTGCGGTGCGCTAAGCGCTAAGTAGTAGGTTAGAGTCGCGTAGGCCGAATGCCTAAGGCTAGCGCTTTCTACCTAGGGCGTAGCCCTTTATATTACCCCCGTCCTCCTCCCCTTCCTTAGCGGGGATAGAAAGCCCTCCGTAGTTTCTATCGCTATTACTTTATCCGTTAGATCTGTACCTATCTAAGCTTCTCTAGAGTAACGCGCTCGTAGTTTCTTCCTTTGCGATCGGGGTTTCCGCTACTTTCCGGTCGGAGTTGCCGTACCTAGGGTTTTAACGACTGTAACTTTCTTCGCGACTGCTAAACCGCGCTCTTTTACCTGCTTACTACCTTCTAGAACGCGCCGTAACTGCGCTTTTAAACGCTTTACTTGCAATCGCGCTTTCCTTTGCTTTCGCGACCTTTACTTCGGCGTCGCCTTCTAGGAGTATTAATATTTCCTTCTTCTTCTTCTTCTTCCTCTTTTCTTTATATATACCTCTACTACTACTACTACTACTAATACCGTAAGTCCCTCCCCTTTCTCCTCGGTTCCCTTCGCAAAATTAACTTATCCTAGATAGCTCGTCGAATTTACTACGTTAGTTGCTATAACTCCGGCGAAGACTACGCCGACTAATCTATAAGGTTCCCGTCCTATTTGTCGTAGGGTCCGCTAACCTTTCTTAAGCCCGCTAGCTCGAGGGCTTACGCTAATTGCGCTCGTAAGAGAATTGCCTACGCCCTACTATAAGTTATCGCGATTCCCGTATTAAATCTCTCGCTAACTATTTAGTCCTTAAATAGCCTACGTAGCCTACGCTAGCTATACCCGCGCGACCCGCGCTAATATCGCCGAGAAGCACTCCGAGCTTCTTAAGGTTCTTAAGGCCTAGAAAGCCCTTAAGTCTCTCTAGCCGTAGGGGTTGTTATCTAGGTAAGATTCTCCGTTCCCTACGATAAAACCCTCGCTAACCGTTTGTTTTAGCGCTATCGCCTCGGAGGTAACAAACACCGTCGCTAATATCGTAGCTTAATAGACTTAGACGTAAGTTCCTCGCTGCCCTTCGACTTTCTCTCGCTAACCTCTCTTTTTTAGTAGCGTTCCGACCGCCCTCTATCTCGGTAATAATCGTCTAGGTCCGCTAGAGGAGTAAAGGTTTCCGTAGGTTTTCTAGGGGTTTCTAGGTAGCTTCGGATATGTTATTATTATTTTTTTTGTAGTCCTAAGGTAACCTTCTAATTTCGGGCGGAGACCCGATACTTACTTATAAATACCTAAATAAAATTCTTCCTAGCTCTAAATTATGTTTCCCTTCTCTAGTATTCTAGTAATTCTAAGTCTAATAAGTTAGTAAGAAACCCAAACTCTAGAAGTTAGCAAAAGTCCCTAGAATCTATAAACCCGTTATTCCGCGGAAAAACTCTAGGTTACCGCGTTATTTCTTCCGTTTTCCTCTCTTCTCCTAATCTCCTAAAGGCCCGTCGTTCTCCTCGATTTGTCTATATTTCGCTTCGAAGTCGTTTAGCGCGGAGGTATCCGCGATATAGTCTAGGGGTTCCTACGTAGGTTTATAGTACCCGCTCTATTTTACGAGTGCTTCTCGCCCTCGGCTCCGCTTCTTTTTTCGGGTATATAGGATTTCTTCGACCTACTACTCTTTATACGTCTCAATTAAGATAGGGTCCGGCTATTCGTCGTCGGTTACCTACCCTAGAAGGGGGTCCCGGCTCGCAAGTCTTAGAAGGTCGGTATAGAATACCGGGTAAATATTACTAGGTATCCCTAAGAGTTATACTAAGACAGGCGATAATACCTCTTCTACCGTATACTTAGCGTACTTCGAGTCGAGGCTCTTCTTTAGTCTACCGGTCTAGTAATTCCTTAGGTCGAGCTAGACCTTGTCTCCGATACAATATACTAGCGCTAGAGTTCTAGTCTTGTTCGCGCTATCCTCTTATTTCTATACGGCTTCCGCTATCTATACTTAGCACAGATCTAAGATCTGCTTAATCTTATTTACGAACTCCTCCGCCCGTTTCGCTATAGTTAGCCGTCTATCGATAGCTAGGTCCTTCTCTAATATAACGGGGGAGGTAGATTCGTAACTATAAGTCGCGAAGAAAGAGCTTATTCCTAACCCCGCTTAGTATCTCCCGTTAAACGCTAGTTCTACTATAGGAAGCTATTAGTTCTAATCGGACTATATCTAGTTAATATAGTTCTATAGGTAAGCTTGTACGTCTTAGTTTACGCGCTCTAGACCTCCGTCGGTTTGTAGGTAGTAGGCGGAGCTTAACCTCTGCTTTACGCCGAGTAGTCGATATATCTCCCTCTAGAAAGTGCTCGTCTAATTCGTACCTCTATCGCTAGTAATAGTACGAGGAAGTCCGTAATACCTAACCTAGTATTTTAGGAACAAAACCGCGTATTCCTCTGCTTTTATAGAGGGAGTACCGATAAGGGCGATCTATTTACTTAGGCAGTCTTTAATTACCTATAGATACCGGTTCCTATCTAACTCCGGTAGGTTAGTTATAAAGTCTATCGAGATTTCCTAGAAGAAACGGTCGGGTACCGGTAGGGGTTTTAGGAGGCCGTGTTTGTGTTCCCTCTATACCTTATTGCGTCTATAATAGTTGCAGTTCCGTAGGAATTGCCGCACCTACTTCGACTATAGCGGCTAGTAAAAGTCGCGACTTAGTATAGAAGTAGTAGAATCCCGGCCGGGGTAGCTGTAGAGCGGCGAGTCGTAGATCGACTAGATAATCTTCGTATATAGTATATCCTGCTATAGTTCCTCGGCCCCTATATCTTTATATTCGGTTTCCGTCGTCGCTAGGGCTCCTAGAACCTAGAGCTTGCCGCGGTAGCGAAGGAACCCCTTAGGGTCTATTATATAATCCCCGATCTGAATTTTTGCTTTAATTTCCGGTTGTAATGTTCTGCCTCCCTTACGGATTTTTCGTACTACCGTCTAGTATACCGTATCTTTCTCGACAATGCTCTTCTATATATCGTTTATCTCTAGGTCCTAGAATAGTTTAGCGCTTTCCGGCGAAGGCTATGCGGGCTCCGTTTCGTTCGCGAGTAGGGATAATAGGGTCGCCTTCGTTATACGTAGGAAGCTACGGATAGTAGTACTAGAAATCTAGACGTTTTCCGGCTAGTTTAGAGAGAGGTCCGGTTCTAAGAATCTCCGGAACCTCGAAAGCTTGTCGTCTTAGCCTAACGTATCTTATTCTCTCCTCGATAAGGTATCCGGTAGGATAGCTTCGATTCCCGGCCGGTAGACTAAGGTAAACTAGTACTTCGCTAGTTCTTCCTACTATCGGATCTATCTTTCGGACAGCTAGCGCTTTACTATAAAGTATTCTAGGTTCTTATAGTCCGTCTAAATCGTAAAGGGGCTATATAATTTCAGCTCGGAGTCCTAAAACTTAATACTAGACACGACTGCTAGTATTTCCTTATTGTAGATATCGTAATTAATCTCCGCCTTATTTAGTTTCTTCGAAAAGAAGCCTACCGGTCGGCGGATTCCCGCCTTTTCTTAGATAAGGGCGCCCCTAATCGCGAACCCGCTACAATCCGTCTTAAGGAAGGTAGGGAGGGACGGGTCCTACTAGGTAAGTACCGGGGCGCGGTAGAATTTGTCCTTTAGCGTCTCGAACGCTTTGTCCTATTCTTCTCCCTAGGCGAACGGGGTTCCCTTACCGGTAAGCGCAGTTAATAGCGCGGAGATCTTAGAATAGTTTAGTACGAATATACGGTAGTAGTTCGTAAATCCTAAGAAACGACGAACTTCCTTTTAGGTCTTAGGTACTACCTATTTTCGTATAGCTTCTACCTTTTCGGGGTCGGCTAATACTCCTCCTCCGTTAGTATAGACGATAAACCCTAGGTACTTAATCTTTTTCTAGGCGAATTCGCTCTTTTTAATATCGAGGTAAAGGCCTCCGTCCTAAAGCTTCTTAAGTACCGCTCTTATCTTACGGAAATAGTCTTTCCTCGACCCGCTCGAGTAGATAACTACGTCGTCTATATATACCGACGCGAAGTCGTCTAGATACTCCTATAGGAGAGTATTAATATACCGTTAAAATATAGCTAGGGCTCCGGACAAACTAAACGGGCATACTAGCTATTTAAACGAGCCTAGCCTCGTCCGGAAGGCCGTCTTATACTCGTATCCTTTTGCTATTCTAATCTTATAAAAGGCCGAGACTACGTTAACCTTAGTTAACTACCGGGCCTCCGTTAGGTTCCTTATAGTATCCGGGATTAGTAGGAGGGGGTATCTGTCTTACTTCGTTAGAGCGTTAAGCGCCTTATAGTCGTAGTAGAACTGTAGTCCTCCCCCGGGCTTCTTAACGAACAGTACGAGCGCCGCCGCTTCGGAGTTCGCCGGTCTTATAAACCCCTTCTTTAGGAGCTCGTCTAGCGACTTCCGTAAGACTAAGAGTTCTTATTTCGATATACTATAGAGCGGACCCTAAGGGAGTTAAGGCTAGGATCCGTCTAGTTTCTTTTAGAGTTCTATTATATAGTCGATACTAGGGCGATAGGGCGCTAACTTATCGGCTTCTTTTTAATAAAATAGCGCGGCTATATCGCGAACCTCCGGGGGTAGCTTCTTCTTTAGCTCCTCGATCGTCGGGTATTCCCTCGTTTTTAGGGCCTTTTTAATGTCCTCGGCAATTGTTACGGTAAGTAGGCTTCTTACGGCGTTAATCGTAGCGATGTTCCCGTTCGTATCGACCTCGCGGTAATAGCGCCCTTCTTTAATCTAATACCGAGCCCTCCCGTAGTAGTACCGTCGTTTTTTAGGCGCAGTCCGGACCTTGTTATATACCTTCTATAGGTTCCCTAGGATAAGGGGAAAAGCTAATCCCGGTACGACGTAAGCGTATACCGTTTATTAGAATCCGTTAATTTCTATCCGAAAGGCGATAACTTCTACAATTTTCGCGTCTTATATTACTACAGACGCTCCTTTTACTTCTCGGGACTTACGGCTAATATAGCTAAGTCCGAGGCCTTTAGCTAGGCCTGTATTAATTGTAGCGTAATACTAGTATCCTTCGTCGATAAGAGTAGAAGTTCCGACGTTATTTTCGAGGACTATATCGGTATATATAAGATTCCCGTTTATATCCTTTTTAACTTCTTCCTATTTCTTTGCCTATACTCTATCTACTTCCGACTTCTAACTACGAGTAGGAGTTACTCTTTTCCCGAGTCGGAACTGCTTAAGTCCGACTATTCTTCCGTATCCTCTAGAATAGGTTATACGGAGGCGATACTAATCTTAGTAGGCTAAGCCGGCGGGGCGTACGGGCAATCTCGAATACGGTATCCGCTCGCTTTATAGCGGAAGTAGAGTCTTTTCTCTTTATGCTTCTCTCTTTCTATAGAGTCGACCTATTTAGCCCTAGGTTTCCCCGCCGTCGATTGTTAGGCTCCGCGGTTCTTTCTACGGGAAGCGTTAGTTTAAGCGGGATTTATAACTACGTCTCTATTAGAGTCGACCTTCGGGTTCGCCGCGGGGGCCGTATAGGGGGGAATAACGACTATAGGACTCGCTACTTCTTTCTTCCTTTCTTACTAGCGTTTCGTAGCCTATTTAAACTAATCTGTCGACTTAAGGTTCGTTATAATCCGCTCGACCTCCTCTATATAGAGGTAGTAATCCTTAATCTTTAGTACGGCGGTAGTATAGGTCTTAGCTGCGTTCGAGAAGGTATTCTTTAAATAACCGATTTTCGTATCGTCTATCTAACGGTCTCCGCCTACGCTTAGTAGGAGGCCGTCGAATTCTAGCTAGTAGTCGTACTAAGGTTATCCCTAGGAGTGCCTTAGGGCTTAGAGTTGCTCTAGCGCCTTTATAGCTTCGTTGCTATCCGCGAAGACGTCCTCGAGTTGCTAGAAGAAAGCTTCGGGGTCCTTTCCTTTTATAAGGCTTCCTCTTTCCTAGAAGTAGCGTATCCTAGCGCGTTCCTTTGCTAGTAGGGTATCGTATACGGTGTCCTAGTAGTAATCTTCGGAGAGCTTTAGTTTTAGCCCGGAACGAACTCGATACGAACTCCTTAGTCGTAGTAGGTAGTCCTAGAACGACTCGGCTTTCCTATCCTACGATAGTAGTTTCTACTCGCGGGATGCCGTTACGTTTTAGCCGGAAGCCGAGAGAGTTTCTAGTAGTCCCTTTAGGATCTCGTTCGTAGACTAGTCTCGTACTAAACTAGCTTCGGGAGGCCCGAGCTAGCGAGACGCTTCCGCGTATTAGAGCGCGGAACGAGTAGCTTATAGCTAGGCTTCTATCGTCTACTGTCTAGTATAGAGACTCTCGAAGGTACGATAAATCTCGTCCCTAGTTATCTCTAGTGCGGTAGGGGCAGCGTTCCCCTAGCTATCTTGCTCGGGTTCCTAATAAACCTTAGCGTTTCCTATATTAAAGATCGAACCTAATATTACGGGTAAGTAACGCGTACGCAGATGCTAGATGTAAGACTTAATAGGTTCGATAAAGAGCTAAGTCTATCTACGTGAATCCGAATAGTTTTATACGGTGCGCTAAGCGCTAAGCAGTAGGTTAGAGTCGCGTAGGCCGAATGCCTAAGGCTAGCGCTTTCTACCTAGGGCGTAGCCCTTTATATAGGGATTGCGATAAGCCGAGCTTTTAGTAACCGACTAGGGTCCGATAGTAGATAGTAGACTACCGGCGGGCTACGTTACTATATCGATAAGAGCTACGTCGCTTATCTCTATCGATAGGGATAAAATAGTACCTACGTTCTCTCCTTTCTATAATTCTTTAAGATTCTTCTTCTATACGAATAGAGGCTATTATATTACTAGTATATAACCTAATACTTGTTTTATATATCTTTACGTCTAATAATATCCTAATAATCTCGACTAGCGTCTAGTAAGAAAGAAACGAAATATATATCGATCTAGACTTAAATCTATAGTATAGTACTAGCTAGGTCTCCCCTTATCGCCTAAGTATATATTTAAAGTTCGAAACTAAAACCTCTATAGGAATCGCGTATTACAATTTACCTATTATTCTCGGTTTTAAGTCTCTACTATATAGATAGGTCTTAGTCGGAGTTATAACTGTTTCTAGTCTAGTCTAGAGGCTATTTTAGGAGAAAGATTTATAGTATTTCGCGTAAGGTTATAAGGAGGGGATCCTTAATAGGTAAGTCGAATAGAATATTCTAGTCTATAGGGGATTACTATACTAGAGAATGCTTCGCTTAGGAAACTACTAGTACTACGGCTCGTAATAGGCGAACGTAGCGGAAGGTTACAATAAATTTTTCGCCCCGTTTTCTGCTAGTATAGCATGCGTTTAGGTCGATTGTAGGCTCGGGTTAAGAGTCTCCGTATATGCAGCTAAGCGAAACTTCGCTATAGCCTTGCATGCCTGCCTGCCTGCCTGCCTCCCTAGCGATACGAGTCTCGGTCGTCGTTAATAGCATGGTGTAGTAGTTCAATGCTGATGACAGTTACGTACGTCTGCAGTGGCGAATGGTCGAGACTCTACCCCAGTATTCAGCCAAGGTCATCCATCACCCATCCGGTCCCGCAAATGTGGATCGCAGCCCTCACTACTATTCTCATCAACGTGAGTGAGGAAGAGCAAGCATATCACTAACTCTCTTTTCCCTTCTTCGAATCCACAATATCCAAATACGCGAATTCCTTCCTCGCCAACTGAACATTCACCCTCGCCGCATTGAACGCCGCCTCATCACTCGGCATCACCACAGCAAGATTCGTATTCTCCGTAAGTCGCGTGATAAAAAACATAAAATCTCCCGTCTTGATCTGCATTTCCGCAAACGAGACTTCCGAAGGCATCATCCCCGTATGTTTCGACATGGAATGTTTGTGAGTTTTGAGGATACTGCTGATACGTTCGAAGCGATCGGCATAAGGATTGCGTGATTCGTTGCCGCGAGTTATGTGCGTTACGACGAGGCATGTCGTCCGCTCGTAGAGAATCATCTCGCGCGCATCGAGGAGTTCGGCTAGTTTCTGAAGCATTCCCTCAATCGTTGACGCATTCGGGACGAGGAAGTAGATCACCTGCGTCCACGCGCGGTACAAACTTTGATCCCAGATCGAGCTGGAATGGAACTCGACTTGCTTTGCGGAGAAGCCTTCCTGCTCGCACGTCGCGCGCACCTCTTTGACTTTCTGCGCGTACACGGTATTCTTCTGATCCGGAGCCACGAGGTCCATTTTGTGCACCAGCACGAAGATTTTGCTGTTCGGACTGAATTCCTGTAGGGCTCGGATCGTTGACGCAAAGCTGATTAGATCCGGCGCGGCTTCTTTGGATGCGATGTCGAAGACGAATATGAGCACGGCGACGGATGTGAAGACGTGGGATCTTTGATTCGTCAAGTATGATTCGACGAAGGAATCTTGACTGTTGGAATCAGTGATGATATGACCTACGATGCCTTGCGCATGGGTCTGGACATATGCTCACTCACCCTCCGCAGTCCCAAAGGTTGAGCATTAGATTCCCCATGAATTTGATGTTGCTGTGCTCCACGTCCACGGTCGCGCCCAGTCTTCGGACGTCTTTGGCCACATAGTTCTGGAATATCATGGATCGCATCGAAGATTTTCCTGCGCCGGACCTGCCCATTAGCAGGATCTTGCGCTGCTTGTGGCGCTTCGTGCGCTCGAGCGTGCTCATTTTGGAGGACTGTGTTGCCCGAGAAAAGATGAGTGATGGCTTCTTCAATTTGCTGTCTTCTATGGGGGTTTGTTTTTGCTGTTGACAACGTCGGATGCTGCTGCCGGAAATTCCGTCGTCTGTGCGGAGCAAAGCCCGAAACTCAATAGTTCTAAGACCTTCTCTTCTTCTTTTTCTTCTGCACTCTCATCTCATGATTTCTTTCTTACATTCACGATTTTGGTATTACTGCTTTCTACGTGTGTCACCGACACGATACGGCCACGCGAGCTCGCCTTCCACTATGCCTTCCCGGCGTTTCAAGTACACTATGTACACTGTACACTGAACCAATTGTTTGCCACTTCATCATCTCCTTCCATGATCTGCGAATAGCTTTGTCTCGAGAACACCCCTGAGAGCCGAAGTCTGAGAACCGATGCCACGCGAGAATGCCAACTCTTCTTGGGCTGGGCTTGTGCCTCGGCCACCGTCAGCCAAGCTGTGCGCTGTATGGATCGTGGTGTATGCCAAGCTGACGTCTATATTACATAGTCCTGCAGCTACTGTTACAATTGTGTCCCGCTCAGCCCGCGATGTGGCTTGCTACCTGAGCCAACGAGTGCTTGTCGGAGCCTTGTCCCAACCCCCAAACCTCGAACGCTTATCTAAACTTCAGCCACGAAACTCCAGCTCGATTGAACTCAAGACTAGCGCCTTGGGCTTCCGCGATCACACCTGTGCCGCATCTTGGTTACCGTCAGACACGGCTAAACCACGTGAAGCTACAGCGCCGGGAGAGTTACGGCGTGTCGGCGTGTCCGTCCTGGAAATCCTTCTTCCCACTCTTCCCCTGCTGGCTGCTGCCCTGCCCTATTCAAAAAATGGCACTATTATAGCGTCCGACCGCTGTCAATCCTCTGTGGCTGCGGTATGCCGTATGCCCAAGCGAACCAGCACCACACGTCACCCTTCCGGCAATGCAGCTTAGCGAGGATCGTTAGTAGGATCTGTGACTGTGATAGTGACGGCCCTTGCGCCAAGCTTATCGTAGTTCTACCTCCAACGTCGAAGGATTCATTGTATACGAAACGTATCAATCACACAACCTCGGTGGCTGCTGACACAAGATTATGAGGTGTGTGGTCATCTTTGTCAACGTCATCTGAAACAGCCTCCAAATTCACCATCTAACCAATGACCGATCTGTTGGAGACTGTCAGCCGGTCAGCATGGTGAGCGACCTTGAAATCTGCTGCACTTTCAGGATTTCAAGATCAAAGCCACCACATCCTCATGAGCTGTGTTGACATCCTCATGAGCCGTGTTGATGGTCAACTAATGCCTTTTCAGTTCGTCTGCGGCCGAGAATGTGATGAGAAATCCCAGGAATTCGGTATGCTGACCAGCCAGGCACCGTAAGTTGGATTCCGTCGAATTTGCTCACGCGCCCGTATATCGCGCAGCGTCAGGCCTGTGGACGTCTGGAGCAAGAAGAAGTGGGAGTTGTGGCAAACTTCGATGGATAACGGATACGTGGGCGCATTGCTCGGCAGACAGGCCGAAGCTGCACAAAAATTGTGTTGGCATTTTGCGGGCGACGACGATACTACCGATGTCGTCGCAGAACTTCGCTCATGAGCAGTCTGGTCCGTCGTAGCATGTTGTCGAATCATATGGACTCTGGAGCTATCTCCTTGGGATCGCAAGGGTCGAGATCTAGAGTTGATCAGTTCACAAAATGTTGCGATAGGAAGAGCATTCACATGCTTACTGTATGGTTATCCAGAGATGTCGGGTACATTGCCTTGATCACGACCTTTTCGAGCAACATGGCGGTGTCTTTTGAGCCTTCCTAGCATGGTATGATGTATTCGGCATTGCAAGAATAAGTCCATGTAATGCCCTCCACGATCAATCAAGCTCATCACCGTACCTCCTCAATACGGTTTGCCATGCTCAACCCTACTGTGAACAACAAATTGCCAGAAGAAGATACAATATAAGAGATGTCGTCGACTTTCAATTCCAGGAATGCCAGTCAACACAAGTAAACCCAATGCCGACCCGACCCATGCTCTCCACATGCAAGTGTTTACATATTACGTCATAAGCCGAGCTCCCAAAAAACCACCACCACAGTAAGTGAAAGTCATCCATACACCTTATTACCAATACTGCCATCAACATCAAACATCGAAATGTCCTTCCGCCTCCCCCTCGGTCTCCTAAACCACTCCCTCCGCAGCACCCCCCTCTTACTCGGCGCAGCAACAGGCACAACCCTCTACCTCGCCCCCCAACTCTTCCAACCTCGCCGCCCCCTCCTCCTCGATACCTCACCCTCCACAATCTCATCAAAAGACTGGTCCACAAATTCACACTCCAGACCCCAACGTCCCAACATCCGCACAATCCGCCAACTAACCGCAGGCAGCATATTCGGTACAAAAAATCCCCTACCCCCCTTCGAATCAACTAACCCTCCCCTTCCCTTCTAGGTCTCATCTCCGGCCTCGCGGTCTCCCTCTTCTCAAAACCTTTAGCGTTGCTCCTTGGATTACTGGTTGTAGGAGTGCAAACGGCAGAAGCGTATGGGATAAAATTAGTGCCGTATAAGACTTTACAGGGTTATGTGAAGAGTGTGGATGTGAGGGGATTGGTGAGGGAGAATGTTGCGTTCAAGGTGAGTTTTGGGGTGATGTTTGCGCTGGCGGCGTTGGCGGAGTTGCCGGAATGAAGGAATGAGATGATGGGGGGAAGGGGATGGGAGAACGGTTACTTGGGATGGACCCATTGGGTATGGAGTAGCCTCAGATGGGATGATTTGTATATATCTCCGAGAAGAGAAGAGTCGTTGAGGGAAATGGTAACGATACACCAACGACTTCTTCCATGCATAACCGTCTATGAATCTGTTCAAGACTAGGTGGGTATCTTCAACACCAATAATAGTACAATAAGACATGGCCAACGCTTCTTGGACATCAAGAACATCCTCGCGTCCCAATGTCAACAAAGTCGCTCAGAAATGTTGGCAGAGGAGCCTTGTCATCACCCTGCTCCATGATATTCCTCAAAACCATCATCGCATTCCCCAACCACTTCCTCTTCCCCTTCCGCTCCTTCCTGTTTCCCTGCAGATTCGCTCGACTGGCTTCGAGACGCAAATACAACTCCCTATGCGAAGCATTGACTGGTGGCTCCCAAACCTCGCTCCAACCGTTCGCTGGTTCCACGTCAGGAATTTCGTATTTCTGACATGTCGCAGCACCAGCGACATCTTCACCAAAATAATCCCGTATAGACTTCGGCAGAGAAACATCTTCGTCGCCCTTTTCAATAAGTGTCTTCAACTTCAACAGCGCAAGTCGATACCATCTCAACTGTTTCCTGCGCTGCCCACCATCAACGTGGCGATTCGCTCTGTCTCGGTCGGCTTGTAATTGCAAGTACAGCTCTCTGTGCGGAGCATCGATCGGTGGCTCCCATGTATCAATGACGCTTTTCGTCGTTTCCTCCAGAGCGGCTGGTTCTGGGCTGTCTTCTGCTTCTGGAGATATGCTTGGAGGGTTATGACGCGAACCCTGCTGGTAGTCGATTCCCTCTTCAGCACCATCGGATTCATCGTCACTGTCATCTGGAGTGGGTGATAATCTGCGCAAACCATATCTCTCTCGAGTTCGACGCATCGCTTTTATCGCCATGGCTTTCGTTACTTCGGAAGCGCTGTTGGAACGTACTCGATTCAAATTGTTCATGTATCGCCTTCTATCAGCCATGGCGGTAGGCTCCTAACGCCCACTCCTTCTTCTCTTTGACCCTTCAAATTGTCCAGAGCTCTCTTCGTGTCTCCGCTTCCTGCCATCAGGTCCTTCATCGCGCGGCGGACCTCTCCTTTCCTCCTCACGTCGGATGGGTCCTTGCCCTCGGAACTCTTCTGATCTACCCCCAGGTCCTGTGGGAGGTCCCGCTCGACCTCTCCTTCCATCGTCACCACGCTGCCAATCACCCTGAGGTGGGGCATTGAAGACGGCAGCTTGATCCGGCAGGGGTCTGCGAGGAGGTTGGTCATCCGTACGTGGCTGGCGACGGTCACTCCTAGGTCCATCGCGCGCCTGCAGATCTCGATTGCGGTCATCACGAGGCTGTCTATCATCGCGCGGGCCTTGACGACGATCTCTGTGTTCCTCTGGAGGCGGCGGTGGAGGAGGCGGAGCGTTTAGCTGACGCTGTCGTCCGGCACTCTCGTGACGCTCACGACTGGGATGTCTGCTGCTGTGATGAGAGCGACTGCCGCGATCCTCTTCGCGATGGCGACCACGATCTTCGCCGCGATCAGATCGGTGGAAGAGATCCGGACGACTACCACCCTGTTCTTCATACGAAGAGTGATTTTGCGAAGGCTCCATGGAAGATGCGAGAACAGGCGGGCCACCTCTCGTAGCAGGAGATGGCTGTTGCGAGATGCTCGACTGCCTAGCTGATGCGCCTCGGACCTGAACGCCTTGTCCTTGTCCTGGCGTGCCTGTCGTGTTGGCTCCTTGCAACGTAGCGACGATGCTACCCATTTGACGCTGCCCATTACGCCTCTGTCTATCAGCAGCAGTTGCAGGTCCTGTTGGAGGCATATTGTTTGAAGGTCCGGGACCAGTGGGAGTGCCGACAGGAGGGCCACTCCTGCTCGGTCCTCTGGGTCCAGAAGGTACCGCTGAAGTAGGCGATGAGGCATTTCGAGGGCCATTCGGCGGAGGAAAGTTGGTCTGTATGGGTTCAGGCTGTCCAAGCTGTCGCGCTCTGCTTGGATGGACTGGAGGTCCTTCGCTTGCTGGAGTCGATGGAGCTGAGTTGGGTGCAGATTGTCGATCCATTTGCTGTATCTGGCTACTGTTTTGACGTTGCGAACCACGAAGGGCTGCAGGTGACTCAGGAGGTCGAGTTGTCATCGGCGAAGGAGCGTTGTGCTCATTTCCACGAGTGCTGATTGGACCAGGCGTTGTGAAGTTCCGTCCCTGTCGTCCGCCCGGGGCATTCTTAGGTCCCGAAGGAGGTTCTGAAGGACCGTTCAGGCGGCCGTAGCTCGATTCGGCCTGAGGTGGACCCATATCATTTCGCAACCTGCCCGAACGAGGTCCTCTTGGCGTCAGATCTTGCTGCGGCTCAGCACGAGACTGAAAATCTCGAGGCGCTTCCGGAGGAATGCGTCCATTCTGTCGGCTGTCTGACCGAGGCTGCATCGGTGGCGCATTTCGATCATCCACATGGGAGTCGCGATCTCGTCGCATATCCCGTTCATTACCGGGCCTATCTCTCGGCCCACGGCCTGCGCCTGGAGAGTCATTGGCAATATTTGCCAGACGAGCTGGATTGACCATGGATGTGTCTTGCGGAGGCTGTGCAGGACGCTGTGGCTCCGGCGCGACAGCGACTGAAGATACATGGCTCATTCGCTCAGGATGCATGTGGCTGTCAGATTGTCGTGAAGTAGGCTGCGGTCGGTCGCGGCTGTCGGAAGGATATCGGCCCTGCTGCGGTGGCATATCTCGAGGAGGAGGCTCATCACGTCGTGGCATACGGGCATCGTCGCGAGCAAAGCGACTGTCAGCCGGTGGTCTGTCATATGATTGACGTTCATCGCGATATGAGCCGCGAGTGGCAGCGCCTGGCGGGGTCCTAGCTCGTCCATTGCGGTGCCCAGGTGACTGATCTCTTGATGGAGGCCGCATCTCTCCGGGTCTGTCGAGACGACCGTAGTGCTCATCTCTTGATCGATGATCATCTCGGGTAGGATAGCGCAAGCCTGATCGTGGAGTCGATGCGGCTGGCAGTGGCTTGGCTGCCGGTTCCGGTCGTGATGGGAGATTCTGTTCGCCACGAATGGCTGATGATCGTGACTCTGGCCGCTGAGGCACACTCGGGTGAGGCGTCTGTCTTGATGTTGCGGGAGCGGGCGTGCTTGGCTTCGACTCGGCCTTCGGTGTGTCGCGAGCTGGAGTAGGACGTGGCGGGAGATGCTTGTCCTTGGCAGCGACATTGGCCTTATCCGTAGTGTCTTTCATCTGGACATCGGCATTCTTCGCTGCTGTAATCTTTTCATCTTCAATCTCACCATCTTCAGGCCCACCAGCAACAGACTCTTTGCGAGCGTCCATCGCACTGCTTGGCTTGAAATCTGGTGCGTTGGCATTGAGCTTCGACGTATCAGCTCCAGGCTGTGGTGTCTCTGGTCGGGCAGATGGACCTCGGCTGACAGGACGTGTGCCCGAGCCTTCCTTGCCCAGCCTGAATGATTGTGGCATCACCCATTGCTTCTCGCGATTCTGCAATGGACCACGCAACGACATTGCAGCAAGCTTGAGATCGCTGCGTGGATCCTGCTCAGATAGTCTCTTCACCTGCTCCAACATGTTCTTGCCCATGTGCTTGAGAGCTGGGAAGACTTGATGAATGCCCTTTAACACAATAATGCCATTACGAATGTGCATGTACTCGCTCGATTCGAAACATGCCTGAAGAGAGGTGTTCAGAGCGGCGTGGAAGTTGAATAGCATGCGTCGGAAGTCCTCAAAGTCGATGACCGTCTTGGGCTCGCCTTGCTCGTCGAAAGTTTTCACGAAGCCTGGCAGCTTCTTCTTGAGGCCAAGCGCTTCCTTTTCGTAGACTGCCTTGTCCGCATGCCAGCGATGAAGGAGTTTCAGCACTTCCCACAGGAATCGTGCAAAGTGTTGAGCCTCGTTGGCTGTACATTGGAAGATCAACACGGCAAGCTCCTGTTTCTTGAACAATTGATTAAGCAGGTGCATCAGCTGAAAGCCAGGCGTGCCGTTGGCATGCATGAGTTTCAGCATCTCAAAGGCGTAGTGGGCGTCGAGCGACGACAGCATCGCTCTAGGCAAGAAGCACTCTTGGAGAAGCGCAATGTGTCTGGCGTCTTTCTTCACTCTCTTCTCCGGATCATTTTCTTCGATCTTCGGGAACCAGAACATATTCTCGCCAGGAACAATTTTGTTTCCGCTCTTGTGACCGTTGATGCGATTGCGTACAGCCATGTAAGCGGCCATGTGTTGCATCGGCTCGGATTTCAGTCGATCGTACCATTGTTGCAGATCTCTCTTCTTCTTGTCGCGATCCTTAGCAGCGACAGTGGTCATGTCCGATCGATCAGCCTGAATTTCCTTGATCTGTTGCTCGATCCTGTTGGTCTCCCGTTGGTAGCTGTCTGTAGGCACAAGAATGTCTTGATGCGCAAGAGTCCAGAAGGTGACGTAGAATGGGATGCTGATACGTTCTGCCAACTCTGGTAGCTGCTCAGTGAGCTGCTGAATGACTGGCTCGAGCACAGGATGCCATGGACTGGTGGTAAGCGTCTGCGTTTCCGCAGCTTCCATACTTCCTTCACGGTTCTCGAGTTTAATTTCAGGTGGGCTGCCGGCATCCAGCAGCTTCGCTTCCACGTCGGCAGGTGTAGAAGCTTCCTTCATGGCTGCGTCGCCATCCTTGTCAGCAGATTCGGGTTCGCCTTTCTCCTTCTTCTCATCGGCATCTTCTTGTCTCTTCTTGGAATCATGCTCGGTCATGCGGCTCCGCATCACCATTCGGCGGATTGTGAGAGCGATGCTAGGATCTAGACCAAAGTTTGTCGCAAGAGAGCCCACATCTGGTACAGCAACTTCAAGATCTTCCGGTTTGAGGTTTGTTTTGAGCACCTCGAGGTACTGCGCGAAAACTGCAGCGATCTTGTCCAAGTTATTGCCAAGAACCTTCAATGGCGCAAACCTCGAGTCCTCGTGATGCGGATACATTTGCCGCTCCTGCGCGATGGCGATCAGAATTTGGCCGGTGATTCCAGGACCGCTTAGTGCCTGAATTAGACGCTCAGCCGACTTCTTCTTCTCCTTGGAATGCCTGTTGTCCGAGAGCTGCTGCATGATGTGACTTTGCAATGCCTCGCCTCCTGCCATGGCTAGAACCTGAACGTCATTGAATTCGACATCTGATCGAATGCCTGCCATTTCAACAAGCATTTGGTCGAACATCTCCAGGTCAGTCGTATCGCCGGTCCGTAACTGGGATGCAAGATACTGCAGAATCGGGTCTGGATGCAGATGTGTATAACGAGCAAACAAGGTAGCCACGAATCGTGCGAGAGCTTGGAGCCAGGCGCTTGTGAGCATTCCATCCGCCTGTCTTCGCCCACGTCCTTCGCCTCGGAGAGAGTTGATGAGTGCCCAAACCAGGACATCATATGCTAGAGGCGAAAAGTAGCGAACACATTCCACCAAGCTGGGAATCATGTTGCTGTAGGCTTCCAGCTGACTTATCATCTCCATGACAACGATACCAGGCGATGCGAGAGCTACTTTGGCTAAAGCTCGTCCTTGCTTCTTAACGGTATCGTTCGCTACGCGACGAAGGACATCGCGAACTTCAGACTTGTTGCGGCTGAATGCAACTTGGACATCCGGCTGCCGAGAAGTAGCACCAGTGAACCACTCCTGGTATATGCTATACCGAGTCGCAGTGTCCCACATCTTCAGAAGTTCAAACACTTGGTGAGTGAGCTGAGGGTTGTGCTTGCCGTAGCTGAGCGCGGGAAGCAGCAGTCTTCTCATCAACTTCAACCATGTAGCGCGATTGCTTGAGGAGCTGTCCACCGTCAGGCTTCGATGTGCCAGTCTGAGTATCGTGGCGAGAATGCTGGCATCTTGTCCAATCTTTGGCCCGAGGTAGCCAAGGAAAGTCTCGCAAAGCGCAAGAACGTCGTTGACATTCTGGCACACCGGCACATTGTCATTCCAATCGCCATAATAGTGACGATACTCAACGCCGTCCTTATCGAAGCCATCGTTGTGCAGCCATCGCAAGATCTTCCGCGGAGGCCTGGCCGTGAATAGTAATGTAGAATCGGCGCGTGCACTGGTGTCTTGCAGCTGCTCCTTGGAGTTTTGCAGCTCGGTCTCGTCTGCCAGGGGAAGCACAGATTCTGACATTTTGCTGAGCATGTGCTTGACGATGCGGAAGAGAAATGGCGGCAAGGTGACATCGAGTTCCGCGAGCCATGGGAAGCGACCGAGCATGTATAGTGCCTCTGGAATAGCGCCTATGAGTAGCAGAGCTTTGAGTAGCTGAAGCTTTTGGTTGGCGGGTGGAGGTAATTCCTCCTTAGGCTCGTCTTTCTTGTCTTGCGCAGGTGTGGCAGCGCCGCTCTTCTCCTTATCGATCCTGGCCGTAGTGCGAGGAGCGGGAGTGTCGTCGGACAGAGCCCCAGCGGTCAGCAAAGCGTTGATGCCACCACCGGGTCTGTCTTTTGCCTCCTTCTCTTTCTTCTCCTTGGCCAGACGGTCCTTCTCCTTGGGCATGTCTTCATCTGGTGGGTACAGATGAGGGTAAAGATCTCGAAGTGAGATGAAGCCGATCTTGATAAGAAGTGCCGCAAGGTAAATGAGATTATCAGGTAGGATATCGTTGGCATCCCGCGCGTCCGATGCATAAAAGCGTAGCTTGAACCCTAGCAGTTGCGCGGCGTCGTAATTGCCAGAGGGCGGAAGGCAACCAGTCTCCTTCATGTACTTCCGAGCCTCGTTGATCCGTTGTCGCTTGTCAGGATTGTACTCCTTGCCACGTGAATCGACTTCGGGTAAAGCCTCGGTTTCGAGAAGTGGAAGGACGGCTTCGAAATCCACGATCTTCTTTGCGCCCAGCTCAAAGAAAGCCTTGAATCCATGCGCGCGAACTTGATCCCAGAAGGCGACATCTCGCTGTTGCTTCAACACAGCTAGTTGTTGCCTTTCTTCGTCAGTCGCTGTTGATCGCCCGGAATCTGGCAGCATCCAAGCCGGAGTGTCGGCAAATCCTTGGTCTTGGGATTTGACATTGTCGAGAAGCTCATTCTTGGGCCACCAAGGACTGGCGCGGTAGAATTTCATAAAAAAGGGGTAGGCTCTGACAAGAAGATTGGCGCAGACGTCCAAGGTAATGTCAAGCACTCTGCCAACGTCCAGATCAAATGCTCCAACCAATGCCATAATCCGCTGCACAGCATTTTCAGCCATGTATGGGTCGTCGACATGCCGTGTGCTAGCTTCTTGTGCGGTGTTGAAATACTCGGTGATTAGTTTTGCGTAGCCCTCGCTTTCCTCACGCAGGAGGTTAAAGTTCGCTTGTCGGTAGAGAGCATTAGTCGTCTTGCGAGTGCGCATCTTCTCGAAGGTGCTGCGCACGAGTCCAAGATCCTGCACCAAGCCAATGTCGAATTCATGGCGCATGGTCTGCTGGTCAATGCCAGTTGCTGAGACAAGAGTCTTCAGTGCCTCGCCTTTATAGCCAGCATCGTACAGAAGCGATATCGTGTTCAGAAAGAGGAATTCCACGCCCAGACTATTGGCGGCCTGTGTCGAGGTTCGCAGTTCTCGAACGAAATGCCCAGCTTGTTTCGCAGTCAGCCTGCCTTCGAGAGCAGACCGGATCAGCTCTTGCAAGAGGTCGCTGAGCTGGAAGTCGTCCGCAGTAGCCGCCGAGTTCAAAAGGGCTGCGCGACCTGTCTCTGCCCAGCTTGCTACGGCTTCATCGCTGACAACAGTATACCGAAATGGCGGCTTCCTGTGCACGGCCTGATGTCTTGAGGGTTGCGCCAGCTCTCCAGGTCCATCAGGGTTCGGAGTGGTCTCCAGGGCCGGTGTGGGGGTATCAGCACTTTCAGCTGGCCTGTAATGTGTCCTGGTCAGCTCGTGTTCTACGTAGTCGCCGCCGCGCGTTCGTCGGTGGTGTTCCGAGTGTGCTCTTGACCCACGGTTCTAGAAGTGAATTCCCATTTGCAACTGGTGCATCTCCATTGACTGGTGTACTCGCCGCATTCTCCTCACTGCTCGCCTCTTGCTCGGCGCCGTTTGGCTGCGATCCCCGACGTGACACTAACCGTGATTTCTCAGGCCGATATGGCGAGGCTCGAGATCCATCGTCTTCGGTGCTCTGCCGTTCAGGTCGCTTTCGCTTGCCGCTTGCAGGCGCCATTGTGCTCGATCAGGGAGAGTAAGAAAGGAAGAAAATCGACGCCGAGCCAGCGGTTGCTGGGTGCTGGCATAAGGTGTCGCGGGATGGATATGATGATGGCGTCGGTGGCCTTTGTCTTCTTGGTGCGGCCTGTCGCCGCTGGAACTATAAAAATTTCATGTGCTGGTGGAACTGACTCGGCTCGCCGCGATGAGGCACTTTGACGGGCGGAAGGGAATGGCGGCGATGGTGTTGGGCGTGTGCGGGTGTACGTCGTAGCTGCCAGCGTTGATTGTTCGAGGTCGCGTTGTTCGGTTTCACGAACTTCGCTTTCGCTTGCTGCCGCCCGGCTCGGCTCAGGCCTCCGAAGCGCCCGCATGCACGCTAATAGGAGAGGTAGGAGAGGCAGGTAGCATCACATGAATTTATTTTCAGGCAAACACTTCGAGATACATATCAGAAACTCGGATTACTGCTCCAGACTGCCACGGAAAACTTGATTGTTATCCACGCATAGGGCAAATTCAGTGTCTACACGGTAGATGCCGAGCGCTATCGCTTATACGCAGCCAACGAATCAATCTATTCTCGTTCAAGCTCATTGCACTGTCGGGAGCGCAGAGATAGCGTGCCTGGAATAACTTGCATCGCTGGAACGATCCCAGCCAGAGTAACTAACTCAGCCTGATGTTGCCCTCGGTGTCGTCTTTCGACTGCGCCTGGGCTTTGATCCACGCCGCCTCCAGATCAGCCTTGGCTGTAGCAGTCCCGGGGCCATCATCTGCTTGACCTTGACTCAACACCAGCAAGTCACTGTCCTCTAACAAACTGTCGGCTGCCGTGCTTAGCGTCTCGCCGATTTCGGCTGCACTCGACGGACTGCTAGAACTGACATGATTTCCATCTCTCGCTCTCCTGCCTGCCTGCTCGCCATCTTGTGGAAGTTCTTGCTCGAAGTTTGAGCTGTAGATCACAGCTGCGAATGCTCCAAGGTCGGGCACCTGATCAATGGCTGCCAAGTATTCGTTGCCAAGCTGCTCCTGAGCAGCGACGCCCTCGATCGTGTCCAACTCTCCACTCCCAGCTCCAATCACATGCGCTTGCTTGCAAAAGATAGGTAGTGCATGTGCAATCTTGCACTTGTTCTCTTGGATCTCCACGATTCGGGACTCGTGGCCTGGAGGCGGCTGCTTAAAAGCCTCAGTCGCGAGCCTGAAATCGACAAGATGTGAGAATGATGCGTCAAGTAGCCTTGTGAGGACGTAGGAGAATGTGGGCGAATCGATCAAGTCGGAAGTCTCGTCCAGTAATCTTCTCAGAGAGTCGTTGATCTGCGCTTCGTCCATCGGATCTGAATCAAATCTCGCCTCAGGCGACGGTGACTCGTCATCTTCGGACATGCCGGACTGCCTTATCACAAACGACTCCTCCTCCTTAGGTGGCAGTAGATATTCAAGCCACTTCATGCTGCGTCTCTCCTCTCCCCTTGATCCTTCAACTTTTCTTCGCACTTGCATGATCAAGTCCGCCATCCGCTCCAAGGTCACGTCTTCACGAATGTGCACGGATCCGAACACTTCTTTGACCGCCACCATTACACGATCCAAAATCTGCTTGCTGCCTCGATGAAGCAACCACCAGCTGAACGTAAGATATTTGCGATTCGTCTCGAAGTCGTTGCCGTAGACGTTATCGTAATTGTCATCGTCCTTGTTCTCCAGCGAAATGGTGGAAGACTGTGTGGCGGGCGGTGGAGATGCAAGGGCTACGACGGAGGAAAGATAGGTGCGCCGGCCAAGCAGATTGAGTTGGATTCGAGTGAGCAGTGTCAGTAAACACATGGAATATAGCAGTGTGAGGGCCCTTGTGATGGACTGGATCTTCATATCCTGCCATAGCTGAACCTTGCTCTTTTTCGGCTGTGCTGGTTGTTCGCCCAGATTGAGCGTACTGTGTGCGACCTGGCTTGCGTGAATGAAGCTGCTACTCTGGAGGCTGGTCGTACTCTTGCCATCATCGTCGACTGCGCTCGCCGGTGCCGATGGGAATTCGGATGATGCGGCCTCGGATGGTGTCGCGCCCAATCGTTGTAGGCGCTCCTGCCTTTCTTGCTGCAATTGCTGCGTGATATTCTCGACGGGTAATGAAGTGACGACTTCGTCTCGCACGGTGGGTAGAAGAGCGAGTACGGTATATGTGCAATCCTCCTGGTTCTGCTCGAATCGTCGTCGGAGGCTATGCGGGCATTAGTTGACTTTTTGTCACGCTGCGCTTGCCCGGCAATGCAATTGAGCCCTACTTCTCTTTCGCAATCTTCTCGTCGCTCATGCGCTGACGTGCCTCCTGAATCTTGCCGAGTACATATTGGCCGGCGAGGTAGCCGGCACCGAGCACTCCGGCTCCAACCAGTAAATTGGTCCGATTGCGTCGAAACCAACGGCGAGTAGCTGCAATCATCCTATCGCAGCGACATCAGGAGCAGCACAGTGAGGATGTCGCGCGGCTCCAGATAGGTTTGTGGGACAACTAGCGATTGACGTGAATTGAAGGACAGTCGGTTCAATGTTGGATGCAGTGCCGTGGCGTAGATGGAGGAGCACGCTGGGCAATACACGAGCGGATGGTGTTGTCACCACTGCCACCCACTAGCCACCCACCCGAGCCTCGGTATCGTTTTGCGGAGCGGAGCCTTCTCCGTGAGCTGATGGCCAGAAGCGTGACTGAGCATCGCATCGCATGGAAGCCTGCACCGATCAGTAATCATCTTGCTCCTTCACCTCACACAATTTGGCCTGGCTATCAAGGCAGCAAAGTACGCTCATAGGGGACCAGGGTAGACCTGAGGTGTCCTCTTACCAGGTCTTACTGACGGTAACGGTAGGTGTGTTCTTGGCAGCTCTTACTGACCGCTGAATGCGACTGGAATGGCAGATGCGCTGAGACATCAACACGGGAATGAGGAATACATGCAGCAGCAACACCTCGCATCGGCTAATGGCTGATGGCTGATGACGAAGCTCATATCAGGCTCATATGATACATACATGTCCTGTCAGTCTGGACTCTGTACGCAGCTTCTCCGCCATCTCGACCAAAACGCTGCGGTTCGGTGCGGCGCGGTGCGGTGCGGCGCGGTGCGGTGCGGTGCGGTTGGTGCAATGCCGCCTTCCAAGTTCCAGCACATTGCACAATGCCCCGAAATCACGCCCTTGAACAAGATCCGGACGAGATGTCGCCCTCACCTGCAATTGCTTCCTCACCACGTGCGCGACCAGGATCAATGATGTGATACCATTCTTCTGGTCTTCTCCAGACTCCACATCGCGCGGAGTGATGTGAAAGTCTTTGTCCTTGGTAGCCAGTTCTTTTTCTTACCACGGCCAAATACAACAACCTGCTGCAGACTGCCGCTAGCGGTCGATCACTTCCATCCACTCGGCAGCTCGCCTGCGTCAAGACTTCACGCTATCTGGCGGGTACTCCTTGTGTTTCGGCAGGTGGTGCGGTGATGAAGGACTGCCATCGCAGTATCATCGCAATGATCCGCGGCGATATAATATCATGACATCTGCGAGCCGTCCTTGGCACTTCTGGGCCCCTGGACGAATGCTGGCATCCAACCAATAGACCTTCGGCGACCTCAACAACGGGGAAATTATTACGGCCAGGATGCAGTATCATGAATCATGAATCAGAACAACAGCAGTACTCATCAAGGCTCATAGTCTCTCGGCGTACAGACTGCCAAGAGAGCCTTCCCCGTCTGGTGCGGACTGCGAACGACTCTGGCAAAGCTAGCGCACGGGCCCTTGGCTTCTGTGCTTCTGACTTCACTATGCTGCAAGCGAGAGCTGGAATAAGTGTCTGAAGCAACTGACACATGATACTAGGTAGCGAATGCTGTGACCGAGCACAAATTCGAAAACATGCTATGACCCTCATCGCTGAGGACGCTGGGCAAACGAGAAAACATCCTCTTGGCGGATCACGTTGATGCCCAACCGTGCTGGCAGTATAAGTACCGAAGTGTCGGGAACGAGAACACATCAAATGCCGAACGAGAAGATGAAAGCTTCTCATTCATCATGCTTCACAACAAGTCGATTGATGAGGGCGAACAGCAGTCAACATGGCAACGGTAGAGAAACCTCGCAAGTCGATGCAAAGGGCTCGAAAGTATCCCACAAATCGGAAAAGATGCAGGTCCTAAGCCATTTCCAATTTCACATGAGAGCTCGACGATTACAGAGAAGTCATCTCTGAAATGGGCGAGGGGTGAAGGCTTTACTCGGCGTATATCTACCACCTAGCGTTCTTGCAAAAGGACGTGAAGGCCCCAGAAACGCACTGCAAGCGGAAGCAACGCAGCCTTCAACCAGTTCGAGGTGGGAAAATAATTGATTTCGTCGAGCTTACCGCATTTTTAAGCAAGGAACTATAGCTCGAATCAACCATTTCTGCGAACTAGCGACCTCGCAAAAAGACGTAAATAACTCAGACGCAACGACGGACTGGGAAGTAGTGCGGCGTTAGTGCCAATCCTTCATAAGAAGTCTATGATTTTGCTACAACTTACGCTATATGAACGAAAATCCGGGATCTAGCTCAGTCCTTCCTGCGAGCTAGGCATCGCCCGAAGGGGACACAAAGACCTTAGAAGTATCTATAGAGCGGAAAACGATACAGCGATCTATAGTATTTATAAATAATACCTTAAGGTTTAGCTCCGACATCTCTACCGAGTATAAAATTAAAGCGGAGAATATATTAAGACATTAAGTATTCTAAGAATGAGTTACCGCCTTAAGAATCTGTATATATATCTAATATTAAGTATTACTATTACATCTATAAATTAAACATATCTACTCCCGCTATCCTATCTAGAGGCTAAAAACAAAAAAAAAACTCGATCCCTACTCTCCGTACTATAGAAGTTCTCGGAAATTCTAAGCTATTCGACTATTATTCTCGTCTAAAGAGACAGACACTATAGAACTAGCTTACTATAGCCTAGAAGTAGAGATACGAAAGGGAGCGTCGCGATTCGAGTCGACTTACGGCGCTTCTTCTCGATTTTACTAAGCTTCTATTTAGATTCGGGCGATTGTTAAATCCTTTTGTTTTACTCTATCGATTGCTAAATCGCTTGAATATTAAGATACCTACCTTGGGTCTTAGCAATAGTGTAGGTATAGGGACGTAGGTAGGTAGAGAGGTTAATACGACGACTTATAGTTCCTAAGGTTCTATTCCACTTCTTCCTTTGCTAGCTAGCTACGAGATCTGTGCAAATTGTATAGGTAGCGACGAGGCGACGACTAATGGATCTCTTTTCAGCTCGAGCTTACCTGCTAGCCTTACATACCAACTCATACCGTCAAAAGATATATGTGGAATCCAAAAAAAGACGCGGCCCTGGAGAAGTTGAAGACCGGGAGTTGGTTGCTCAAGTGTAGATGTAGTCGCAAAAGGCACGCCGATGGAATAGTGATAGTGGGTGAATGGGAGAAATCGCGAACATGCCATTGAGAAATATCAGCTTTGCCTCGGGTAGAAGTATATCAATGTTGAGGATTGTCCGCGAGTTGAATAACTGCCTAATGTCTCACATGTGGCAGACTTCACTTCACTTTGAGAGGTTCAAATACCCTCCATGTCCATCCAGCTCATGAAGTCGATGTTGGCTAGCGGGTTCTACTTGCATGGGAAGCTATGGAGTGAACTGAGAAGCTGCTGTTCCAGCTCGTATTGAACGTATCAAACGCCAAACTCGAGTAAAGAGCTCCAATCAGTACCAGGGAGCTCAGACGATGTATCGAGCAACTCCAAGTCTATGATCGTATCCGGCATGTAAGTACTCGCATTCTGCATATCGGATCTTGAGCACAGTGGCAGGGAGAGACAGATTTCAGGCAAGTCTCTAAGAGCAGCTTGGCAACTGCATATCGGCTCTTGCGCTCCATCATTGAGTCTTCATTTGATTTTGTCGTGACGCAAGATTGAGAGAGAGAAGCCCTCAGCCTCTGCTTACGATGCCCCAACGGAAGAAGCCGAAAGGTAGACCTCGTTGCAGCTCAGCTCGACACTGCGCTTCCCAAGCTTGAGAATTACTTCATCCAATATTAACTCTGGTAAATCTGTTCGCACGCACTGCACCAGCAGACTCGAAATCACATAACCCGACATCGTCTGCCGTCTACATGCTCTATACCTGCCTCTAGCTCTTGAACCTCCCGCGAACGCACCTCCACGGAATCCATTCTTCCCATCTTCGCCATACTCTCACATCGACATTGCCTAATACTCGCAATCACATACCAACGATTACCGCTCGCGAGTAATCGATTCGCGTTCGGTCCAGTCGGGACTCCGAGAAAGGCTTTAGGTTGAAAATCTGCGAGTTGGGTCCTCGAGTGTCGAACGTAGAGGTCAAAATCGGCATCAGAGGCACGCTGGAGGAATTGCTCGAGATCGAAGAGATAGGCGATGCCCCTTTGTAGCCGGATCTTGCAATGATATGTACGTTCGGGATCGAGGAGTTCGTCGCCACAGTATGGTGGTAATGATGACTTTGGTTGCGGCATGGCTTGGACGAGTATTTGGCCTTGCTCCATGGTCATGACGCGAGCGGTGATGACAGCAACTTGTCGTCACACCTCGATGAATGTGTAGTGCTGCCGCCTGGCTTAGTGAATGTCGAATGGCTTCTGGTGAATCTGTGGTTTTGCTGCCGCATTGCTTATTGAGCACCATTACGGCCACCACAGCATTTTTACCAAAGCAAACTAATCTATTGAAAATCAGCAAACCGGCAGAAACAGTAGCAAACCTCATCATGGGCAACGCAGCCAGCAGAGACTACAGCATCCGCGATGCTGAGCAGCGTAAGCAACAGCAACTTCTGCAAGGCAGTGTACACATCGTCGGGCGACTGCCTGCACAGCTGGTGGCTCAGCATCAGCGGAATGCGCTTGAGACTCAGCAGCAGCGAATTCTTTTCGAGCAGCAAAGACAGGCCATGCAAAACCAACTGCAAGCAAATATCTTCCATCGCTTGGGCAGAATTGAGGCTGGCGTAGAGAATCTGAATCGTTTGGCAGGTGGCGGTACAGTCGGAAGTAGCGGCGGCGGCATCTCCAGCAAGAAGACGGCAAAGGTGCAAACCGGTGCGCATGGAGACCCAACACAACTCACACAACAAAATCTGAAGACTGCCGCGGAGCAAGCCGCTGCCGCTTCTGGAGCCAAGTCGAAATCAAAATCCAGTGCCAAGTCCGTGCCTGCGGAGGCTGTTCAGGCGCCGGAGGGCTTCATTCCAGCAGGAGATCGACATAGACGTGCCTTTGCGCCCCCTACTCACGGCAGTCGAGTGCTGGGTATGCATCGCGGTCCTCCGTCACGAGCCACTCGAGCTAGAGCTAGAGCGGTGCGCACTCGACTTGGCTGGAACTAGGTTGACATGAGTATTGATGAGGGAGTCGAAAAATCAGTTGTAATCGGTGAAGTGGAAGTGGAAGTGGATACAAGCTGACGTATCGCTTGACAGCTTTTTAGCTGCGCGTTGTATGGACTTTTGTTGCAGAATGACAGGAGTCTATGAGCATGTAAGCTTTTCCTTCGATCAGGCGACTCACCGTAATGCACGATGGGCAATGTCACTCCTGTACTGCATGCCTTCGAACTTGATACCTTTCACGCCCTCGTAGGCCTTGTTGACTGCGTCTCGCAACGTCGCGCCAACTGCTGTAGCAGCAATGACTCGGCCGCCACTGGTCTTGAGCTGGCCGTCTTTCAAAGCGGTACCGGCGTGGAAGTAGTAGATGCCATCTTTCTCCTGAGGAGTCGCGACCTCCATCGGCGTACCTTTGGCGTAGCTGCCGGGGTAGCCACCAGCTGCAACGACGACTGTGCAGGCGCTTCCAGGCAGCACTTCAAGCGTCTTCGATGACAAGGTACCATCTGTACAGGCGAGCATGAGCTCAGCGAGATCCGATTTGAGCAACGACAAACAAGACTGCGACTCAGGATCGCCGAAGCGAACGTTGTACTCGAGCACGCGTGGCCCGTTTGGCGTGAGCATGAAACCAGTGAAGAGGCAGCCGACAAATGTCATGCCCTCCTTCCGCATGGCAGCAATGGTAGGCTGGAGTGTGGTTCGCTCAATCTCGTCGAGAACTTCTTTCGACGCGATGGGAGTGGGAGCATAGGTGCCCATGCCACCGGTGTTTGGACCCTCGTCGTTGTCTCTTATTCTCTTGTGATCTTGGGCGGGCGGCAAGCTCAGGATGGAGTTGCCGTCTGACAGCGACAGTATGCTGATCTCGTCACCGGTCAAGAACTCCTCAATGACCACGCTGTCGCCAGCCGCGCCGAACTCTTTTGACACCATAATCTCCTTGAGTGCATCATGTGCCTCTTGTTTGGTGTGTGGGATAATGACGCCCTTGCCAGCAGCCAGACCATCTGCCTTGATCACAACGCTGTAGTCGATCGAGTCGAGGTGCTTGGCGGCTTCGTCGTAGTCGTCGAAGTTCTCGTAGCGGGCCGTCGGGATGTTGTTCCGCTTCATGAAGTCCTTGCTGAAGGTCTTGCTGCCTTCCAGGCGAGCAGCAGCCTCGCTTGGGCCAAAGACCTTGACGCCAGGTAAGTTCTTCTGGAAATAGTCTGTCACGCCGGCGACCAAGGGTGCTTCTGGACCGGGCACGACGAAGTTGAGCTTGTTCTCCTTGGCATGCTTGACGAGAGCGTCGAAGTCTTCTGCCGAGACAGCGGCGATGTTCTTGCATTTCTGCACGCTGCGCATCGTGAGTACACAGCAGTGGATTGAGGAATTGGACTGTTTGACCTCGCGTGGTGCACCTACCCAACCGTGCCTCCATTGCCAGGAACCACATGGATCTCCTCGACGCCGTCGCTCTGGGCCAATTTCCATGCCAGAGTGTGTTCCCGGCCTCCGTTGCCAATGAGCAGTATGCGCAGCTTGTCGGCCATTCTGTGTGCGAATCTTGTCTTCTGCATGTGACAGCCGATCCGGAAATTTTGCAGCAGGAGCGCATTCGGCATTCGGCAGTGTGGGGAAAGTGCGACCCGCTCCACGATCGCCACAGAGGACGGAAAGCACTCAGCCACATCAAACCTTGTCCGGCTGCGCTGCGCTGGTTCTGCACGAGTACGCAAGCTTATTACGAGCTCTTGGCTGGTCGCCGCGGATAATGTACCCATTAATTCTGGCGCCTGGAGTTGTATGGTAGTGCGCACAAACCTGCAGGGCGACGGCAACCATTTCGCAAATCAACCAAGACTCGCACACACCAGCTTCACATGCGATCCCGGCAATCCCACGGATGCTAGGCAGGCACGCGCTCACGCCGCCTCCGATATACTGTTCACCCCGTCCGCGACAGTGAACTCCTGTAGACACTCGCAAGCAATCATGGTGACCAGGAAGCCAGTCGCGCCGGCAGTTGATACGGCGCAGGCCAGTGCGTCCAAGGGCGGTGCTCCTCCATACCCTACCACTCCCACTTCTGGCGAGCCGAACACAACGAGCAGTGTCTACAGCGAGGACCTGAAGACGTCGCCGGCATTTGATCTGATCGATATGCAAGAGGCTCGCACGAAGAAGAGAAGAGACTCAGACGTCAGTTCGCATGGGACGTGGGACTCAGACGACACCGATGGGGAGGATGACGAGAAGGATGATTTCGTGGAAGTGCCGAAGCCGCTGCAATTGCGGTCCAGTCAACAGAATATCAAGGACGAAGCGAAGAAGGAGCCTGAGCTGCCACCAATATTGAGGCCCGGGCCTGCGACCGCGACCGCAGCCGCCGCGCTTGGCACGAAAAATGAGCAACAGAAGTACCGTGAGGAGGCACAGTCCAATCCTTGGCAGCTCGAATCCAACAATCCCTACAATAAGCAGAATGGGCTCGTGGAAAGCAGCTCGCACACGAGCAACGAGAACAGCCAGCCCGGAGGACTATGGCAGCAGCCCGCTCACGCTCCACCTCATCCGCCGAGCCAAGCCCCGCCACCTCCGCCTGCTCCAGCAGAGTTGCCGGCTGTGAGAAGTCCGACCGAAGAGCTAGCCCAGATGCAATTAGAAGCCGGGCCTCTCGCTACACCCTCATATGAGATTGCTGAGACGTTGCCGGTACCCGCTCAAGGACAGCCTCCTCTGGCGCCGGTCTCACACACCTCGCAAGCATTACATGCCTCAAATCCCTGGGCTGAAGACAAAGGGCAACAACCTCCTCCGCCTCAGAAAGAAGCTCTGCCGCCTTCACATCCACAACAGCCTCCTTCAGGTGCTCCCTACCCCGAAGACGACTATCTACCTCCGCCCGGACCTCTACCACAACCGCAACCCCAACATCAATATGCACCGCCTCCAGCACCTCAACCCGCCCATTCGCCTGGCCCGCTCATCGATCATGCCGAACCTTCAGCACCACAGCAGCCGCCTCCCATCTCAACCCACATTCCTGCATCGACATCGCAAGAATCAGCACCCGAAAGTCCCAATACTAGAGACAGAAGGCAGAGAAGCGAGCACTACCAGATCAAGCATGTCAACTGGCTTGATAATGGGAAGCTCAGACAAGCGCCGGTAATTACGCAGAATCTCAACGGCCCTTGTCCGCTGCTCGCTTTAGTCAACGCGTTGGTATTGTCGACACCCCCTGACCTCGATACTGCCCTCATTGAGGCGCTTCGAACGCGTGAGCAAGTCAGTCTTGGCTTGCTACTAGATGCCGTCTTTGATGAGCTGATGTCGGGTCGACGAGGTGAGACTGCACACCAGCTGCCTGATGTTAGTGAGCTGTATTCTTTCCTACTTGCTCTGCACACCGGCATGAATGTGAATCCCCGATTCGTAACTCCTGTCCAGGCGCCTAGAGGGTCGTTTGATGGTCATCCTGCTGCTATGAACAGCGTGCATCCCATCGAGCGAGCACAAAATAAGCCAGGTTGCTTTGAAGAAACGAGGGAAATGCGGCTGTATTCTACTTTCAACATACCCCTCATCCATGGCTGGACAGCACCAAGAGGCACTCCAGCATACGACGCTTTTGAGCGAAGTGCACCGACGTTCGAAGATGCGCAGAACATTCAGTTCGCAGAAGCAGAACTCGAAGACAAGCTGAGGGCGGAAGGTCTAAGCTTCCAGGAACAGCAGACCTTGGAAGACATCCAGACCATCAAGTCTTTCTTACAGAATTGGCCGACTCAGCTGACAGACCACGGTCTCGAGACCATTTCCCAAAGCCTCCTACCTGGTCAAACAGCCATCCTCTTCCGAAACGATCATTTCAGCACACTCTACAAGGAACCAAAGCATGGAGCGCTGATGACTTTGGTGACCGATGCTGGGTACAGCTCACATGCAGAAATTGTATGGGAAAGTCTTGTTGACGTGAATGGTGCGGCAAGCGAATACTTTAGTGGTGATTTCCGCAGTGTCAGCCATGGTCAGGATTCAAGGCTGAACCAAGGAAACTCTGGCGGCGGAAACGAGGGATGGCAGACGGTGCAAAGAAGGACCCAACGACAACAGACCTCAGATGCAGAAGTGCCACCACCGCTGCCAGGTCCGCGGCCGCACTCACGTACCCCAAACGAAGACCTCGGAGCCTCGACGGCCGGGACAGGGCAAAGGACTGCTTCCGAGCAGGAAGACCACGACTTGGCCCTAGCGCTGCAACTGCAAGAGGAGGAAGAAGACCAGCAACGTCAACTCGACGCCCGGAGACGTCGAGAACAGGAATTGTCTGAACAATTTCTCTCAACAGAAAGTAATGGCGAACAGCGACCTGCAATCCCGCCAAGACGAAACCAACATCGCTCTCCACGTGGAAGCAGTACCAACATCCCTGTCAGTCAACGTCCAAGCGGTCCCGCTGGCAGACCTCCCGTACACCGTCCAGGCCAGTCCTCCGATCCCGATGCCCCGCCCTCATATGAACAGAGCGCGAGTGATCGACCTTATAGACCTGCTGGAGCTACTGCGCCACCGACTCAAGGCAATCCCCTCAACACGCTCGATCATTTAAGACGCACTAGTGCTCACGCACAGCAGAGTTCGACCTCTGTCAACTCTACATCTGGTCATGGAAGGCGACAAAGTCAGAACAATCGTGTACCTAGAAGGCAAAGCGGTATGGGGTCTAATGGCGTGCCTAATGGTCCTGCGCCACCTTATGGGAGAGTACAGGGTGCGGCAAATCTTAAGGATACTGAGGAGAGGTGCACAATTATGTAGATATCGGAATCTGCTCTGCATTGCGATGCATGAAGAAGGATGGGATGTGGCAAGGCGAAAGAATCGACATGTAACGATATACATGGCGTTATGAGTGATGGATAATGGATCGGCGTAGATACCCACACTACTAGCACTCTCTTTCTGCTCTTTTATGTAATGTTCCGGTCGTCATCCTCCTCCTTTGATCTTCTTAGTCTTTGGGAGGAGGAGATCGGAATCCAAATTCTTGGACTACTTCTTCTTCAGCTGTTCCAATCATATGTCCTGAGCGAGGATATCTTTGCACTTCTCTACTGGGCCTGAATCGACGCCGGTGAAGGACCTGCTTCTTCCAAGTTCCAACCCGCGTTCCGGTTGACGCCGTGGTCTGACCGCGAGCGCATTGTTCCACTTGTTTCTCTCAAGGGCAGAATCTAGAGACTCTTGCTGAGCACTAAATTATGGCAAGCGCAAGGCTCGTCATAGTTCCGCATGGTGTCATAGCTCGGACGTCCCAAAGGAGTTTGCCTGCAGGATATCAAACCGAAATTCGTCTCTCGATATGTGTTACCGCTGCAGAACTGACTTGTGCAAGACTCCCGCTACTTGCCATCATATACCATTCGCTGAGAAGGCATTCCAATTGTCTCGACATGCATTTCACGAATTGAAGATCCTCGAATACAACAACTCATGCCTCCCCATCCAGAGATCCATAGTCGGAACCGTAACCACAGCATCCTCATGCCCCGAACATCTAGCTGCAATCTTCTGCTGATTATCTTCGATACACTTCCCAATCGTAAGCCGAAGTCTCGACCCCGCTAACACAGCTTGACTCTGATACGGTCCCATTACACTCGCTCGCACGGCGGCACTCAACAAAGCTTTGGAATGATTGAGCAGGAAGAGGTACGAAGTTTCATGCTCGTCGAGATCCAAAGCCGCACAGACGGCGCCGAAGAGAGGTGCGAAATGACTTTGTAAGGTGAAAGCGAAGGGGTCTGGGATGTTGGATTTTAGCTGAGAGGCGAATTTCGTAAGCTCCGTAGTACTTTCGGACGCAGGATTTGCTGCTGCAGTATGAAGTGCGCGGGTCCAGACTTCGATCAGAGCTTTTCCTTGAGTTACACTTGCTCTTCGAGCCACTGTGCACGGCGTCGAGGCATCTATGTCGTTGTCCAGCTCTGGGAGGCGAGTTGGGTTGTGGTAGGCTGTAAGTACGTATGGGAGACTTGTTGACGCGATGTTCTGGAGACTTTGCGAGAGGAAGGTTTCGAAGGAGCTGAGCTTTGTCGATGAGGCTTTGGGGCCGGAGAGTTCTTTGTGGGCGAGGAAGGATTCCAGACCAGATGAGAATGCGAAGGATCCAAGTGGGAGGGCGGAGTCTGAGAGTAATAGTAGGTTGTGCAGGGCTGGGTTGGGCATGTTTGCGGGTCGTTGTCGTTCAGAAGGACTGTTTTGTGCTGCCATGTTGTATCCTAGACTTGATCCAGCCTATCCTGCTCAGGGGTCGGGACGGAGTGAATGGAGTATAGAAGTATTCATCCCTGCGTACACTTCACGAGCCACTTCTGTCAACCATACAGCAGTTGTGTTTATGATATCTATCATATGCTATGTGATGCACGTAGCGTCCGAAGCAGATGGTGTTGGATGTAGCAGACTTTTAGCGTCCCATTCTTTTGGGTTCCTGCGGGACTGTCTCCACCATTCCCGCTAGGAAATGGCCCGATTATCAGGCGTATGATGGGACCCACCAAACTTACGGAAATGCTCGGTTTTAGCGTGTTGGCTCGGTTTGCCTAATTAGGCTATATTGTTGTCGCAATTAGACTAGTATAGCGACTTCTAAGGTATTATTGCTATCGCTACTATTGCTACTATCGCTGCTATCGCCTATCTAATTCTTCCTCTTATTCGGCCTCTTAATAGCACGCGGCATTGTCGCTACTAATCTCTTACGCTTATTGCTATTATATTTATTAGAAGTCCGCCTCTTGCCTACTACTTCTTATATAGCGTTATTTTCTTCTATCTAAGGAAACTACTCCGCCGCTTCTATATCTTCTTTTAATAGCGAAGCCTCTCTTGCTAGCGCTACTAGCGCCGCTAGTAAAGTGAGGTCTATAAGCTTAGCTGTTTCTTTAATAGTGTCTAAGTCGAGCGGCTAAGTCGATTATATAGATAATAGCGACTCGCGCGGCTACCGTAGTAGCGGTAGCCGCGCCTTCGAAGGTAAGGGTCTAAAGGGCAGCGGACTCGGCGTAAGAAGGTCGATTACCTATAACGGTCGTATTAGTAATAAGAGCGTCTTATTAAGCGGTAGAAGATTAAAGGCTCGAGGTCTGTATTTAGTCGCTAGCGGCAGTAGTAGTAGTAATAGAAGGGTCGGATACTATAGCAATTAGTAACGAGTTAGAGTAATAGGTTTAGGTAGAAGTTGTATCTACTATCGCTATCGGTTACTAGTTAATTGAACCTTAGGCGCGCCTTCTCGAAGGAAGTCGTCTAGCGAGAAGTTAGCTAACTAAGTAAGCGTGTCCTTTACCTTACGTAAGAAGCCTCTTATAAACTTATCCTTTAGCGTGCTATCGTAGATTGTCTTATCGTTACGGACCGTATAGAAGTGCTATAAGAGGCCTTCTATACCTTCGTTAAAGTAAGCGCGAAGGTCTTAAAGATAGGGGTCGCTAGCGGTATAGTTTTAAGTGTCCTTAAAGCCCTCGAGAAACAAGGTAGTACTATCTCGTTACCGCTAGTATTAACTGATTTCTATACTATTAAAGCCGTAGTAGAAACTAATATAGATCTATTGTTGTTATAGAGTAAGCGGTGTTACAAACAGGTAGTGTCTTAGAATATAGTAGCAAGGTAGGTACTACTAAAACTATAGCAGGCAATTACAGTAAGGAGGTTGTTGTCTGTCGCGATATAGTACAAGGCCTTCGTATAGCGGCAATGCCTTAGCCTCGTATTCTTCCGTAATAGCGAGTTGTTTCCTAACGAAGTCCTGCGCTACTAGAGGGCTTAATTGCTTAAAATATAGCATCTCTTTAACCTTCTAGTATCGTGTGCGTTTGCTAAGTCTATAGCTTTGTAGGTCCGCCTTATATAGTTATCGAGCGTCGATTATTAGTAATTCAGTTATAGTGCTATATATCGATAGCTAGGCGAGGTCCTTCTTCTAGTCGTATTTAATAGCATTATAGTATCCTTCTAGCGGCGAAGTAGTACGTGTTTGCATAAGAACTAGGTTACGAAGACGTACCTAGGTTGCCTATTTCTATAACTTCTCTAACCCCTAGTTCTTCCGTAAATACTAAGCCTCTTCTACTAGTCTGTTTAGAAGCCTTAATTCTGCTTCTATTGCAGTAACAACCTCTTTAACCTCTGCCTTACTCCGAGCCTAGCAAATAGCTCTTTTAAACAGTCTCTAGACTATAGGGTACTTGAATTTAGGAAAGTAGCGAAGGAAGGTCTCTTTAGCGTATCGTTAGTAGAGATATAGTCGTATTTCCTCGCTTTAGAAGGATAGTCGAATAGCAGACTGCTCTTAAGCCGAGTCGTCAGTTACAGCTAATTTAGGCTCCTAACTCGGACACTACTTCTTTAGGACCTAGAAAGCAGCTTGCTAAAGCCTCGCCCTCTATAACTATAGCAATATATATACTACTAGTATCTAACTTTCGAAGCTATTGCGGACATACACTATAAAGAGATGCTAGCCTATATTAGTAGTCTTATGCGTTGCGTCGTATAGAAATAACTAATGCTAAATTAGTCGTTGCTTGCTAAAGCCTAGCTTTAGCTAAAGCCTATAGGGGTGGTTACGTAAGCGACTTACATCTCTAGTAAGACTACTATTTAACAACTCTCGCTACTAATCCGCTTGCTATATAATGCCTTTATAAAGGCGTCCTTTAATCGTTACTAGTATAGCTTTATACTATAACTAAGCGCCGTTTACTAGATTAGTTAATAGCGACAGCTCGTTATATAGGTTCTCGAGTTAGAGGGAGATATTGCCCTTCTTAGCAAAAGTTACCTTCTTCTTGTCCTTCTTCTTCGACTATTTTATTATACCCTCCTTTATACAATAGCCTCTAACAACGGCAAAGCGGTTAGCATTACGACCTTCCTTTATTATATAGAATATACGAGCTGTATTATAGTCGTATTAGTCTATTAAGTGCTCGAGAACGACCTTCAAGCCATTACTAGCACCTCGTACGTCCTACTAACTATTAGCTTCTATAGCTCGAATAGGCCTCCGCTATCGACTCGAGAGACAACACTACTAAACTTACTATGTAATCTATCGAATAGCAATATAGCGAGCCCGCCTCGGCACTAGGATCGGGGGACGAAGAAGCGACCTTATATATATAAGGCTCCTTGTGCTGTTTCGAGCGATATATAGCAATTACTACGCACGTCGCATTATACCCTTCCTTATAATACTCTACCTTCCGAATACTATCTAGCAACTCGTATAGCCGATTAGCATCCTACCGACAACGATAATAGCATATTGTCCGCTATATTAAGCTATCCTTATGCCTCTCCTATAGCTTCTAGTACTAGAAGTTGCTAGCAAATAGCTACACCTTATTGTATTTGTCTTTGTCTAAGAACAGGCTATTTAAGGGTGGATTAAAGAGCTAAGAACGCAGTAATATATCGAGATAAGAGGGGATTAGATAAGCTATTGTAATAGTTAGAAAGAGCGTAGAAATTAGCCTACCTATATACCTATAACAACACCTTATATGTGTCTATACCGCTGAATTTTCATCGACATACTACGATATAAAGTCGGCGACTAACGCGTCCTCGGCATGCCCGATTTAGCTAGCAAAAATGGCTATATCTCGATCTATTAATCGACTCTACTACTACCGAGTATATCCGTAAATGTAAGCAATCTACTACAACCCTTATACGCTAAAAGTCTGCTACAATTAAGGCTAACTGTCCGAAGCCTACCTCTATTTAGGCGCTTCGTAGTTGAATTCGTATATATGCTCGTAACTTCTATTTCTATACTACACTACATTAGGATTAGCGCTACTCGAGATCTCATTCTAGCGAAGCGCCTAAAGCTAAACCGTTCTCGGCGGGTGCAGGTTGCGTTACTACTACTATATTTTATATCGAATAGGCTATATAGCTTAATAACTATTAGTCGTAGTATAGCACTTTATAGAGACGGGACCTAGATAATTTAGCGATTAAGAATATCCGCTATTTTAATAAGCTAGTCGCTTTAGAAATGCTAAAGTTATTATCGATAAACGTAAATTACTACTCTCGACTAACTCGTTTGCCTATCCCTATATACTTTACGAGCAAACAAACGACGCCCTTCTACGTTAACGAAGTGTAGAGGGTCTACCTTTCTAGTGCCCTCTACAACCTCCGCGTATCTATCTACTATGTAATTTAGTCGTACACTCGCCTCGACTTAGTAGGGCAAACTAACCCTTTAGCCTCTAATATCTAGAACTTTAACCTATAGCTTAATCTCGATAAACCTAATACGTAGTAGCAAACTTTAAGTGTTCCGCAAGCTCCGCCGCCTATTAAAGTGCGCTAAATCGATAGTCTAATTTAGACCTTACCGCCGCCGGAGAAAGCTATCTAAGCTATATCCTATACGATTAAATACCCGATCCGTATCCGATTAACGACACCGAGGCCGCTAAAGCGAATCGCCGCTAATCGAGAAGTTCGACTCGAGGTCTATCTAGTATCTAGTATCTAGTATCTAGTATCTAGTATAGCTAGCGATAAAGTCCGCCGCAAACAGCGCCTAGCCGAGAAGGCCGCGCGCTAGAAGAAGTAGCAACTCGAGCGTTAAGAACTATATTAAGCACTACTACTAGGTCGCTCCGCTATTATACGCGTACGTCTAGACTTCGGTATCCCTCCGATAAAGCTGCCTTAACTAAAGTCGGAATGGGCGCGGCACTTTAAGCGGCGTATCGAGAAGATTATAGATCTAAAGACATCCCTTGCGCGTATTTAAGAGTTAGTATAGCAAGTAGGCTAATTTAAGGAGACTGTTTAGTACTAGGCGGAAATTATTAAGAAGGGCTTAACGAAACTCCTCGACTTTAAGCACCCTAGTTTAGCATTCGTTCCTATACTAGCGCAGAAGATAGTAATATACGCACTTATTTATAGCTAGAATAATGTCCTATTTATTACTCGTATAGGCGAGGGAAAGAGTCTACTATTCTAGGGCTTTACAATACTAACTAGTATAATTACTATCTAAGTAGTGCTATTAAACCGCTTAGGCGCCGAACAAGCAGCAGCAATCGAGCGTATAGCTAGCAATACTAGTAGTCTAGTCTACTTAGTATACATCTCTGCTAAAACTAAGAAGATCGATCCGGGTATATTTAAGAACATTCTAAATAGCAAGATCTAGTATATCCTCCTTAGACCTAAGTAGGCAGCATCTCCTTAATTCCTTTCTCTGCTTAATAACCCGCGCGTACGAGAGAGAGTAGGTCTAGTTATTATTAACAAAGCATACTTAATCTATAACTAGGGTAAGCCTTCTAGTTTCCGCGGCGAATACTCGCAGGTCGGTTAAATGCGCGATCGCCTACGTACCGACACTAGCACGCTATTAACCTTAGCTACTATAGATAAAGAGTATACTAAGTATGCGATTAAGCATGCCGGTATACGTAAGGAAGGACCGAATCCGTACGAGACTAAGATTATCCGTAGCAGCATCGACCGTCCGGAAGTTATATATATTATTAAGTTCATCCCGAGAGAGCATCTAACCGACTACGATATACTATATATAGTAATCGACAATGCCGTGTCCTATCCCCCGGTTCCTAATAGAGAGGAGAAGGACATTACTAAGGGATCGGCTACGCTATAGAACATACGCAAGTCCTTAGTATTTATCGACAGCTATAAGCATATCTCTAATTTCGTTAATATTACCTATAGCTAGCTACTGTATCTAACTAAAGCTAATCCGGACCCGACTAAGAGATACTAGTATAGCCTAGTTAGTCCTAGTATTAATGTCTGTCGTACTATCTCCTTCTATACTACTAAAGTACTAAAGCTAGACTAGGATAATCGGTATAATAAGTATTGTAAGCTAGACTCCGATATTCGATGTATAGCAGTAACTACTACCGCTAGCATTAGTTTAGATATACTAGACATTGCAGATATATACTAGTAGAAGTTCAATATTACCCGCAATGCTAGAGACCTTATATAGCGACTTAGCCGGATTGCTCGGCGACTAGCTCTCTTAAACTCGGAGGGTTTCTTCGATATACCGCATTTCTATCGGCCTCGGGTATTCTTCTTTGTGCTATACTATGCTAGGGATTATATTAAGCGAATGCTAGAAGGCGCTAGTATGCTTTCTATCCTTCTACTACTACAGTCGCAAGCTAGCGGTCGTAGCGGAGGCTATAGTCGTAGTAGAGGCCGCGGTCGTAGTCGTAGTCGTAGTCGTAGTCGTACGGCTGCCGGCCCTAGCAGACTGCGATAAGAGCTTCCTAGTAAGGATATCGGCGGCGCGAGCGATTAGGATAATATATATAGCGACACTAAGACAGATACTAGAGATAATGCGCCCCGTCGCAATAAAGGCAAATCTAAGGAGAGTAATACTTAGAATACGTCTAAGTTAGAGAGCCGAAAGAAGATTCTAAAGATCTTCTTAGGTGCCCTAAACGATTACCTTAAGATCCCTAGTCGCTGCTTTCGCGTAGTAATAAACGAGCACTATAGAGAGCATTTAACTTAGTTTCTATATCCGCTAGGCTAGCTAGATCTAAAGGACTATTACAATATCCACAACACTAACCTAATAGCTAAGCTACCCGAGCTACCGATAAAGCGTATTAAGCCGGTTAATCTACTAGGTAAAGGCATAAGACCTAGCTGTGCACTTAAACACATTAAGAAGTAGTGCTCGGAGAAGGTCGATACCCTATACCCGCGTAAGAACCGCTTATTCCGTATACTAGCTAGTATGTATATAAAGGACAGACTAATATAGTCTGTATCGGAGGTCTTCCTACTTGCTCGGTTATACGATGCCTAGGAGGATCTAACTCTTAGTATAGACAGGCTATTATAGGTCGCACTAGAACTAAATAATTAGCAATATAAGGATAATCTCGAAGAATTGCTTGCTGTTATTATTAGTATTGCTAAGCAGGTATATGCTAATTAGGAAGCATATAAATCCGAATAGAAGGCGAAAGAGGAGGCTGCAAAGAAGGCTAAGGAAGATATAGCGGCTGCTATTATAGAATAGTAGACTATAGGAGGTAAAGGCAGCTCGTCCGAACTACGGCTAGTAGTATATAGGACCCGAGAGGAAATAGAGGCAGACCTACGCGACCTGAACTAGTCTTTGAGACGCTCTGCTTTTACGAACACTATCCGCTAGTCTAGTATATAGAACAGCCTTGCCTAGTAGGCCTAGTAGACGCCTGCTATTAATACTGCTACCGCGGCACTATCTAACCCTCTATCTAATAGCAACGACCTAAATAACGATGCTACTAGTCCTTCTAATAGTAACGCACTACCCGCTAGGAAGCGTCGTCGTCGTAGTACTTAACTAGACCCTAGCTAAGGTTAATCTGCTTCTACTTCTACTAATCCGGCCGTCGACGAGGAATACGATATTACCGTAGAAGAAGCAACTAAGCAGTTAACACAAGCTTATATTAGTCGTCGTAGTAGTCGTAATATTCGCATTACTTAGGCTACTAAGGGTCTATATAGCGAGGGCGCTCGTGCGAGGAGCCTAAGTGCAGCAAGTAGCCGTAGTAGTAGAGTTAACGACGACATCCTGTCCTAGTATCTACCGAGCAGGTAGTAGAGCGTATAGACTAGAGGGCATTAGAAATGGCGCTAGAATAGCGCTAGAATAGCGCTAGAATTGGCATTTAATAAGGTTATTAGAATTAGCATTCGAATAGCGCTAGAATTGGCATTTAACAAGGTTATTCCTTACTACCCTTCTATTATGTCCTTGTAAGCGCGCTAAGTAGGCTTGTTTCGAGCAGGACGATATAATTTAAGGACTCTCCTTACTTATTAAAGACCTTATCCCTCTCCGTAACAAAGTCTGTCGATAGGTTGCCTTTGTAGTCGAGTATATTGCCTTAGCTATTAAGCTGCTTCTATAAGAGCTAGCGTGTAATGCCTAGTTAAGCTGCTTCTATAAGAGCTAGCGTGTAATGCCTAGTTAGGCTGCTTCTACGAGTGCTAGTTAGGCTGCTTCTACGAGTGCTAGTTGAGCTGCTTCTACGAGTACTAGAATTAGTACTAGCGCTAGAATTAGTGCTAGAATTGGCATTTAATAAGGTCCCTCCTTACTACCCTTCTATTATGTCCTTATAAGCTCGCTAATTATGTCCTTATAAGCTCGCTAGGCAGGCTCTTCTATTATGTCCTTATAAGCTCGCTATGTATTTTTGCTCTTATAGTCGAGTATATTGCCTTAGCTGTTAACGCGCTTGTCGGTAGGTTTGCCCTCGTAGGCGAGTACATTGCCTTAGCTATTAACGCGCCTCGTAGTCTGTCTTATACAATAGTCGATAGTTAATAGCCGATAGTTAATAGTCGTAAAAATCGCATATAGGAGTAGCGTAAATTCGAGGAAGCGATAGGGATGCCGAGTCCCGCTAAGACCCCGGATTTAGTATAGCAGAGCGCGTAATTAGCGGGATTAAACGTTATAGCTACTTCCTTCCGCGTATTAACAACACCGGCTTTACGACTTTTACGACTTCTACGACTTTTATAATAGTATATTACTAATGTAGCGAGATACGCCGATTGCGCGCATTTCTAGCAAATGGCGCTAACAAAAGTGTCTAATACGATAACGACGGCCGCCTTAGGTACTAAGAACTGCCTCCGAAACCCGAGAAGTTACTAACACTAGCGAGAAGTTACTAGCGAGACTAGCGAGACTAGCGAGACTAGCGAGACTAGTACTATACTTATTGCACCGCATACTCTTATAGACACTATAATATATACGGCAAGGATAGATACGTAGGGCGATAATATGTATCGAGCGCTCGTAAAAGCACCCTTCGAGAAGCTACGACAGCCCTCTTACGTTAACGCCCTCTATTGCTTAGACTCTCCCTAGAACGATTATTCCGATAACTAGTTACTATACAAGGCAGAGAAAACGAATAGTAGCGTCCGGGGATCTAATTAACTAGCGGCACTAAGCGGCTATAGAAGCACATACTCCGAAGCATACTAGTATTATATATAGCCTATATGCTACGCGTAATGCGTAATAATTAACGCATTCTATTACTAACTATAGCACGCGAGGTATATAGGAAGGGACTTATTAAGCGAAACAATAACAGCTCATTCGCTAAAGCGACACTTATTAGTACCTAGACAATAATAGAGTGTAACCGCGCCCTTAGTATTAGAGACACCGTAGAAAAGGGTTGTCGAGCGCGTTGCAGTCGTATAGCAATGTTAATACGCTTGCTAGAATAGAAGAGGAGGCGCACTATAGTCGGATAACAGTCTTAATACGCTTTCGGATCGGTGCGCACTATAGTCGAATAGCAGTCTTAATACGCAAAGGGCTGTAGTCGTATAGCAGTAAAGACTAAGACTAAGCGCCTTCGGGCTTGAGTACACTAGAGGCCCTTACGTACTAAGGTTATTATAACTAACAGTCCTAACAAAGGCGTTACGCCGACTTAACTAGATACGCGTATATTATCCTATAAAGAATCCGAACGTAGGAAGCCTATAGCCGCTACTTAAGGTGTACCTTACTAAAGAGTTTTTACCGAGTTAGGCCTATAGCCGCTACTTAAGGTGTACCTTACTAAAGAGTTTTTGCCGAGTTAGGCCTAGCCGCTACTTAAGGTATACCTTACTAAAGAGTTTTTACCGAGTTAGACCTATAGCAATGCTACGAACCTATCCTATCTACTTAGTAGGAAGGCGCTACCTTTAGCTACTTTCGGTATACCTTACTAAAGAGTTTTTACCGTTAGCTACCGTCGGATAAGCTATATCTATCTAAGACCTCTGCGACGTTCTAATAATAACTATGCTCTTTTAGTTAAATGCGTAGTCGACGCCCGCTAAAGCTATAGAAACAACCTACTCGCTAGGAGAGTCGCCTTCGTAACGTCTTACGTCGACAAAGCCTATCGGAGACTAAAAGGACTAAACAAACCACCTGCCGAGGAACCTTAACCAACTTAAGCGGTTCTATCGGTAGTAAGCCGCAGGACTAGTTAGGAGATAGTGTTAATCGCTATAGAGCTACCTATATACGATAAAGAGGTATCGATACTATTACATACGCCGACAGCTAGTATATTACTAGGGGTATTAGTATGTTAGTATATATAGAAGAAGAAGAAGAAGTTAAACTAGGAAGCGTAGGTCTATATTAGCGCATCGTAGGTAAGGTTTGCCTCTACTAATAGGATTGCGCCATTTAGCTACAATAGCAAGGCAACAATAACGGCTATACATTATCGCACTTTTAACGTAATAGCCGCTGACTGCTGCTAGTCGAATGCCTACCTAAGGCTAGAATTGCTCTGCGCTCGCTAGCTAGTTATTAACGAGGCACGCACTCTAGTCTACCTAGGTACGCACTCTAGTCTACTAGGTACGCACTCTAGTGTACCGCTACTACTTCGCTACTAGGCGCGCACTCTAGTCTACCGCTACTACTTCGCTACTAGGCGCTAGTTAGAGTAACGCTAGTTATTAAGCGATTATCGTACGCCTAGCCTAGCTAGCTATTAAGCGATTATCGTACGCCTAGCTAGGCTAGCTATTAAGCGATTATCGTACGCCTAGCCTAGCTAGCTATTAAGCGATTATCGTACGCCTAGCCTAGCTAGCTATTAAGCGATTATTATACGCCTAGCCTAGCTAGCTATTAAGCTATTATCGTACGCCTAGCCTAGCTAGCTATTAAGCTATTATCGTACGCCTAGCCTAGCTAGCTATTAAGCTATTATCGTACGCCTAGCCTAGCTAGCTATTAAGCTATTATCGTACGCCTAGCTAAACCCTTCGACTTTATAAACACTCCCGACGAGGCACGCACTCTAGTCTACCGCTAGGCACGCACTCTAGTCTACCGCTATTACTTCGCCGCTAGGCGCGCACAATCTAGAGCTACTATAGGACAACGACGACATTACAGGCGTTAGTTTAGTGCTTAGACAAGAATAGTCCTACCTTAATACATCAAATATTATACTCTATGCTCTATGCTCTATGCTCTATACTCTATACTCTATGCTCTATGCTCTATACTCTATGCTCTATGCTCTATGCTCTGTTCCTTTAGAAGTTACTGCTACCCTTACTACTAAGGCTACCTATACGTACGAGGAGACCTATATTAGCTCCTTCTACTCTACCGTTGCTAGCGCTAGCGCTAGTGCCTATACTAGTTAGGTCCTAGGTTTCTATACCCTCGAATAGCTAAGCAGTACTATCTATAAGCTAAACCTACACATTATCTCGCTCTAGATTAAGTACTACATCCTTAATTAGACCGTAATTAATACTATCTAGGCGCTCTATAGCATTAGGACCCTCTAAGGCATTAGATTCTAGCACCGTAGTACGGCCTCGAATGAAGTTCTAGTTAGTAGCGTTAAAGTTCTCGACGACTAATAGTATCTAATCTGCACCGATATTCTAGATATCGTCCGAGAGCGTAAAATCTCCGTACTACTACTTCGCGAACCTATCGATACGGATTTTATTAGCTCGATTGAATACGCCCGCGCTAATGTCCTTATTAGTATAGTAACTGGTCCGATAGATACTAGAATTCTCCCTAAATATATCGCGGATAAGGCGAGATAACTCTCGGTTTATCGATACTCGTTTAAAGGCAGTAGCAAGTCTATAAGTCGAATTAGCAAGGCGATTGTAGTCCTCGGATAGGGCATAGTTAATAAGCTTAATTATCTTATTACTACCGATAGTATAGCCCTTCTTTCTAGACTGATTAACTGTTATAGTAGCAAGGACCGCCTTCTATAGGTCCTTAGTACCGCCCTTATTAAGGAGGAAATAGAAATAGGTTATTAGACGACTATAGTTACTCTGTCTAGCTCTAAGGAATATAGGGATCGTATAGTCTACGCATCGACGAAGGTAACTAACATCCTATATACGGACAGCATAGCGGACGCGTAGAAACAAAGAGATCTCCTTTATTAGTCTATATATAGAGGTAAAGGCCGCATCTAGCCTAGTTAGTATAGCGCTATTGTCGGTAGAGGCAGGTCGATTAGGCATTCCCTCCTATGCTTCTAGTAATAGGAGTAGCTAATGCATCTCCTTTAGGATATCTATATACTTAGTAGCGGATATCTTCTCGACAATAGCCTACTTAACGACCTTAGGCCGGGTCTAGTTACCTTCGCTAATAAGATCCTTAGAGATATAGCTACGGTTGACTATAATCTAGAGGAATACGGCGACAGTGCGGGCCTTAAAGCAACGCTTTAGTAGTCTCTATATACGGAAGAATTTTAGTAACTTTAGATTAACCTCTTTTATACCCTAGAAATCGATATCCGATAACAGAGAGAAGTCTATACGATCGCCGGCCTTGTTCTTATTCTAATAGGTACGGAAAGGTATAAAGCATAGATTTATAAAGATATAGAACCAAGCGGGCACCGGAAGGATATGCTACTTCCTATCGTATATAGCCTTGTTCTCGATACCGCTAAAGATTATAGCTAGTATACGCTCGATAGTAAGCTAATTACCGATATTAATAATCAGCCTATTCTCGAAGATCGGATTATCGGGCTTTAGACTAAGGTTGCCTTAGTAGATATCGTCGTATACTAAGGCAGTGCCCTTGTTCGAGATCTCGTTATTCTATAATAGAGGCATAGCTAGTAGCTAGGTCTTACTACGGAAGCTATAGTTAATCTCCGGATATACTAGCTCTTCGACTAGACTACCGGTATCCTTCGCTGCCTTAAAGATAGTCTTAATCGCGTTACTAAATATATATATACAGGCTTCGTAGAGCTAGTACATTTCGACTGCTACGATAGTATCGTCGCTATCGATATTCTAGATAATATTCTCGGTTAGTACTAGCTTCGAGCGGTCTAGCATGTCCTACGTTAACCCCCTCTCTAGTATGTCTTCGTAGAGGGCGATATACGAATTAGTAATGTTAACCTGTTTATTATTGTCGGCAATGCCTTAGTCCTTCTACTTTACCTAGCGATTAAAGTTATCGTAGCAGATCTACTAGATATACAACTTAGCCCACTCTAAGATCCTTAGCCGCTAGGTGTTAGCATTCTTCTTAATTAAGGCCTAGATAGTCTTATATGCCGGAAGTAGACCTATACTATATAGGGTGTCGATAAGAGGGGCGGGCACGTTGCTAACACAAACAAGTAGAAGACTAAGCGATTTTAGTATCTACGAGGCCCGCTTTATTGCTATAGAATAGACGACTATATATATAATCGTATAGATACGCTTCTATATTATGTTTCGCTTGTCTTCGAAGGACATTGCTCGCTATATAGTATCCTTCCGAGTATTAAGTAACATAAAGTCCTCGAGAAGGCGGTACTAATTTAGAGCGATATTATAGATTATATTATATATCTCGGATAGGCGACGTAGTGCAGCAAGACTGTCTTCTAGCTTGTACGCATTAAAGAACTTCTTGCTAATTAAGTTCTTAACCTTAGCACGTAGCTAAACAGCACTAATAAGATGCTTATTCGGCAATATATCTTAAACAGCCTATATACGCTTGCGGTAGGTCTTTATACCCTCCTTACTAAACTATATAAACATTATCTTCTCTATTAGCAATCTAAGCTAGGCGAGGTGCTTTATAGTAAGGCTGTACTTCTACTTAGGCGTACGACGTAGACTACGGAGGCTAGTAGGGTCGAGTTTACCCTCTTCCTTATCGTCTATCTTATCGAGGCCGCGCTAGCTAGGACGCTATATAGGTTAGTCGTCGTCGTTATTATTAGAGGTATTACTAGTACGACTCTTAATCTCTAACTCGCCCTCGCTTAGTAACTTTTTATCTATATTAGCGTCCTCGTCTTCGGTTATACTATTATCCTTAGCTAGTTAAGTATAGTCGACGTTACGATTAGCATTTCGTAGGCGGCGAGGGGCTATAGGACGATTAGGACGATTAGGCTAGCGTCGAGTAGCTAGGTAGTCCTTATTACCTAGTATATTCTTAGAGTTATAATAGTCGCTATAATACTAGTACTAGTAGCGGCGATTCTTATCGACTATATAGACTAGTAGGTTAGACGTCTATCCTAGTAGATCTAGATCCTACGATATAACTATTTCCTTGTTTTTATCTTTATTATATTCTAGTCGAGTTAGTAAGGTAGCATTGTCTTCGCAATAGTCGAGTTTAGATATAGCTAGAATATCGGAGAGATAAGAAGAAGAAGTATACTAATTACCTCCGCCTAGACTATAGTCGAGTTTAGATATATCTAGAACATTAGAGAGATAAGAAGAAGTATACTAAGCGCCTCCGTTCTAAGCGCCTCTATCCTAAGCGCTTCCGCCTAGACGACGATCGAGCTTAGAGGTATTAGGCTAATTAGTTAAGTCGGAGTCGCTTATATTAGCGATGCCTTATAGGTATCGTATAGGTCGTATAGGTATTATGCAGGTATTAGTTAGTATTTAGTATTCGAAGTGCTAACTCGAATTGCGAGCTAGCTAGCTAGCTAAAGTCGCGTCTACTATATAGCTATATCTTAATAACGAGACGTCGCATACGAATAGTCCTTACTATAAAGTTAGTCGGAAATACTAGATCTGCGAGCGCGCGAGTGTTTTAAATATATTAGGGTTGTTGTATCTAGAGGCTTCTAAGCCGCTAGTAAATGCTATCGGCAAAGTAACGACAACTTAGTACTACTATACTGTATATAGTTATATATAGTAAGAAAGTCGATCGGAAATACTCTACGAAGGGCCTCGAGTTAGTTTAGTCTAAAAAGAAGGGTAGTACTACTACCCGTTCTTTTAAGGAGCGGCGAGAACTTAGTAACGAGAAGTCGTATATACTTAGGCTTAGCAAGAAAGTTAGTCGGACAATGCCTATTAAGAACCTCTAGGTAGTAGCTTATACTATGCTAATATATTGAGAATCGATGTGTTTAGGTAGGCGGAAAGCTATAGAAGTAGGCTCGGCTTAATTAGTGTAACTTAACGCGTATACGTCGTAGAGACTTAATTTTTAGTTCGCTATATTCGGAAATAGTAGCGCTATAGCCTCCTTATATTAGATATGCTAGTTTTCGTTAGTGTAGCGAGATCGTATTTTGATAGCGGAATCTACGATAAAAATTAGCGGTTTAGCTTTAGGCCTTTAGGCAAAGGATTAGGTAGAGTAGTGTATAATTAGTAGATCGGAAGTCGGCAAAAGAACCCTAAATTTGACTGTATCACGTGTGCTAATCTATTCCGCTACTACCACCACCCCGGAACGTAATCCTTAATGCACAAAGGCCTGAACGGAGGTAGTCCGAAGCTTAGTTGTGGATGTGTCACTCAAATTGCCACCTTCATCGCCGTAGTCCGCCGTAGTCGCGATGTCGGCTACAACGATAGGCCATCGGCAGGATCATGGCCACCACTTTCGGCCAATGGAAGAAGTTGCAGAGACTCCTCTTCACTTCTCATGATTTGTAGAACATGAATCACACAATCAACAGATCTACATTCAACAATATGAGTTCGGCCGAGCCATGGAAAGAGATATCCGCAAAGGCAAGGCAGAAGACTCTCGATAGCATTCCTGCAGAATGGAAACTTCCAAAGGAGAAGCTGCCAGCAGACGATGTCTTGGACATAACAGGGTTCCCAGCCCAGTCTGGACTACTGTCAGAGAAGGAATTGCAGATTACCGACAGCCTTGCTACGGAAATTGTTGCAAAGATAGCCAAAGGAGAATGGACCTCCGAAGATGTGACCCTGGCATTCTGCAAAAGAGCTGCTCTTGCCCATCAACTGACGAACTGCCTTACGGTGGTCATGTTCGGAGACGGCCTCAAAAGAGCAAAAGCGTTGGATGCCGAGTTCAAGAAGACTGGAAAGGTCGCTGGTCCCCTGCATGGTCTACCGGTGTCGTTAAAGGACAACTTCAATGTTCCTGGTTACCCTTCCTCAGTCGGCTTTTGCTCCTGGGCATCTGACCCTATGGATCAAGAAAGCAGCATTGTAACCACATTGAAAAATCTCGGTGCGGTGCCTTATGTAAAGACCAATGTTCCTACTGCCATGATGATAGCGGAAACGGTCAACAATTGCTATGGCCGGACTGTCAATCCATTGAATCGAGCTACCACGTCTGGAGGATCTTCAGGCGGCGAATCAGCTCTGATCGCTCTACGTGGCTCGCCTCTCGGCGTCGGGACTGATATTGGTGGATCCCTGCGAATACCAGCAGCTTGCACCGGCATATTCACATTGAAGCCAAGCGCCGGAAGATTTCCTCACTTTGACGCGAGATCCGGACTAGCAGGGCAAGAGGCGGTACCTAGTGTGCATGGCCCGATGGCAAGAAGTATCGCAGATCTACGGTTGTATACTGAAAACGTGGTTGGCACGCAACCTTGGAACAAAGATCCAAAGTGCTTGCCAATTCCATACCGCAATGTTGAGCTGAAGAAGAAGCCTAAAATTGCTGTATTGTGGGACAACGGCATGATCAGACCTACTCCGCCAGTGACCAGAGCCATCAAAGAGGTCGTTAAGAAGCTCAAAGCGAAAGGCTATGAGCTCGTGGACTGGCCAAATACTGATCATGCCGAGGCATTGCAGCTGCTTGGCCAATTCTTTGTCGCAGATGGAGGGAAATCTGTTGCGAATATTCTGACGCCAGTGGGTGAGCCAATCCGCCCAGAGATGGCAGCGTACGAAACCGCGAAGGAGGTTGGCTCACATGAACTATGGCAATTGCAAAAGCAAAGAACTGCACTAGCGAAACGCTATCTCGATCGCTGGGAGGCAGTCGGCGGTCTCGATGCCATTCTTGGTCCCACGACTCCTTATGCCAGTTCGCCGAAGCATGGTCAATTCACGCACGTAGGCTACACTGGTGTCTTCAACATCTTAGATTACAGCTCGGTATCTTTCCCGTCCGGAATAGCTGTCGATAAAGCGCAGGACACAACGTCGACGATCGAGACATACTATGGTGAAGCGGACGAAACGACGCAGAAGCAATACGACCCAGAGCTTGTTCATGGTCTGCCTGTGAGTCTACAGCTGACAGGTCGTAAACTTGAGGAAGAAAAGATTCTAGCGCTGGCAGAGCAAGTGGTCATTGACCTCCAGTAATTGGACTACATGTCAATGCTAGTGAATTGCACAATGTCAAGCATTTCTCCTATATAGACGATTCCGCGCGAGTTAGTAAGGATAGATATTAGCTTCTTTGTCTTTCGATCTTTAACTATAACCTAGAGATTGTTCTATAAGAAGCTATCTACTAAGTTATTAATCAGATGCGCTTATTTCTTAATATCGTTCTATTCTAGATCGAAGTCGTAGGAAGCTAGCGGTATTACCGGCGTGCCTATCTTTTCGGAAGACTCTATTCTTGTCGCTGCTTTGCAAGACTGATTAAAACTTGCTAGACTTGAAGATCTTATTGCGAGAGAGAATAGAAGTGATTAGCATTGAAAGCGTAATGACGGCTCGTTTACTTGAGGCACTACTTGATGAAGCCGACGAGAAACGGCGACGTCGGATCACCGCTACGAGGTCTAATACGTCTCAATCATCAAACCGTGATCTAGGCTAGATGCAAGCATTAAGGCCGCCGTCTGCCGACTCTCCCTCGAACACTATCCGGAACAGTCACCTATTGATTCGCGGAGGCTATGCTAGTCGAGTGGGTGTGATACGGCGAGGCTGGAGAGGCCCAAGTCCCCTGAATTTAATATTCGGGGTCTTCAGCATAGACGCCATTCGGAGCAACAAGGCCACATTGAAGCAGACTCGGAGGCATTGAACTGATAATGCAGTTGCCCAGGACTTGTTTGCGTATTTTGTAAACGAAGGCATAATGATGAGCATCATGAGGGTGTCCTTTGCTGACCGTAGGAGGCCGAAATGACCTTCACCGGTCAAACATATTCTCGGTATATCGATGGCACCTGAGCATAAAGACCATCACAGTGCTCGGCCTTTCCTCATTTTGCTGCCCTCTGATGTTCGGCGAGGCTATTTGTGCAAATGGTGTCTGCACATGGGCCCATCGGGATTGCTCCTCCTTGTCTTCTTGGCCAATTCTCCAGTCTGATGAACTGGTCCATGTAGCCTCACTATCGCTGCCATACTCTTGTCATTGGCCTTGAAAGCCCGCTTGCCTGCCATGTTCCTTGTTTTCCTTGGTCCGATGGCCGCCTTTCGAAATCCCGAGCCTCGTTTTTCGGGGTTTGCTGTAAGACCACGCTGAACGACGAGTGATCCTCCGCACTGGGCGGTATGCAGGCAGTTATAGTACAGAATAATCTCACAAGCGGGATAGGTGGAGTGGTGGGAGGTGGGAAGTAAGAATGTACAGCGTTGCTGCTCATGGATTATAGCGAATAGCGACTTGTTATTCAGCGGTCCGACCCTAGTCACTTTCACTCCAATGTGAACGATCCTTCTTCACAACACACACGTCCAAGGCGCACATGACTACGAATCATTAAGATATATTCACTCACGAGCTTAGCTAGAAGGACAATGGCAGCCCACCCGCACTCAGCACCGAGACACAAGCACCATGCGCCCAAAGGCGAACGCACGTCGACCCCTTCGTCGTACCTCCCATCTCTCTAAAGAGCCATGCCCGCCAGCATGATAGCCATACCGGCACCGAGAAGAGGTCCTGCTGTCGCAACAGCTGCGGCTCCATCAAACGTTGTAGCTGGAGAAGTGACCACTCGAGTGTTGCCTTGGGCATCAGTCGTGGTGGCTGTAGTGAAGCTGACAGAGCCCGTGGTACGGGAAACAGTGCTCTGGCCTGGCACATGCGGCGTGGCACCTGCCGGGAAGACAAGAACGCGGGTGATTGTGTCAGAGTCCTTGCCCTGATCGATCGTTAGCAATAGCCGAGTTGCAAGGGTCGGTAGAATATCGTAGACTCACGGTGTACGTGGCTGTAGAGGTCGTCAATGACCCGTACGATCCTGTGAAGGTACCCGAAGTCCAGGCGCCAATCGGATATACGGTCGTTCGCGTCTCAGTCTCTGGTCGATCGTCCTGCGCACGTCAGTACTTTTTTCGAGCCTGCATACCAGTGCCAGGCCCCCTCACATCGTGATGAATCTCGGTGTAGGTGTATGTCGCAGTCGTCAGAGATCCGCTAAAGATACCAGTAGCACCCGGTCCTCTTATTGGAGACGGCGGCGTGACACCAGCGCTTCCTGTCTGATTTGTAGCGGTCGAGAAGCCGCAGTCCCTGAGCCACTGTTCAATCTCTGTCAGAGGTGTCAGCATGGCACTCAGGCGCATACTCTATCGAAGTGCTCCCGGAACAGCGCTTCCGATATATCTGGATCGGGAGCAGCTCCGGTAGCAAGGATCAAAGAGCATACCGTTGTCGTCAGTGTCGTTGTCATCAAGGTCGAGAAAGTAGTTTGGATATTGGACAACACAATTCTGGCAAGTCGAGAGAGCCTGGTTTGCGTTCTGTGTGCTGCAGACGCAGTCACGATACTGCTGGTCGTGGGTGCTTCTATCACGGTCGTCTTCAAACTGACGATCGCAGCTCTGGAGCACTGTCATTCTTGGTTGTCTAACGACTCAAACCACTGGGGATCCGAACTTACGTTCTCTAGATCGACGACTGGCTGGCAAATGGATCTGCACTCCGGAGGCACGTCGTTCGGCTCCAGATCATGTCCATGAACCACGACAATAGCCGCAGCTAGAGCAGCGAGAATGATTCTGCTGTTGTACATGTTGGTAGTCACGACCGTTGCAAGAAGAGAAGAACTCGGGTGAGTTGGAATCTGGCCTTACATGTGCTTTCGTGTGCTGACTTGTCAGTCTTTAGTAGATGGCAGGCAACAGGGAATACAAGATGCCATCATATCCACAGCAAGCATTGATACTGTCAAACCACGAGACCATCGCTCTGTGTTTCATTCTAAATGCGGCCTGAACTTCAGCAGTATGGAGCATGCAGACAGACAACGCAAGCCTGCTTCGCCTGTCGCCAAGACGGGCTCCAAGAGCGTAAATCGAGGCCGTCCCAGCTGCTACCATCTTCATGGCGCCGCGAGCGCAAGATGAAGCTGCCGATGTGATTAGGCAGCAAAGGTGACCGAGATGTTTCAGCGCACGAGAGTGACGACGCACCAAGCACATGCTGAGCCAAGGCTGAGCCAAGGCTGAGCCAAGGCTGGGCATTGGTGTGGCTCAGCAAAACAACGTAAGTCAAAACTCTATTCCTCCATGAAATACCGGCACAACATCTTCCGCACCACGACAGTAACGATGGACTGGAATGAAGATGGTCAATCGCGGATTGCACGTGACACTTCAGCACTTTGCAAGTAGTGGGCTAATTTGATGAATATCAATCATGATTAGGTACACTTTCGGCCGTTGTTTGAACGAGAAGAAACATCAATATATGTACGAAAAGATTCGGGAAAAGCGCAACAACAAACACACAAAAGAATGTCGTCCATCGTCATCGTCATCGTTAAAGGAAACAGGTATTCTTTCTTCCTGCCCAACTCCCGGCGCCAAGAAAATTCATGGTTCTCTTCAGCCATTCCATTCGGAGAAATTTTCAGCCTGCACATGCTATGCCCAAGGCCCGTCCAGCTACAAGAAAGCTGCCAAGGCAACAGCAAGCCCAGCCACTCCACTGAGGACCGGGATTGAATTGCGACCGCCTGCATTCCGGTCGACTTGACGAACGGAGCTATCCAGACGGTAGCTATCAGTTGCTCCGACTGTGTCTCCAGAAGGATTGATGTCCGACTTGGTATTGGTGTTGCCATTTGTATTGGTGAGTACTGACCCTGTGGACGTCCCAGATGGACCATTACGGTCTTCATCAGTGCAGACAGGACGTGTTGTCTCTCCCTCACGCAGTGGAGGTGGGTTGTCCCAGCAGTGAGGGGGAAGCGGCGTCCCGTCTGCACGTAGGGGTCGGTCATCGGTCGTGTCTTCCCAGTTGGGAACTCCGTCGTAGTCGAGGTCGCCATCACGACCTCCTGCGCCAGGTCCGTCCCGGTCGCGATCGTTATCGTCGTCGTCCCAGTCTCTGTAAGTATCGGTACCGTTGCGGTACTCTTCGGTGCAGGCAGGTGGTGGAGGATCACCCTCACGCTGCGGTGGTGGGTTTGAGCCGCAATGTGGAGGCACTGCAGAGCCATCTGTACGAGGACGTCCGTCATCAAGGGGTTGAGGACCGTCTTTCGGGCCATCTTTAGGTCCTGGTCCGCCTTTGGGACCTGGACCGTTCTTGGGACCAGAGCCGCCTTTGGGTCCGCCTTTGGGTCCGCCTTTGGGTCCGTCTTCTGGCCCGTCATCTCGAGGTGGAGGAACATCGTCTCTATTGGGACCGTCGTCTGGCCCGTAATCTCGAGGTGGAGGAACATCGCCGTCTCTATCCGGCCCATCATCAGGGCAATTGTCGGGACCTTCGATCTCAACACATGGTGCAGCCTGACGGACCACAAGAAGCGCGCTTTCGCCTCTCTTGCCAATGTTCAATCCACGAACCAGGACCGAAGCTCCAGTAAGTAACAACAAAGTAGATGGGACCTTCATCTTGCGAAACTTTTCGAATGCAATAAAAAACAAAAGCTAAGTAGATTTTCTGCTGTCTGATCTTCCTCCACAAAAAGCATTCTCTCATCCTCTTCTTATATATCTCATCAGTTCCAATCACACTACCTATCAAAATCTCTCTCTCTCTCTCTCTCTCTCTCTCTCTGCATCATGTTTCTATTTCTGTCTACGAGCCTCAACAAGTTCTTCTACATCTGCAGCTGTACAATCATCATCATCATCATCATCACTTTCCGCCAAGATCCCAGCCAGCATCTTTCAAGATTTTTCTTCCCATATTGAGTTACAGGCAGCAAAGCTCTACACCGAGCCAAGACGTGATGAAACATGGGGATGCTGCAAAAGTCTTGGAAGGAGGAGGAGGAGGAGCTCTGCTGATGACACTGCCCACGACTCAACAACCTCTGCGATATGGACTTGGAAGATGGCGGTTTCAGACTTTTGTATACCTCCGTATCGTATCATGCATACTCATAGCAAAAATTCTTGGGATGGAATTTCCCGATTTGAGAGCTAATGGAGCAGAAGATGTGTGGGATTTTGACTGCATGGTAGGTAGGTTTCTGCCAAGTGTGATGAGCCACTCGGAATGCTCTTGGACTTACACGTCAATTCTGTAGAGTATTCTGCGACCCCTGGGGCTTGGAGGACATGGTCTTTCCCCCATTGCCCAGTGATGACCAATGGCAGAACTGGTCACGTGTCAGATATCACTCATCGCCGCCGGCCGCCGGCATATGGACTTGCTTTGCTTCCTGTGAAGAAGTTATAACTGACTCGTGAATGAAATGGAATGCCTAGGATGACTCTGAGCTCAGACTGACAAGTTATTACCTTCGATGATGAAAGTCAACTTATGCTTGACGACGGGCAGACAGGTTTTCCAGGGATTCGAAGATTCCCATAGAAATGTCGTTGGATTGTTGCAAAACAATCTCATCAATACCTTGTCATGCTAGCATCTATAGGCCGTGAGAAGTCGAAAGAACCCAAACGCCGCCGCTAATGCAACAACTGCTCCAACGCTGCCACTGAAATCGCATTCCAGAGCCAGGGCCACACCGCTCGACCTCCTCTCATCCGACATGAATCATCGCTCGCTCCCATGCTCAGCTGAACGACATCCCAGAGCTCAGAGCTCCAACCCAAGGCTGCGGCGCAGTGCCTCTTGGCGTGGAGTTTCTCCCAAGTAGTAGGCTGTGTATCTATCTCTCACACACGCAAGTGTTTCACTTGGCAGAGAACTTGGACCGGGCTCTCAACTGATCTCCAAACCAGAACAGGGCGAAAACTCCAGCTATACAACCTGCTGTCAAGCCGCCAAGCAAGCTTGTGCCCGGTCCTATGTTTAGATTGATGTACATTGGACGCGAAAATAGAACAGCTGCGAAGGCCAAGGTGGAGCGGGCGAAGTCGTTGCCAGCGAAGAGGGAAGCTGAGTATTGGGGGTAGACGCTATGGGGAATTGTCAGAGATTCTGTTCCGGCGGTAGGGTAGGTGGGAGCTTACAGAGGCAGGTAGACGAAGATACATTGCATGATTACGAATATGCCAATTGTGAAGATCGCGATGCCGATGATGCTTACGATCCAATGGATGTCGGGGTCAGATGTCCAGCCGAAGATGAAGAGTCCTGCGGGGCATAGGAATGAGGCGAAGAGAGCTGGAATGAGTCTTCGTTCGGGAGCTCCGAGACCGTTTTTCATGATCTCTGGTTCTTGGACCCAGTGGAAGTAGGAGAATAATGTGGCGAGGGAGATCAGAACTCCTGCTAAGATTGAGAGGAAAGCTAGACCAAGCTCGCCGAGATTGAAACCGTACATCTCGTTGTACACTAAGGGGAAGGCCTCGAAGAAAGAGTAGTAGATCCCGTAGCAAAGTGCGGTATACAGCGCCGTGAATCCTATGGCTGGATCCATGAGCATGAGCTGTACAGGTCGAACGATTGCTTCGAATGCGACGTCTTTGGGCTTCATGTTGGCTTGATCCATCTCGGATTGGCTTTTGAGTCGAGAATTGCCGGTGAGCTTTCGAAGTCGTTGTGCTCGGCGAAGCAAGATGTTGGCCGTTGAGGTCTCAGGCAGGAAGAGCAGCATGAGGAGGAAAACCGGACCAGACAACCACAACATCTCCCAAAGTGACCAGCGCCAGTTCTCTGCTGCCACCGAAAACCCGGAGATGAGAGGACCCAGAGCTGGGCCACACGTTGCGGCAAACGCCCATATCGCGAGCACGTACGGAAGCTTGATCAAGCTGTACATATCTTGCAGTGAAGCTCCACCAGTCGCGAGACATGGACTGCCAAAGAAGCCCTATGAAAGTCGTCAGCCCTGTGCGTCACTGATCGCGTATATCTGTCTTTGCACTTACCTGCAAAAACCGCATGGCCAACAGGGTACCAGCGCTGTCTGCGAGGGCTGCTGGTATCCAGAGAACGACGAAAATCGCCATTGTGATGATATAAGGCGGGTTCCTGCCGATTGCAGGTATCTCACTCAATGGCGAGAAAATCAGTGGGCCAATGCCGTAAGCTAGTGTGTATAGAGCGAGATTTAAGCTCGTTTCTATATATCCGGTATCAAATCTCTGCATTATGCCAGGGAATGAGCTAGTTACGATGGATGAGCCCATGTAGACGGTTAGAGTATAGATGTAGATCATCGAGCTGGCGAGGAGCTTTTTTCCGAAGGACCAGTTCTGCGGATTCTCTTCGTCGCCTTCGGTGTACCAGTCCACCAGGATGTCTCCCTCGCTCGTTCGCTGAGGAATGATCGGTCGGGTCGGCTCCTTTCTGAGAGTCGACGCGGTGAAAGCTGTTTGAAGGTCGGCTTGAGTATGCGATTCTTGCAATGTAGCTCTGGTTCCCACCCGGCTCATTCGTGAGCGCACGCTGGTTAGCTTTTCGAGGCCTTCACCTTGCATGCCAGCTTCGAGCTCGCCCGAGCGCGCGGTTGGAATGGTGTGTAGGGCAGGACCGTCCACATACGAGGCCGGCTCGGCTTCTTCTAAATGTTTCGTTGCGGCATCGATTGAATCCGGCGACTCAATCTCTTCCTTCTCGACTTCTGCTGCTGGCGTGGAATCCTCGTTGAACGATGCTGATGTTGCGTCTGCTCGGCGAGCTTTGGCGGCCGTTTCCGGATCTGCGTAACACGTAGGACATTGAAAGTCTGGTCGCTCTTCGGGGTAGAGCAAGACGCGGTTCTTCGTGATGTACCGAATCAACTGCCCGATGGGCGCATCTCTGATAAGGGCCTCCATTGCCGAAAATGATCTTTGTGACTGCGACTCTGAAGGTTTTCGGGGTGAGAAGGGCCCTTTTTGACACAATGTTGGCCTTGGCCGGTCGATGTCAACACTTCAGTCGGCGCCGTGGAGATTGGTGTAGAGGAAGAGACTCTCGCATAACGAAGGTGATGCAGGTAGTCATACTTGTAGCTCGCCGTCTTTCACATGCATGGTTAGCAGAATTGCACCGACCGCATGTGCTATCCTTGACCACTGCTTCATTCTCACAAAGCAATAGTAAGCAGAACGCATAGACATGGCTTGAATACTGCCAGAACCTACCCGACACTCGCTGCGCTGGTTTACCACGAACGCCATGCAGGTGTAGTCAGCATGCAAGAAAATGGATCAGTAATCGAAGACAGTCATCAGGCTGTCAGGCACTACGTCATAACCCGGCCGACATGTGTTGATTTCCAATACCAAACGGCTCCAGTCGTCATCGATCCATCTTATGCCTTATCTTCTGATGGTATCCTCGTATGGACTAAACGGTCGTGAGTAGGCTGAAGCGGGTTGCCCAACTTGATGTTTGATGTTCGCATTCGCGTGGCTGTAGCATCTTGGCGTGACTCTGCTTTGTCATGCAGAACTCCTGCTGAATGTGCAAACGCCAAGGTATAGCAGTATATGTACCAGGCTTGCCCTTACCTTGGCCGTCGAAGCAAGCATATGCAAGCGTGTAGAGAGTGTCCGCCTAAGCTTTGCCGCGAGGACCATACGCTTGGGCTCAATTGACCTCAGGATCGGTAGGCAACGGCCACGAATACGCAGTCGACCTGCTTAATCTTGCCCTGCTCATCTGCAAGTTTGGCCCATTCGTCCTTGAAGAGCATCTTCGCTTCCTCTCTAATCTGTGAACGACCAAGATGTCGAGTCGCTGGATCATCAACACGAGCATCAAAAATGCTTCCCGCTTCACTCAGTTTGTATTCTCGACAGGGACGTGGTGCATCGAGGTCGGTTAAAAAGTCGTTCAGATCAACGAGCTCCGGCCTATCGATCTGAGATACGCTCAATATCGAAATTCGAGAGAGGCCTGCGTCCTCGCACATCTGCCTCAGATCTCCAGACCCAGCACCAAAATTTAGGCGATAGAATGGTACAGGTAAGTTGCATCTCTTGCCAACCTTTTCAAAAGTGATGCCGGGGAGTTGATCCCTCGGATGAATGACATCGACAACAATGCGCCCTCCAGGCTTCAGATATGTGGCCCACTGCTTCACTGCCGCGCCAGGATCCCGCAGCAGTACCAACGCTGAGCAGCATAGGATGGCGTCGAATTTCTTGCCATTTAGAGCGAGGAGCCGATCAAGGTCCGTAATGGAATGCTGATGAAGTTCGACGTTGTTGAGATCATGACTTTGCAGCTTATGCTTCGCCTGTGCAAGCATGCCGCCGCTAATATCAACGCCTACAACCGAGCCATGTTCCTGCACTGCAGTACTGGCGCAGAGCGTAGCAAGTCCAGTGCCGCAAGCAAGGTCTAGAACGTCCTCGCCTGGCTTCAATTTTGCTATTTCGACCATATGGCGCGCGAAGCGAGGATGCCAGGAGTTGTCGTAGCTTTCTGCTCGGCTGTTATACACGTCGCCAATATCCAAGGGCTGGTCGTGGAGCGCCATGATCGTGGAGAGTTTCAGGCGCTGATTGTGTTTCTATCAATGGCAGAATGCTGCAGAAGTGAACGGCGTTCTTGTGTGTTCTCAGGATCAACTCGCAGTGTGTTGGAATGAAAAGCGCCAGTCTGTCGAGGTAGGAGTTGCGAAAGACATTGACCCTGTCGGCGATACCGCTTTGAGTAAGTATAGCGGCTCCTTGTCGCATCAACTCGGTCAAGTGGCGTACCTTACGAGAGGCAGTTCGTCTCCTGTGCCTGTGCAATGAGAAACATGTGATGAAGTCTTCGTACCTGGCTGCTCACCCGTCGTCTCTTACAATCTCATCGCTCACCTCCAAGAGCATAGAATATAGCACAAGACCCAGCAAGGCAAGGCAGGTGGTACTATAACTGTATATTCTAACACACACACGTTCTTCCTTGCACACCCCGAGAATCACCTCATCACCACATCAGCTCATCGATGAACATACCAGAACTCCTCATCACACAGACCCACCATGAAAATAATCCTCACAGGCAGCACCGGCTTCATCGGAACCGAAATCCTCAAACAATGCATCGCCCACCACTACATCACCCACATCCACCTCCTCACCCGCCGCCCCCTCGCCAACCAATTCTCCCACAAAAAAGTCACCCAACACCTGCACCTAGACTTCGAAACCTACCCCTCCGACCTCCTCCTCCGCCTCCGCGAAGAAGGCATCGAAGCCTGCATATTCGCCCTCGGCGGCAAACTCCAGAATTTCGCAAGCCTCGACGAAGCGAGGAAAGTCGGCGTCAACTACCCAGCCGCAGCGGCCGAAGCTTTCGCAACACATCTAGCCACCGCGCTGGAGCCGTATGAAGGATACCCGACATCTCCGCCGAAAGCTGGACAGAAGAGCTTTCCGTTTCGCTTCGTGTATATTTCTGTGGCCGGAGCGGAACCGGATCAGTTTCGGAAGTTGTGGGTTATGAGCGATACGAGGAAAATTAAGGGGGCGGCGGAGAAGGCGATTTTCGGGGTGAGTGAGAATGCGGAAGAGAAGGGTGGATACAAGTGTTTTGAGGCTATTGCTTTGAGGCCCGGTGGGGTTTTGAAGGGGCACAGCGAGGCGACGACGACGCTGATTACGGAAGCGGTGGTTCCTTCTATTGCGGTGGATAGGCTTGCGAGGATGGCGATTAAGTGTGCTTTTGATGGGGGACCGGGTGGGAAGAGGATTTTGGAGAATAGGGATTGTTTGGGAGAGGATTGGGGGATGATTAACTCGATGACTTTGTGAGATTGAGCCTGATTCTTCAATTCCTTCAAGCTTCAATCTTCAATCTCAACATCTGGCCTATGGTACAAGACTTTCCCCGGAACGCCCACGCCCGTGACTAGCTATGTTCGATGCATGCAAGCACAGTGGAAGAGCTGTCGATCGGCAATTACAATGGCTTGAAATCCTCGCTGTCAGAGTCGTCTTCGCCTAGCTTGCTGAAGTGATTATACTTGAGCGGGCTCTTCTTCGAGCGAGCGATTGGACCATGGTTGGCAAGGTCACCATTGGTGTCCAGAATCGAGTCGGAAGGACTGTTCCGAGCAGACTCCTTCCCGATGATGGTATTCTTCTTTGGCTGGGTGGCAGAGCGTGGCATATCGAGCCCGTCATCGTCCTCCTCCTCTGACTCGGCATACGACTTGTTGGTCTTACTGCGGCGACTGGCCGACTCGCGCTTCGATGCAGGAGCTGAGAAGTCGAGCTTCTTCTCGTCCTCAGAGTCGTCCTCATCGCTCATGGAAGTGATCTTGCCACGTCTAACACTGCTAGTCGGGGTCTTTTGAGTCACGCGCTTTGAGCCGGGAGTCGTCTTCGAAATTCCTGCCTTCTTGGATGGCGGAGTCGAGAGCCCTTGACCACCGCTGGCAGCTTTGGATGTGCGCTTGAGCTTGCTGACGTGCTCCGTGAGCGCCTTCGGGGTTGGCTTGTCCTCACCAGCTGGTCACTTTTCAGTCTGGACTCTCAGCTGCGCGAGGGTGGGCAAGTACTTACGGTAGCGCTTCTCCCACTCATTCGAAATCGACGTGTAGTCGACTTTGACGGTGTCGATGATGAGCATCAGGAACTTCTGGTCCTGTTCGGCGCTCCATTTGATCGGCATGGTGGGCGGTCAGATGTTTCCTGCGGTCTTGTCAGCCATGTCGTCGGCGGTTGGAGCTCTTGAACATACCTGAAGACGGACGAACAAGTCGGATCAGATGTGCGGAAGTGTGGCAGAGGTTGAAGCACGAATGGGTGCAGACGGGGTTCCTTTTCAAAAGAGCTTTGGTTTGTGTTGTGTTGTGGAAAGTCCAAGAGGTGAAATGAATTGAAGAGCAGCTCTGGAGTGCGCCAATAAGGGACTAGGATCTTGTGGCTGCCTATTCTTCTGCAGGTGAAGTTTGATGCGTTCAGATTGGTCCAGCTTCAGTTGCACGGCAACGTTCGCACATGCAGGCCAACACTTTTGCTTCACCATCACCAGAAAGCGGTGCCTCGAGTCGCCAATATGACTGCTCCTGCAACCAGATAGCGTTGATTGCAGCAGACCCCCAGCGTCCCATCCCTTCGGGTTCCTGCGGGACTGTCTCCACTATTCCGGCTAAGAAATGGCCCGATTATTAGGCGTATGATAGGACCCACCAAATTTACGGAAATGCTCGGTTTTAGTGTGTTAGCTCGGTTTGCCTAATTAGGCTATATTATTGTCGCAATTGGACTAGTATAGCGACTTCTAAGGTATTGTTAGTTGCTATCTACGGCTTCTTCTTCTTCTTCGGCCTCTTAATAGCAGGTAGCATTGTCGCTACTAATCTCTTACGCTTATTGCTATTATATTTATTAGAAGTCCGCCTCTTGCCTACTACTTCTCGTATCGCGTTATCGTTATCTAACTAAGGGAAGTCTTCTACTACTTCTAGGTCTTATTTTAATAGCGAAGCCTCTCTTGCTAGCGCTAGTAAAGTAAGGTCTACAAGCTTAGCTATTTCTTCGATAGTGTCTAAGTCGAGCGGCTAAGCCGATTATATAGACAAAAGCGACTCGCGCGGCTACCGCGGTAGCGGCGGTAGCCGCGCCTTCGAAGGTAAGGGCCTAAAGGGCAGCGGACTTAGCGTAAGAAGGTCGACAATGTAAAGGCGCGTTAGTAATAAGAGCGTCTTATTAAGTAGCGGAAGATTAAAGGCTCGAGGTCTGTATTTAGTCGCTAGCGATAGTAGTAGTAGTAGCGGAAGGGTTAGATACCGAGGCAATTGCTAGCGAGTTAGAGTAATAGGTTTAGGTAGAAGTTGTTATTATTAAGTCTACTACCGCTGTCGGTTACTAGTTAATTAAACCTTAGGCGTACCTTCTCGAAGGAAGTTATCTAGTAAGAAGTTAACTAGCTAAGTAAGCGTGTCTTTAATACGCCGTAAGAAGCTTCTTATGTATTTGTCCTTTAGCGTACTATTACGGATAGTCTTGTCGTTACGGACCGTATAGAAGTGCTATAAGAGGCCTTCTACGCCTTCGTTAAAGTAAGCGCGAAGGTCTCGAAGATAAGGGTCCCTAGCAGTATAGGATTAAGTGTCTTCGAAGCCCTCGAGAAACAAGGTAGTACTATCTCGTTGCCGCTAGTATTAACTGATTTCTATACTATTAAAGCTATAGTAGAAACTAACGTAGATCTATTGTTATTATAGAGTAAGCGGCGTTACAAACAGGTAGTGTCTTAGTATATAGTAGTATAGTAAATGTTGCTAGAACTAAGGAAGGCAATTGCAGTAAGGCGGCTGTCTATTACGATATAATATAAGGCCTTCGTATAGCGGCAATGCCTTAGCCTTATATTCTTCCGCAATAGCGAGTTGTTTCCTAACGAAGTCCTACGCTACTAGAGGGCCTAATTGCTTAAAATATAGCATCTCTTTAACCTTCTAATATTGTGTACGTTTACTAAGTCTATAGCTTTAGAGGTCCGCCTTATATAGTTGTCGAGCGTCGATTGTTAGTAACTTAGTTATAGTGCTATATATCGACAACTAGGGGAGATTCTTCTTCCGGTTGTATTTAATAGCATTATAGTATCCTTCTAGTAGCGATATAGTGCGAATTTGCATAAGTACTAGATTGTTCAAACGAGCCTATATAGCCTATTTCTATAACTTGTCCGACGACCAATTCTTTAGTAAATACTAAGTCTCTTCTTACTTATTAAGAAGCCGTAACTCGGCTTCTATTACAGTAACAACCTCTTTAACCTCTGCCTTACTCCGAGCCTAATAAATAGCTCTTTTAAATAGTCGCTAGACTATAGGGTACTTGAATTTAGGAAAGTGGCGAAGGAAGGTCTCTTTAGCGTATCGTTAGTAGAGATATAGTCGTATTTCCTAGCTTTAGAAGGATAGTCGAATAGCAGACTATTCTTAAGCCGAGTCGTCGGTTATAGCTAATTTAGGCTCCTAATTCGGGCACTACTTCTTTAGGACCTAGAAAGCAGCTTGCTAAAGCCTCGCTCTCTATAACTATAGCAGCATATATGCTACTAGCATCTAACTTTTAAAGCTATTACGGACATACACTGTAAAGAGATGCTAGCCTATGTTAGTAGTCTTATACGTTGCGTCGTAGAGAAATAACTAATCCTAAATTAGTCGTTGCTTGCTAAAGCCTAGCTTATAGGTAGTAGTAGTAGTTACGTAAGCGACTTACATCTCTAGTAAGACTACTATTTAACAACTCTCGCTACTAATCCGCTTGCTATATAATGCCCTTATAAAGGCGCCCTTTAACCGTAACTAATACAGCTTTAAACTATAAAGGAGCGCCGTTTACTAGATTAGTTAATAGCGCTAGCTCGGTATATAGGTTCTCGAGTTAGACGGAGATATTGCCCTTCTTAGTAAAGGTTACCTTCTTCTTATCCTTCTTCTTCGACTATTTTATTATACCTTCCTTTATACGATAGCCTCTAACAACGGCAAAGCGGTTAGCGTTACGACCTTCCTTTATTAGATAGAATATACGAGCTGTATTATAGTCGTATTAGTCTATTAAGTGCTCGAGAACGACCTTTAAGCTATTACTAGCACCTCGTACGTCCTACTAACTATTAGCTTTTTAGTCGAATAGGCCTCCGCTATCGACTCGAAAGGCAACCCTACTAAACTTACTATATAATCTATCGAATAGCAATATAGCGAGCCCGCCTCGGTAGAAGGGTCGGGCGACGACGAAGCGACCTTATATATATACGGCTCTCTATAGTTCTTCGAGCGATATATAGCAATTACTATACACGTCGCGTTATACCCTTCCTTATAATACTCTACCTTCCGAATACTATCTAGTACCTCGCGTAGCCGATTAGCATCCTACCGACAACGACAATAGTATATTGTCCGCTATATTAAGCTATCCTTATGCCTCTCCTATAGCTTCTAGTACTAGAAGTTGCTAGCAAATAGCTATACCTTGCTATATTTGTCGGCGTCTAAGAATAGGCTATTTAAGGGTGGATTAAAGAGCTAAGAACGTAGTAATATATCGAGACAAGAGGGGATTAGATAGGCTATTATAATAGTTAGAAAGAGCGTAGAAATTGGCCTACCTGTATGCCTATAATAACACCTTATATATAGCTATATAGCTGATTTTTCGTCGATATAACGACTTCCTACTACGATATAAAGTCGCCGACTAATGGATCCTCGGCATGCCCGATTTGGCTAGCAAAAATGGCTATATCTCGATTTATTAATCGACTCTACTACCACCGAGTATATCCGTAAATGTAAGCAATCCACTACAATCCTTGCACGCTAAAAGTCTGCTACATCCAACACCATCTCCTGCAACCACTTTACGCGGTTGTTACGCGATCCTTGAGGGTACATGCATTGGACAAGGTTACAGCGTCTGAACACGTCGGAGGGCTAAAGGCCTTAAGCTTGACCAGGCAACTGTCGACTTCAATTGGCAGAAACCCCTGCTAGTCAGAATTTGGGGAGAAATTGATAGCCTTCCGAGGTGTTCAGACGCTGTATGGGCCGGTGTTGAGGTTGCTGAGCCATTGCCTGGCAAAGCTTGCTCGAATGCGCGACCGCAACGGCGGCTGGCAGCACATCTTCGCTTTGCTCCTGCGAGCATTCTGAATCTTGGGTGTTCAACGATTCAACAACGTACTGCGGAAGAGAGAGACAGAGCAGGACACTGTTTGAGTTCACCTGTAGAATTCCTATACTACTGCTTCGTAGTCTCTACTCTACTATGAACTCCGTATCCTTTCTTTCATGCAGCCCCAGTACTTTGTCCTGTCATCCAGACCCTATATCATGGCAGCTGCAAAACTCCGGAGTAGTACCAATGTGACGGACATGCTCAGACCAAGAGGTCTAACCCATCGTCATCCTCCCCGTTGATACCATGACCCAAGCTGAAGCTGCTATTGGTGAATGAGAAATCGTCACCAATATCGAAGCTGGTTGAATCGTTGAAGGACTCCTGCTTGATGGAGGACTTCTTTTTCGGAGTGGACTTGGTCACACGGCCATTCGTGACATCTAGAACTGATCAGCGATGTCTGTCGTCAACGATGGATGGCGTGATGCAGAATGTGAAATTGCCGACTGTCATAGTGGCGCGTTTGAAGAAATATGTCGCAGGCATTACTTACTGGCCAAGGCATCCTTCTTGGGAGAAGGCTTCTTGGGAGTGCTCCGCGATGGAGTACTAATCTGACTGCGTTCTCCGTTGCTGACTTCATTCTTGAGGACCTCGCTCTCCTTCTTGATCTTTCGGAAGCGGTTCTCGAGGGTGTCGTAGGTGGTACCGAAGTACAGAGCAGTCTGCTTGAGATCGACCTGCATGTTGTCAACGTTTTGTCCACCATGCTGCTCAATGCTCCTACCTTGACTCCGGTAGCGATGATCGCAGCAACGACACGCTGCCAAGTCTCCTGAGAGTCCCAATTGACTTTGCCGGCGCCCATTTTGTCGATTGTTTGTGGTGAAAGGGATCTTTGAGTGTGGTGCAGAATGGTGTCGAAGCCGATATACGGTTTGGAGTTGAATGAGCTGTGTGAAGTTGTGAGCTTCTGTGGTTGACCGTTAGCTTTAGTGTAACTTCAGCATCACATGTCATTTGGACGCGACTGAAGGCAAGAGCAAGGTTCGGATCTCGATCAATCCGCGCCCTGAAGTGACTCAGTTCACTGAGTTCCCATGGAACTGACGGATCACATTTTCCTGACCATACAACGAGCGGCTTAGATATCAATTTAGCACAACGAGATAGCCAAATCAGGCCTCTATTAGACTGGTCCTGGTCTCGGTCAGCCCTCCAATTGGTTTTGGAGGCATGATTGGGAGAGAACCCTAGTCGAAAGTTGAATGCCTACGAATAGACTCGAGCTGCCTGGCTCACTTCGCGAACGCGTCGAGCGCGAGCTGCAAGCACTTGAAACGGCGACAGACGGACTATAGACAGCGACAGGAGATCTGAGCTTCTCGGACAATTTGCGAGGGTATTCGACTTTTCTTCGAACTTCCTACTTGTGCCCTGAATGCAATAGCAAGAGTTGCCGGCGATCGAGGCGGGAGTCGATGGCTCTGAATGGCGTAGGAACTGAGCCTATGCAACGACAGATCGATGTTTCGTGCACACGAGATGGTAGCTGTTCGAACTGGTATTTAATGGCGATTTGGTGAAAGCTGAAGTCTGCTCGCGAGAGATGAAGTGAGAAGCGCCAAGGAAGAAAAGTGGAGGTGGCCAGATCTCCAGTTGCCCATTACTGACTTACTGAGTTCAAAGACTCTCGCAAATCAGCATAGAGACGTTTACATTGCGTCGCCGACTCCTCCATAGCATGCTCAGCAAAAGATGTGCGATCCCACGGTGACTCTCCATCTTTCCGTTCGCACACTATTAGCCTGACCATTCATGTTGAAATGGCTGCCCTCTGCAAGTTTCTATGGCAGGTCAGATTGAGCAAGATCCCAAAAATCTATCGGCTTGCCAACATATTGTACTCTCCACCGTACATCCTCTTTGGGATGCAAAAGTAGTCATGAGCAGCCTCTCTTAGAGATCCATATTGATCGACTTCTTTATCAGCCGGATCCATAGGCTTGCGCAATTGATCAAGATCAGGACGGCCTTGCGGGTAAATTTCCCATTTTGCATATGCCATAACAATATCTTCATTATCTACATCCACCACCTTCAGATGCTGCACATATGTCCTTTTCTCGATCTCATCGGGTACCTTGTCCTCCGACTCTTGTGCATAGCCTGGATAAGGCGGCGGGCGTCCGATGACCAAGGATCCGAGCGTATCGATGCGGATCTTGATGCACTGAGCAACGTCTGCGTGTTCGACCGGGCGGACTGATAGCTGCATTTTGCACATTTGGGAGGTCAGGAAAAAGGCATCGAGGATTGTGCTCACGTCGAGGCGCATGCTAGAGGAGGAGGAGGAGTCTGACTCTCGAACGCTGTGGTCCTTGCTGTAGTCGAACCATTAGATTGTGTCATGATTACCAGCTTGTGGGACAAGCGACTCAATTGGTCCTGCAGCCGTCACGTCTCCGGGTGTGAATCGCGTGTCGTGGTCCTATCCTATCATCAAAGCGGAAGTTGAAGACACGGCAGAGCCTCAGAGGTTTCTACAGGTCAGGGGAGGTCTACAGTACTGCACTGATGCTAACGTTAATCTGGTTCCCAGCCACGACTTCCTAGCATCAACAGCCTCCTTCTGTCTCCTTCACCTTCACGACATATCCCAAGTGAACATACAATTTGGAGCGATATGGTACTGGCTTGGCTTGGTGTCAGAAGAGCACATCGGGCCTGGAGAGATGGAACGCCGATATAGGGAGGGGAAGCAGCGGTATGAGAACTGCAACCCCTCCCTTGCGTTGTACGGCTGACATAGCTTGGCGTGTTCGAGCCTCTGTGACATGACAAATTGCTTCGAATCGATCAAAAGAACACAAGAAGCTGTCGATCAACCTTCAAGATGCCATTATGGGCTCGACAGCCCGTGCTCCTCTGTCCATCACTCTCTATGCACGATCTATTCCCGCCATCGAGCCCCGCCTTTTGTGTATAGTATATATTATTTGTATCTTTCTCCATGATCACGATTACGCCTAGTAATCATATCTGAATGGCGCTTGTAGTTTAGGGTAAATCTCCCTCAAACATCTATACAGCGACAACCGACTTGGTTCTAACACCCTCGCAGGGTAGAATACAAGTTTCCCATCCTTGTACTGAGACATACTTGTGGTCCGAGTTCGAGTCTCGGCAAGCGCATTCAAACTTTTTGCTGTCGCTGAGGATGTTGTGTAACTTTGTAGATGTTGTTGCGATGTTATGGTGGTATGTGAGATGAAAGATGGAAGCGTGAAATTGCGGCCGTAGCTTTCTTTTGCTCTACTTGGTCGATCGTCTTTGAACGAGCAATCTTCTTGGTAATATAATGATCTCCGTCGTATCTAATTCACCTACCCTGAATATCCAATCAGATATTCGCCGACCGATTCAACCCCTTCAACCTATGCTCAAAATCCTTCCCAGGGATATCCTCAGCCTTCTCCGTCTTCTTCAACTTAACTCCACTCCTCTTCTCCCAACCCACCAGCGCAGCAGTATGATCAGCCGTAGGCTCCACCTCTTTCAACGCATCCCCAAGATACCGTTTCGCCAGCGCCGGCAACTCCGTCTCAAGACCATTATACTCCATGAACTCCTGCGCAATCCCCAAATCCTTGACCAGCAACGCCAATCCAAACCCACTATTATACCGTCGCGTAATCCCATCTCTTCGAAACGTATCCAGCGTGGGAAAACAGACGCCCGTCCCTACATTCAAAACTTCGAGCATTTGTTGTGGATCTAACCCGAATTTCTGTCCTGTGACTAAGGAATCTGCTAAAGCGCAGATTGAAGACGCCATGATGTAGTTGTTTAAAGTTTTCATGGCATGGCCGTTTCCGAGTTTCCCCATGTAGAAGACGTAGCTGGCCATGGTTCGGATTATGGGTTCGGCTTTTTCGAAGGCGGAGCGGTCGTCGCTTCCGACCATCAGCGTGGATTCGCCGTTGTCGGTTGCGTGCATGTAGGTTTGGGTGATGGGGGAGTCGACGAGGGTGATTTTGTGGGAGGCGAGGTCTTTGCCTAGGGCGATTGTGTCGAAAGGGGAGGAGGAGGATGTGTCTACTATGATCGTGCCTGGGGAATTGATTAGTTGAGGTACTGTTGGATTTGGGGGGAGTAGAAAGAAGCTGTACCTGGCTTCAATGCGCTTGCGAAATTGTCTTTCCCGAGCAGCACTTCTCTCACGATCTTGCCTTGTGGCAGCATGGTTACAATGACTTCGCAGTCTGCGAATGCTTCTGGTTTGCCATTCGCAGCCTTGGTGTTCTTCCACTCTTTCGCAGCTTTTTGGACTTTTGCATCGTCTACATCGTGAACGACCAGGTTGTAGCCAGCTTTGGGCAGATTCGATGCCATTGAGAAGCCAGCATTTCCAAGTCCAATGTAGCCGACATTCTTGACTGCTGGAGGTGGTCCGTTTGTTCGAGGAGGCATGTTGGGGGTGGTGTAAGTATTCGAATTGAGTCTTCCACTATGACGACCACCAACGAAAAAGAGACGATGATATACTTCTTAAGCGCTTCGCCATACCTACCTGCGGTGAATCCTATGGCATATTGTTGCGACCTCGGGCGAGAGGCATTCGGTCATTGCAGCAGCTTGAAGAGCTTCCAACAAGCGGAGAAGGTAAAAGTTGTAGGAGAAGATTGAACCTCGTCTCGGGGACGTCCATCCGTTTGCGGCTCGAGCTTCGACATCCGATTCCTTGGAAGTTGATGAAACGATTTTCCTACGCACTCTCCCGCCATCTCTCCCGCCTTCTTGTATAGAATCTCCATCTCCTGACACGGCTCCACACAACCATACTCTAACAGGCAAATTTCTCGCGGGACTCGGCCTCGGCTCGTATTCACTTGCACCCACGCATTGACCAATAATGGTCGAAGCTTCTCGCAGCTTCGAGGCGGCCGGAGCATGTGACGTCTGAGCGTAGGAGGGCTGCCCTGTTCTCGCTCTTCAAGACAGCTGCGACTTCAACGACTCTCCGACAGGCATCTGCACACATTTCAATTCGTCTTAAGCGTAATTCACATTCCTCACTTTCGATTGGCCAAGCCAATATCACGGCCTGATCACGGCCAGCAATCAACTGCTATCACCTTTCACCTCTCACATAGACCGATCACACGGCAAAAGCTACACCACTCACAACCATGGTAGCAGACACGAAGCTTTACGACCGCCTCGGCGTGTCAGCGACGGCCACCGCCGACGAGATTAAGAAAGCATACCGAAAACAAGCCCTCAAGAACCATCCCGACAAGAACCCCGCTGGCGCTGAAAAGTTCAAGGAAGCGTCAGAAGCATATGAAATTCTCTCTGACCCGGAGAAGCGAAGGAATTACGACAATTATGGCTACGACTTCATAACGGGTCAGGGTGGCCCACCGCCAACTGCCGATGGTGACAACCCTTATGCTGGTGCGGGCGGCATGCCTGGCGGCTTTGCTGGTTTCGGAGGAGGTATGCCAGGCGGAGGCGGAACAAGAACGTTCCACTTCAGTACAGGAGGTGGAGGAAGAGGCGGCTTTGGAGGATTTAGCGACCCCAAGGACATCTTCGCCGAGTTCATGCGTGCCGGCGGCGGAGCGGGCATGGGAGGCGGCGATGATGACGATTTTGGAGGCTTTCCAGCTTCACATCCTTTGGCGGAGGCATGGGCGGACGACCTGGCGGCGGCCGAACCGCGAGTGGTTTCAGCAACAGAAGACGAGAGCCCGAAGTCGAGACGACAGTGGTGGAGAAGCCACTCCCAGTGTCGCTGGAAGACATTTACAACGGTGTGACGAAAAAGCTGAAAGTGCAACGGAAGACCTACGATTCTCAAAGCGGGAAGCAGAGCGTAGAAGACAAGATCCTCAGCGTACCGATCAAGCGAGGTCTCAAAGCCGGCAGCAAGATCAAGTACCCAGATATGGGTGATCAAGTTGAAGGCGGCGTACAGGATCTGCATTTCATTATCAAGGAGAAGGCACATCCGCTTTACACCCGTGACGGAGACGACATCAAGCACACCATCGAGATCAGCCTTAAAGAGGCGCTCACAGGCTGGAGCAGGACGATAACAACGATCGATGGCAAGCAGTTGAACGTCTCACACGGAGGCCCGACAAGTCCGGAGTGGACAACACGATACCCAGACCAGGGAATGCCCAAGAGCAAGACACCAAGCGTGAGGGGAGACTTCATCGTGGGTGTCAAAATCAAGTTCCCGACGAGCTTGACTGCAGAGCAGAAGAAGCAGCTGAAGGAAATCTTATAAGCGTTACAGGAGCGTAAGCGGTAGTCATTTATTTGACTCGGGTTTTGTTTTAGCATGGCGTGGCGCTAGGCGGAGTTTCCTTGTGAGCCGTCCTCAACCCTATGGAAAGGCGTTCTGGTGGTTACGGACGCAGAACGCTGAGATGAGAGACGGTTGAGATGGCTTGAGCATAGTAATAGAGCTGAACAAACCAGAATATTCGACAAAGTTCAAAAGTCAGCAAACAGTTGTCTCATGCACTTGCCATGGCAGTTGAGCCTTTGATCCGGCGCGCACATATTACAGCTGAGAGTAATGTTAGTGTGATGTTCCTCATTTAATGGATTTGTCGTGTATATTAGGAGTTTTAGTGAAACCTACATGGAGTTATAAGTACAGCGTTTTATTAGTGATTACTAGGCAATAAGCTACCCGCAATCCTCTAGTGTAGAAGGGTTTAGAACCGCTCGGCGTAGTAACGAATTAGGTTAAGAAGGGCGCCTCTCTCGAGCCTGTCGATAAAGCGGCTATTTAACTATTTAACTATTATAGAAGCAGCAATTTTATAGTAGAAGAGACTATTATAGAAGTAGCAATTTTATAGTAGAAGAGACTATTATTATTACTATATAATTACCGCCTTCTACGACTATATCGGAAAGCCTAGCTATACTAATTGCTATCTCTTCGACCTCGTTATTACTTAGTGCGTTGTCTACGAGCTGTTAACTTACTAGCGGTTAACTAACTAGCGGTTAACTAGCGGTTACTATATATTCTTATACCTCTTATCTCTCGTCTAACTCGCTCGTTACTAGGTAGGTTATTAGCGGCGTCGTCTTCCGAGTCGTCTATTGTCTAACTAGTTAGTCGCCTAGCCGCTCGTTCGTAATCCTTATCTCGTATATAGCTTATTATCGTGTCTATAGTATACTAGTCTACGTTATAGAAGATAAGAAGCTCCTCGAAGGACGAGATACCGGAATCGGCAAAGTAACGGTCGTCTATAGTAATGCCGTTAATCTCGCGAATACCGTATATAAAGACCTATAATAGCTTACTCTAATACTAGTAGTTAGTTAAGTAGCGAAGACCTAGCGGCGTAGGTAGACCTCGCACTATTATATCTCCTATTAAATCTACCTCTTTAACGTCGGCTATATCGAGCGGTTATAAGGACTATATATCTAGCATTATTTCGCAGTGCGGTATATTAAAGGAGGGCGGTAGAAGGCGCGGAAATAGCCTTAAAGTAAGGTTACCTAGCGGAGGCAGAGGCGGAGGTAATAAGAATATAGATTAGCGAATAGGTAACGATTAAACGCGCTGTTTTAAAGGCGACGGCCGTAGTATTATATTAGAATAGACGAGGTAGTATGTTTCCGGCGTTGTCGGTCGCAGTAGAGCGCGAGTTAGTATCGCTAGCTTAGAAGGTAGTTAAGTTGTCTACTATCGCTCGGTCTTACCTATAAAATAGACCTCTTATAGGTTAGCGATAAAATAGTTAATATTTAACGCATAGCAACTGTCCGAGAAGTCTTTAACCTTTTGTATATAGAAGGCGTAGAATGCGTCCTTTATAGTACTATTAATAGAAGGGTCGTCCTTAATCTGCTAGTACTTTAGATTTAGCGTTTCTACCGCCTCCTTAAAGTAGCCTCGTAGATCTCTTAAAAGAGGTGTTTATACTAGGGTAATAGCGTCTTCTTTATAACCTTCGATTACGAGTTGTTAAGTATCGAGAGCGCGCTAGTATTCGTAAGCAAATATAACGTTTAGGCCTAGAAACAGCTCGATATATCGTCGCTATTATAGCTTACTAATTTCGAGTCTATTAAATAGATAGTTACGTAGAATATAGTAGCAAGGTAGGCGGGTTTGAAACTATACGAGGCAATTGTAGCGAGCCGGAGTTATATAGTTATAACTGCGTAGTATACCCTTATATACAGGTGCTGCCTTAGCTTCTATTTTAATAGCAATATCTACCTGTTCTCGAATATAATCCTAAGTAGCTAGTAGTTGCAGTATCTCGAAGCCTAGAAGGCCCTTATAGTACTAATATTATATACGTTTACCAAGCCTATAACTAGCTAGCTATGCCTTATAAGCCTGCCTATTATCGACTTTAAGAACCTCGATAATAGTGCTATATAGTGTATAGAACACTAGGTTGCGCTTATTGCGGTTATACTTAATAGCATAGTAATAGCCCTCTAAGGGCGAGGTAGTCCTTATTTGTAGCAATAATCTATCTCCGTTTCAGCCCCTTCCTAGTTAAACGCAAGTAGAGGCAGGCATAACAAGTACCTTCTACGATCGGACTTTCAACTAAATAGTACCTGCTTACTCTCCTTGCGTTAGCAAGGGTCTAAGGACAAAAGTTAGCTGTCCTATATAGCTATCCTTATAGACTAGAACAATTAACCTATAATACCTAGATACTGCACTATTAGACAACATAGCACATACTAGGCTTCTAGAAAGGATTATATAGAAAGAATCATTAAAGAAGATACGCGATCCGAGCTTATAGTACCTATCTTATACCCAGATTGCGCCCGGGCCTAGTAGCAAGAAATAGTAAACTAGCCTACCTTGCCCTCTACTGCTACTATCGATTCGCAATACATCCTGTCTATATATACATCCGTAGAGCTTATAGAGCGAGAGTTTCTCTAGGGCCTTATACTATCCGATAGGGGACAATTAGGTCGTAATGCAGGTGTTCGAAGGCAATCCGGACGCTATTCGTATAGCGTTTCTTATAGAACTACGTTTTGTAATTTTCATTCGTGCATCTTTAACTTTAAGCACTCGAATGTATAGAATCTCTTTATCTCCGAGTCTATACGTAGGTGCGATTCTAATATAACTTTTAATGAAAATGCGTAGTTGTTGTACTATAGTACTATATACGACAACGTATAAGGCTTAACCTATACGATTTGCGACATTTGTCCTTAGGCTCTTCGATAAAGACATCTTTAGGCCGCTAAACCATATTAAGAGCAAAGTAATAAGAGGGGCAGACCGTAGAAGGTGCAAATATAGCGGAAGAAGTTACTATAGAGAGCCTAAGAAGGAGGTAGGCAATAATAGACTATAGAGCCGCGCCTAAGTTACCTATTTCCGTAAAGTTTACCTATTCTAATTATAGCGTATATATTAGACCTTATCCTGCTATCCTATAGGCGTATACTCTTATAACTACTCTTAAATCTATGCTATATCGGTACTAACGTCGCCTACGCTGCGTACGTAGTAGATTAAGTAGTAAAACCGCTTAACAATCTCTAGAAACTAGGCCTCTAGAAACGAGCGAAGGAAGGTCTCTTTAACGTACCGCTAGTAGAGGTAAATTCGTACCTAATCGTTATCCTTCTACGAGAGGTTAATAGCCGCCTATTCTAAGGCCGAGTCGTCGACTATAGCTATAATAGGCTTCTATAGTAGTAACTATACCTTAATAGCTCGAAGTCCGGCTTCTACGAGCTTAGCTTTCTACGATTCTAGCAATAGGTAGCCTACTAGCAGCTAACAACCTAACGCATTACGAATATAGATAGTAAAAAGGTTCTAACTAAGGTCGGTAGTCTTATAAGTCGCGTCTAGCAAGAACAACTATATAGTATATAAGTTAGTAATATTTTGAATTTTTAAAGTTAGTAGTAGGAACTGTAGAACGCAAGCTTTAGAAGCTTAGTTATACGCCTGCCTTCTATACTACTACTACTAATACTAATAACAATACTTATATCTCCTGCCTCGGTATTTAACAACTCTCGTTACTACTCGCTCTAAAAGACAATACTACGCTCTGTCTTACCCTTTAGTATCTTCGATATTACTTAGAATTAGAGCTCTTTGCCGTCTATATTATTATAAACACCCTTTAGCGCGATAGCAAGGTCGTCTAGCTAGATACTCGTATTTCTACGGTTACTAGTACGAGCCTTCCTTAGGTTAGGCCTAATCTTTAACTACGCTATAATACTAGCCTTTAGATACTATCCGCTAATTTTGCTAAACTCGTCCTTTAATAGTCCCCTTTTAACGAAGTCTAATACCTTAGCAACGTTAAAAGCGCGCTATTCTATTAATTCCTCGAGGAGGACTTTTAGGGCGTTGTTTGCTAACCGAATATCTATATATCTTAGGTCGTAGCAATATAGGTTATTACTAATCGCTAAAGGATCGCTTCTATAGCGGCGGATACTAATTTCGTATAGATTAGTCGCTCTACTCCGATAATGCGATATAACGACTACTATAGCGTTATACGGCTCTTTATTGTATTTAGCCTTGCGAATACCCTCTCCTAGTAACCTATTCCGCTACTAATCGCGCCTATAACGATAATACTAGTACGACCGCTACTCTAACCTATCCTTCGTTCTTAGCGACTTTAACTCCTTATATACGTTACTAATATAAGCCTTTAGTACCTCGAAGCGCTTAGGCTAGTACGTTAACCCCTACGGTATATTAAATAGCTGCTCTCGGATATCGATTATATTATATAGTATACGATTAGGCCTAAATAGCGGCACTAGTTTAGTTAATATAGGCGGTATAGTAATAATAGTAAACTAATTGTGCTATTTGAACTATTAGAAAGAGCTTAATCTATATACGAGAATTGGCTATAGAGATAAGGTTGGAATCGGAGGTATAACTAAGAAGGTTAACCCGGTACTATAATAGGAAAAGCACCGTCGATTACTAGGCAAACTATACTAAGTTAGTAGATAACGCCCTCCGGAAGTAAACCACTGTTGCAAACAGTGGTACGCTAAATTTCCTGACATACAAGAATTGCTATTTAATGTGTGTATTAGGCAAATGGCAGAGGATGTGTTCGAGCGCCTATGACCCTCGGATCACTCTTCCCCGCATCCCGCCTCGAAGCACTGACCAAGTCGGTGAATGAAGCTCCGCCAGTCGCGTTATCTGGAGGTGGCATGGTGAAACGGGCGGCAAAGTGTTCATCAACAACCACCACCAAACAGTTGATCAACATGGCCAGCAGTAACAGCGATGACGATAAGAATGACCTCTGGTCCTGGAGCGAGAAGCACTTCCAGAACCTCGAAGCCGAACACGATCGCTTCTTTCAGCATCTCAAGCAAGAGGGCAAGCGATTAGAGAAGGAGCTCGCCGCTGACGATTCCAAAGAAACGAAGAGTCCCTTCGCCGCCTTCAAGCGATTTGTAGACACAAACATCGGATCTTTATCATCGAGCTTCAACATCAAGTCGGAGTGGAAGAAAGAGATGGAGCGACGAGAGGCGGAAGAGTTGGACATCTCACACAGATGGACTGGAAGCTTGGATCATCCGGATGACATCGAAAGCGATATCTTCAAACTTACCCAACACGATCGAGCAGTAGCATTGGAATCTCTTGGTCAAATCTTGATGGAAGCAGGGTTTCGGAATGCGGACGTGCCACATTACAAAAGGGATGCCTTGTTCCACGATCCTGACAGTCAGTGGGGTTATCTGGATCTCTTGGGCTTTCAGGCACAGGAAAGAGATGGCATGTCTGGCAAAATCTTAGGAGCACTTGGTACACAGCCCCGATGGCTTTCAGTTGACTGGTTCAAACGGTCGTCCTACTCGCCCATACGGCTTGAAGCATACAGCGAGCTGAACCGCTCCGGCCACAGGTGGCGAGCTGCATTCGAAGACTTGCTCAATGCATCACTAGACAAGCCCATGCATAGTGACAGGGACGCCGTCGCCACTCCACTCGGCATGCGAACACCGTTTGGCATGCCGCAATCCATCTACCACGGACCTGGTCTAGACTGGATGCTTAGCCTTCTGTGTCGCGGAATTCTGCCTGGAATCTATCCACGGTCGTACAACGACAGTATCACGCGATATTTGGTGCATGCCAATCATGGAGTGCCTTTCCTGTCACCTGATGAGTGCGCGAACTGGAAGATCAGAGCGCAGCTGCCGAGTAATCCTGGTTCTCCTCAAGACTTGGCTGATTTGTTGAAAGAAATCGCGACGAGGGCAACATCGGAGAGTGCAACATCAAAGAGGAGCGTGGCTTGTGCGCTTGAAGAAGCCGGAATCACAGTGGAGCAGGATCTATATGATAAGCTCTACGCCCGGAGGGATTTAGATGAGCATGCAAATCTCGCGAGAAAGGACATGCCTGTTGCTAAGATGGAGACGCTTCCAGTGGAGGGCAGAAGCGGGGAGCATATGGCTGAGCAGGATGAAGATCATTTAGAAATAGCGAGGCGGCAGGTCAGAGAAGCGTCTGATCGTTGGCTACCGAGTGGCGACAGAGAAATGGACTCGTGGGATGCCCAGGACTTGGTACGAGAAGCACTTGATTTGGAAGATGTCCAAACAGCAACCAAGCTCGTAAACAAGTGGCACAGCAAATATGGCGACATTGAGCAAATGCTCGGATATTGGCTAGCGGATCGCTTCAAAAATGACCGTGTCGCCGACGTTGAAAATCGATGTCGCGGACCACTTGCGGAAGCCTTGCGCCAATCTAATCTACCCAACAATGATCCTTTGAAGCAATGCGCCTTCCTTGAGAGACTGGACCATGAATCGCTTGAAGAGCGGCGAAGAAGGAGAGAGTTGTACCAGCGAGTCTATGAACTGCTGCCTGGCATCCCGCTTGGCAATTTCGACTTCGGAGCATTTATGCCCATATCGAAGCTCGAAGACTACGTTGAGAGCCTAGAACAGCAGGTCGAAAGTCTCCAGCTGTCCGATCAGCCTGCTAGAACCGCAGAGAGACTACCAGCTGAGGAGAAGAAAGTGCCCGTTCCTGCTCCTGGGATCCTGAAGAAACCAGATGTGCTCTCGGCCCTGACCACAACTCACACTACACGCTTGCCGGATGGTACCGTTACTACTAAAGTCGTGTTGAAGCAACGCTTTGCCGACGGTCGGGAAGAGACTACCGAGAGCTTGCACACTACGAACGAGAATCTCGAACAGCAGAAACGACGAGAACAAGAACAAGAACTGCCTCCGAAGAAGGGTTGGTTCTGGACATGATTTTGCAATTACGACATCTAGATTCTGCTCAAATCTTTTTTTGTATGTATGTATGTAGGATACCACTGCTAGCGTAACGCAACGCATCTTTCCCCTCTCTTCTCAAACGCCTTGTATAGGCATTCGCATTTTTAGGAACTTGAATCCACCGGCCAGAGTAGCAGGATATCAAAGGCCTACCTACGTTAACGGGAACCCTTTAGACGCCATCACCAGTCATGTTGTACCCTACCTTCCTGATAAAACTACTAATGGAAAGGCATGATCGTACATCGGTAGCCACGGATGATATGTGTATGCGATTGCCAATGGATTGAACCGTGATCGACGACAAATTCTGCACATTCTTGGAGTTTGGTTTTGGGGGTCTGGTCTTGAGAAGTAGACACGCGCGCGCGTCTCGAGAGAGAAGCTGCTTCTTCACCTCTCTTAAATACGTATCGATTGTACAATTAGTCGTTGCGTGGGAGACGCAGCCTGCCTATCTATCTAGTCCTCTTAATCCAAGTAACTCCGGGAATTTAATTCTTCCCATCCAGAGTATCTACCCACACAACCACCCTCTGAAAAAGAACCCCCCCCCCCTTCACTCATCATCTCCCACCCGAATCTCCGCCGGATCCCTCACCCACCCATAATTCGAAACCTGACTCTCATACCCCTTCAGTTCAAACGGAAGCTGCAAATTCTCCAACTCAGGATCAAACCCATCCTCCCTCGCCTCTCGCGGAATCGCATCTTTGAGATAACGATTCAGATCGTGAAGCACCGCGGCATTCGGACCTCCCCAATCCTTGTCCTCCAACGCCTGCTTCAGATTTTTCTCCAAGGCTTCCATCGACAGAAGGGCGCCCAGGACCCAGGCGTCGGTGCAGTTTTCGGGGTCTTTGTTCACGTCGTCGTCCGAGGCCGGGCGGAGGGAGGCGTTGAGGGCGCCTTTGTGGTGGACGACGATGAGCGGGTGCATGCCTCCGTCGGGGGTGAATTCGAAGGAGAAGTGTCTGGCGTGGTGGGTGGAGACTTTTGGTGGAGATTTGTGTTAGTGGGTGTTTCGAGAGAGGATGGTGGTGGTATGTGACTTACAATCACCGTGTGCGCTCGTGCTCACGTATTCGACCGTCTCGTCTAAAGGCCAGCCGATTTTATCGGTGTGAGTGTACTTTGTCCAGACGATGACATGTTCCCACTCATGTCGATGTCCGCCGACGGTGGAAAGTGAAGGGGGATTGTCCATTTCTGCATAGTAATCGTAAACGTATGCACACCATCCACCGTTGCACCTTTGGCGAACATAGACGTTGAGATTCTCGAGACGATTGGGATGTCGACAGTGAGAATGTCGCTGGTTTTTGTTGTGAAGACCGTTATTGACCTCTCCCAGGGCATCGATTGCCGCCGTGTACTGTCATGTGTTAGCAATATTTTATGTATCGAGTTTCTCACAGATAGGTCAGACTCACATAACAAACATCTTCGTCGAAATCTAGCGCAGGCTGGAATTTGATCGCGCCTTCGCTTGCTTTTTGTGGGAGAGGTGTTAGGACGTCAGCCTTCACGAGTGAAGGTAAGAGACTTGCCACAAGGGCGAAGACTTGTCGGGCTTTCATTGTTGGGGTGTCTGTGTTTTCGATCGTAGAAGTGATGAGTAGTATAGATCAAGGTCGCAGTGATACTGTGTAGGTATGGTAGTATATATAGCTGTATGCCGTCGTCCTCAGTCTGTGGGATTTTGACATTCCCGCATCTGAGGACATTGCATAAACGGTGCTTTGGTAACGATTGTACTCGTGTGCAGTGTCCGGTACCGATGTCCCCAGAATTCAAGCACAACCGTCAGCCTTGTTGCTCGTAGCATGTCATGTCAATGCGGTAAGCAAGTGCGACCAAACCGATCTGAACGGAGCAGTGACAAGCCGAGAAGCGTTGCGCGATGCAAGCATTCTGAAAAATAGACGCCGCATAGTCATCTGTCATGGAATGTAGTGTCTTGCACAGTCTGTTGAGCGAGTGTCGTTCGTTGTATGACGAGCTAATCTCGCCAATAAAAATCTGACGAAGAACTCTTCAAACGACACATTCCGCCCGTAGAGTACAATTTATATTGCCATTGCCAACATGTTTCATGCGCCAGCGCTCGTGTATGCTGTCGTAATGGGGTCTAATACAGATCGTCACTACAAGTACAAAAAATTCTCAAAGAGATTTAGAAAGTCGATCATATTCCGAGTCACCAAACGAACGCAACTCATCAAAATCGAAAAGATCATGAAGATCGCGGAGGTCAGATTCCTCGAAAACAGTGCCTTGGTGTTTGCGACGCACTCGCACTTCTGAGATGTGGCCGGAAAAGCATTCCGCGTCGTTGATGATACCACAATAGATGCATTGTCCGGGAATCACGGCCTTGGGCGCGCCTGAAGGTGGTCTGGATAGGAAGTCGCCATCCTCGAGCTCTGTGACTTGAGTCGTGAATGACTTCGCACAAGCTTTGATTTTTTCCTTCAGCGTCGTCTTTGGCTTTGCAGCTACAGAGCTCCTTCGAGATGAATCGAGGAAGTGTTCACTAGGTCGAGGCGTCAGGACACCTGGTATAATCGAGACCGGCTTAGCTGAAACCTTTGGTGGTGACTGTTCATGTGTAGAGGGTTGCCGTGGCTCAGCAATGTCATCCTGGTTGTATTTCAGGTAGTCGAAAAAGAATCCGGTGCTCTCACTCGACTCCCGATGCGATGAGAGGCCAGCGCTTTGGCTAGTACGGTGGAGCTTGGAAGCGCTTTCGCCCGAAGGTGGTCGAAATGGCAGTCTGTGCTGGCGCTGAGATCGCATAACTGATTCAGGATGGATCTCGCTCGTCTTGGATATCGGCCGCTTGGGCTTTGGAGCAAGAGCCGGTGGCGATGATGATACATTGAACACCAGGCATATCTTCGCTGCCGCTGCGGTGGACATGTTCGCTGTACTCGTGGCTACAGCAGCACCGGGCTGGACGTAGGGAATTTGATCGCGTTGAGGCAACGAGGGTGTTTGGCTTGATTGCCTGCACGATGTGCCGCCGGGAAGCTCAGAATGGGTGTTTCGCTCAAATAGCCTATCTTGGGATACGAAAGTGTCCGTCGAGTGAAGCCATGGCTCATAGTCTATATCGGCGTGGCATGTGTTCTCCAACGAGGTACGTTCCAAAGAAAAGGCGATCTTGTAGCCTTGCAGACCATCATCGTCAGCTGACCTGCTTGGTGGTGCCATCAATAATGCTGCCCGACAATTGCTGCCGGGATTCCATTTTGACTCCCAAGTTTTAGGACTGACATCGGACTCCGCGATACGATGGCGATTGGATGAAGGCTCTTTGCTTTTAGAAGTTTCAGCTGCGGAAGTGTACCCTGCGCCGACCGATGCATGACTATGATAATCAGGCAAGTGCTGCAAAATTTGTGGCTGCTGATATGGTGGCGGCACGATATGCTGTCCAGCACTGTCTGTGATGCTAGCACTTCTGACTGTCCCGGATAAGCGTGACACCGTGAGTGAATGCTGAGGAGGAGGCACAATCGATGCGACCATCTGCTCGAGGAAGTCGCATCATGGCTGGGCTGAGAGGCGGCAAAGCAAGGCCCCATTCCAATTTCTCGGCGAGTTGTCGAGCCACCTGCTCCGAATGCGAGGCAATTATAGATCTCCAATCCTTTTCTGTCATGTCGTGCCTGGAGCAGTGGATGAGAAGGCGAGCATATGTGCCACAATGCTGGCCGCTGCGCTCATCTCGGCCTTCTTGCATGAAGGTTAGCAGCCGCGAGTGATGGAACCACTTGCCGTGATTCTCATGCTGATTGAGCTTGCAAGTATTGCTCTTCAAATGCGCGAAGAATTCCTCGGCCGTGCGATGAATGATACCGTCGTCAGAGCACGTGAACCGTGGCTTGTCGCAAAGACGGATTGGATCCTGGCCATGGGTCCGCTGATGTTGTCCAACCTGATGCCTATTCCGGGCTATGTGATTACAGGATGGGCACACCAGAGAAGGCTTGCTGTCCTGCGCATCAGGCTTATCTGAGGTGTACTGGCACGACTCTTTCCCGTGAGACTTGCGATCCCTCCTTTTCGAGAATGTCTTTTCGCAGTTCGTAAGGCTGCGGTATACGGATCGTCAACTGGCGTGCCGTGTGCAGGTAGTGCTGAACGCAGCAAAGCGTGGCTGACTCGTGCTCGGATGGACGACAACGAAACCTCTTCCATACACAGACGAAGAGTTCGCATTCGGGCGACCCGCATATATCGGCTGGTCGAACTTTGGCGAGTAGCACGATCGTAGTGATGGGGATGACAGTGAGGAATAGGCGGTCTGGCTAGATGCGAACGACGCTGGACGGCGGGTGCTGAAGATGGAAGAGATCGCGAGGCTGAATTCGCTATCAAAGGTCGAAATGGAGTCGCGAGCTGTATACGGAGTCAGCTTGCTACGGTGGATCGGCTGCTTCCCAGCTGTTCATACTGTGCTATCGTCACTCATACAATGATCGCGTGGGTATTAGTGGTTCATAATGTTGATACAGATTCAGCTGCTGGCATTAGATAGAAGTACTGCTGGAGAGAAGAGGCCGTGACGCATCGAAGGTGGCCGCATTGCAGCAGAGCTGAGCATTGACCGCGGCCACCATATAGGCAGCATTGAAGTGCTGCAGAAGACAATGCAGCGTAGATGTATGACATCGTGAGGCCGCTGGGTGGAAGTGCTTCTGAAACGCGAGCACGAGCACAACAAAACGGAGGCCTCGTGCCGTTCCGCAGGCATTGCTGGCAGTCCGATCCTTCGGTACCAAACCTCTCGAACACCAGCGCCCATGATGACTCCGGTGAGTATATCGTATATACGTATGCTAACGACGACCCGGTCTGTTTCTGAGCAGCATTACAGATGAATGGTAGAGATGCTCTCCCACCCACAGACAAAGACAACCAACCCCATCTCGCCCTCTTCGGAGCCTTTCTCCGCAACGCATTAGAATAATCTGGGGCTCACTGTAGCACTTTCCTTCGGCGTCCTACAACCAACGAACCCTTCGCATCTCATGCATCGGGAATTGCAGCAATCATAATATCTTCTGGTACGAGAGCGATGGTGCGAGGTTTGAGCTGGTTTGTGAGAAAGGCTGGGATTCTTTTTGAAGTATATATAGCTTTTATACAGCTAGCTAGCAAGACTGAGATTCCAAGACACCATCGCTTCACAGCTCAGCCGCCTGCCTTACATAGTGATGGGAGCAAGCGGTACGCCACCAAACGCAACAACACCTCTCCTCCAGTCGAGATCGATCTGCAAAACTGGCCCAGCAGCGATGGGAATAGTAGTTGGATCCAGCTTTGGCGCTACGGCTTCCAAGCTCAGAGTGTCGTGATCGTACGAGATCAAATTCAGGCCATCGGCAGTCTCCTTGGAAAGACCAGCTGCGTCAATAAGAGCTTTCTTGGCAATGAGGGCATTGACTGCTTGTGTGATGTCTGGAGCGATTGGGTTCGCAACGACAGCAATGATCTGATTGCTTTCGGCGAAGTTTTCTGGACCGGTTAGCTTGTTTGCGACGAACGGAAGCGAAAGGTTACATACGAGGGTCGATAGTCATGGCATCATAGTATGCGATACGGTTGGTACGGTTAACCTCAGCGAATGACTCGCGAATTGGCTGGTATGCAGCTTGTCCGCCTGTATAGTTTCCGGCGGCGTAGGTGATGGTTCTGATTGCTCGATCGAGTCGCAGAAGATCGTTCACCAGTAGAGTTGTGCCTGCATCGCGTGTCCTCAGAGGAGTCGCCAAAGTGAGGGCGCTGGTGGCGAGCAAGAAGAGGGACGACCAAGAGAGCATATTGGCAGTACGAGCGAAGGTAGATAACAAGACCGAATTCCCAAGCAAGAGCCTGAAGGTATCGTGATGAATGCAGTGAAGCTGATGACGGGGGCACAGCAGAAGCCTTTTGTGGTGTATGCAGAGGTTCCAGACCACTTGAGGTGCCCGAACCGCTCTGACGCGCTGGCGTGTGAAGTCGAAAGTCAAAATTGTCGACAAAGTGCCGAGGCGCAATCGTGGCATCAAACCACTGCGTTTTGCAGAGGGACAGCATGTCTCTTCTGATTGGATTGCTGTATCACAGGAACTCGTTGCAAGTCCTATGGAATGACATCCTGCCACTCTGCAATGCCTGAAAGATATTGCTTCAGCATCTCATTGTAGCGTAAATTTCCAGAAGAAGCCTTTTCTGACTTCGCAGGAACGAGGCTCAGATGCTCGAAGTGCAAGAATCGATGCGGAAGGAAGTTACTGCCAAAAGAGAATCGGAGGCCGCGATGATGAGCACGAATGGCCCTGAAGATTGGCAGCCAGTCGTTCATCGATCTGTGGTTCTTGAGTCTAATATTCCACAGCACAAGAGTTTGCAGCGTTCGCAGCGAAGCTAACCATGACGCCAGGTCGTCCGCGTTGACCTCGGTGATATTCGAAAGCACTAGAGACCGAAGTGCAGGTAATGTCGGTAAGTTCGTGCTGCAAAATAGGCTCGGCGTGTCCGTCCAGACTGAGAGACTCTGAAGTGTCGAGCCAGATTTCATTAGGAGTGTTCTCAAGACACGAGCAGACTCGAGGTCGAAGTTCCTGAGATACTTTCCGCTATCGGCTCTACGGCGCATGATATCCTTGAGTGTCAAAGCAAGCCTGAGTGACGTGAGATTGCTGAGATCGAGGCCATCCCAGCTGTCTATGTTCTGCCAGACGAGGGCGCTCTGAGTGCAGTGTTCTAGGTCGATACGGGTAAATGTACAACGCGACGCAGCCAGAGAAGCTATGACGAGCTGCAGGAACGGCTGCGGTGGTGGCCCTGGGCTTGAAATCCAGCCTCTGTTCTCGTTTTCCATGTAGAGGATCTCGATGGCAGCATCTGGCTTCATTCTCTGCAGGAAATCAACCCATACGCGCTGCACCCTACCACTCTCAATTGCCTCGTTGATCCTGGGCCGCATAGCCTTTTTGACTTGCGCGTTAGAGTCTCTTTGCCTGCCTTTCGGAGCTTTCGACTTATCGACAAGGACCGGCCTGAGTAGGAGCTTCTTTACATACGGTGCGAGATTAGCAGCGTATTTGGTAATAGCCCAGAGCTGGCCTGGTTCAGGTGTGAGGGTGATTGTTGCAAAAAGCTTGGACTTCAAGAAGCCGAGATGGCTCAGCAAAGGGTGTGTCAAGCGCAAGTCCTTCATGCATCTGCGGTTGAGGATACCAGGATGTCCAGCAGCAAATTCCGCGATAATTGTGAGTATTTCAGGTGGTAGATCCAGAAGCCCGGTGGCTGTGCTTCCTTTCACTTTGGCGTGGAGGTTGACATTCTCAAAATAGGCCTCTGCGTCTGAGAGGTAGAAGTCGCCCTCCTCTTCTCGTGCCCTTTGCTTTGCTCTCCGCTTGGACTCTTCTGCGCTCACATCGCGCGCAAGCCCCTCCATCATCTGCTGAAAGCTGCGATACTGTTCTCCCACTCGTGACCGGTACTGAACCCTCAGCTCTGGGAAGATTAAGATTTCATGCCCACAAATCTCCATGCTTATCTTTCCATCATTGAGGGGGTAGTGTCCCGTCAATGTCGTGCATGGAAATCACACGCTGAGGCCACGAGATGCAGAAGTTGTGGTCATGATGGGAGCCAACAAGCGAACGTTTCCTGTGGGAGAATGATGGTGGTATACAAATGGAAAGTCGCGAAGAAGTCGCAAAACCTTTGGGTCTAGCTAGGGAAATGCTTCGTCAGACTCACTAACTTCGGGCCGTGAACCTTCAAGGGTATGGGTAAATGGGCAAATAGGATCAGTTCCATCCCTTTATTAGACTCTTTGCATCAACAACAGGACAACACAACACGAAAAGTCAATGAAATGACACTCACTTCGCAAGGTCATCTGCTGGAATTCACCTCCTTTCTATGCACTCACCCTGAGACGCGTGGGACTACTATAGGGCTTCCAAGACAGCGTGGAAAAAAGTATTCAGAGCTTGAACATCGGCGTCCGCTTTTCGAAAAATGCTGTGATACCTTCTTTGGCATCGTCAGAACGAGCATGGAGGGCCATAATTCTACCTGCCCAAGACACAGCTGCCTCGTAGCCGTCGCCACCAGAATCCGAGCCACCAAGTCCCGATTGCGTCCAAAATGCCCATTTTCCAAGAGCCTGAGATTGCGCACCACTCTGGTCAGCCAGCTTCATTACGACCTCTTGCACTCGTCTCTCCAGCGACTCTGCGTCTGGCACTATCTCGATAGTTCCAGGGGGCAAGTCAGCTGCTCGGATAGGTTCGGCCAGGGCGAGCATGCGATATGTAAGGCTTGTGCCAAGTTTGCGAGAGACGGCTGTTGACGGAGAGGTGCACGGTAGACCTATCGAGGCTCCCGGGAGCTGCAGTCTGGTGTCGGCTGCAGCCATAGGCAGATCGGTCGTCAGTGCAAGTTGACAACCTGCAGCCGTAGCTAGTCCTTGAATCACACCAACAACCGGCGCGGGAGATCTGCGTATCAGGGTCATGACTTCTGCACATAGCTCGAATGTTGTCTTGACGTCTTCATGGGAAAGTTGCGAGAGTTCGCGGAGGTCGTGGCCGGATGAGAACACCGGTCCCTCACTCCTCAGAACGACGACCGAAGGCAGACCTTCTCGCTCGCTCCTCCAAGTCTCGCCATCAAGGAGCCAGGCGAGGTCTGAGGTGGTTTCATCGCTAGCTTTCCCTTCGGAGACTCTTTCTAGGTCATTCAAAATGCTTGCTTTGAAAGGCGGCAGAATTCGGAGTCTTCCATCGGTAGGCGACGTATTGTATCGCATTAGCTGCTCTTTGAGGTCACGCAGCACGGCGAGAGACAATGCATTTCGTCGTTTACCATTCTGCAGTGCGAGATACGCCGCTCTGGCCGGTAGTGTAGGCCATGTCATGATCATGATTGTACACAGTCATTAGAGGGATTTCGCCGCACCTTCTGATGCCGCTCCAGGTGCCGCTCCAGCCCCTAATATAGCCTAGTGCGGCCTAATAAGGAAGTGAACAGTGCGCGTGCACGTGTCACCTTCAGCTGCCGCTCCAGCGCTGGAGCGGCCGCTTTAGTGCTAGATTAGGTCGCTAAGTAAGTGAATATAGCTTAGCGTAGTAGAATTAGCCGTAGGTGCTAACCTCGGGCTTCTAGCCTTCTACGTATCGCGTCGACTATCGCTATAAAATAAATTAGTATATTAATTGCTAGCAATTATATCTTACGAGAATAGCTTCTTAAGGCTCTCGTCGGTCGCCTCTACGCCTATTTCCTAGTCTCTAACCCCTATACCGATTCTATAACCGCCGAGCGCTATTTAGCCGCCTAGTAATAGTATCGATTTCGACCGTTTCTATAGACCTCCTAGCTAGCTTATCTATAATAAGCGTAGTAAACTAGTCGCTTAGTCGACTAAGCGACAGACAATAATACCTTAACCTATTGCTTAGTATCTTACCGCCCTACGAGGTAAGATGCCTCTACTAAATACGCCGTAGCCGCTTAACTATAAGGCGAGTAAATCCGCTCGAAAGAAGGCGAGGTTAGCGGCTTAATTAGAAGCCGATTAAGCGGCTATTAGTATAGTCGATAAAAAGGCGCTACAAGCGAGTTAGCCTATAGGCTCTTCTAGCCTTACTAACTATTAGAAGGTCGTGCTTAGCAAAGTAGTATTTAAGTATATAATAATGCTTAGTTAGCCTAAAATATAGGATACTATTAGCCTAGCATTCGTAAGAGAGACCGGATTTACTTATAGAAGCTTAAAGAAGGTGTTTAAGGCAATACTAAAGGTCTATAACTAATAGCGCGACCCTAAGTAAGGCGGCACCTATATAGACTCCGGTACTAAATTTAATAACGAATATACTAATCGGCTTAGTAAGATAAAGGCGGCGATTGCTAAGAAGCAATAGTTAGCTAAAGATAAGGCGAAGGCCGCTAAGAAGAAGGAAGATAAGGCTATTAATGCTTAGCGAGTAAGACTAAACCTTACTAAAAGCTAGAAGGATAAGGGGAAGAAGAAAGCGCCCTTACTAGACCCCGAGTCTAGTAGTAGCAGTAAGTCTAATACTTATATTAATAAAGAAGAAGATAAGACAGACGAGGAAGCGGAGCGGAATAAGATTAATCTACTAGAAACAGTCTATTCGGAGGCCGACTTCGATAAAAAGGCGGTCTATAATTTATAGACTTTAGCGGCTTCTCGTTCTTTAGTAACGCCGGCTTCTCGTTCTTTAGCAACGCTACGGCTAGTTAATAGGAAGGCCTCTAAGAAGCGCAAGACAAGGCGGGAGTTAGCTAAAGAACCTCCGACAATAGAAGCTAGTATAGCGGCGTTAGTGCGGTCGTTAAATAGTAGCGAAGTAAACGATAAGAGTAAGCGCGAGCTAAAGAGGCTAAAGAGCGATATTAGTGCGCTTAAGGCCTAGAATAACACTATTCTGTCGCTCTTAAAGAATATAGCTAGCAAGCAGGAACAGGGCTCTAACTAGGCAAATTTAGTAAAGGAAAGTACTCCGGTAGTTACTAGGGATATAGAGGTCGACCTAACCTATAAACAATTAATTAGAAGTACTTATAGTAAAGCAGAGCTATAGGAGTATATAGTAGCGGGCGTAGATCTATTCGATCTGATAGTAGATCTGTCGCAGTTTAAGGGCTAATAAAATAGCATGTTTATTACTTCTGCTATATAGCTATAAAATAGTTAATTTTAGTCGTGTAAAGTCGCGCAAAAAATATATTATAGCTACGATATATACGATAAAGCGCTTGTATAGTAATATATAGGTGTTAGTGTTGCGTTATAGTAAAATGTAGTGCTAAATGTTATAGCTTAGTATATATATATATTTCGGCTAAGATAAAGTTTACCTCCGCGGACCTCCTATATAGAACTATCTCGACTATTACTAAATGTTAACTGCCTGCCTATGTCTTCGCTTTCGTATATATATTCGCTATAGATAGACAGGCTCGTCTAGGATAGGTGCATTGCCGTATAGATAGAGATATTCCGTAGTAGAGGGAGGTCTTGTCTTAAAGCGCGTATTATACTAATTGCTACCTCGTAGGCAGGTATATACGTTTGTAAGCAAAGTAGCCGTTAGATAATAAGACGAGACAGGCTAGTTGCTAATGTATTGTTGCTTAGTAAGGCCTAGATATCCCTATAACTGTAAGGTCTTTCTAAAGGCGTGTTCTATCTCTATTCTTACCCTTAATATACGAGTATTAAATGCTTGTTTTAATAGCGGCAGAGGCTTGCTAGGCTATAGATAGATAACACTATAAGTATAATAGTATGCTAGATTGCTATAGAGATAGAGTATTGTCCGGTTTTCTATAAGACGGCGTATTCGCTCGGGAACCGGGGATTCTTGCTAGATAGACTAGTTATTAGATCTGCCTTCGAATAGGCCGATAAGAGACGATAGTATACCGTCGGGGGTAATAATGCCTTAGAATTTGTAGCTATACTTCTTCTTATGCCCCGTATAGTAGATTCGTTAGTCGTAGGTAGACCGAAGAGGCCTCGTAGTACTACGGAATGTGCTATTAATAAAACCCTAAAAATTACCTAGATATCTAGCTCTTTTAATACTGCGTACAAAGCCCCTTATAATGTAATATCGTCTTAATCGTAGGTGCTACCGGATAAGGCTTCCGAATTGCTCCTCGATATAGAGTATCGTATCTAAGAAGATTATCGATAGAAAGCACTTTAGTCGGCTAAAATAGTTAGTAAGGTCCTTCTAGCGACACGGATACGATAGCCGCCGATATATAATATAGAATGCTAGCTCCGGCTCGTAGACGTAACGATTAGACTATTATATAGTATCGATTCGTAATATAATAGCTAGGAAGCGAATCTCTACCTTACTAAACCTATTACCGCGGTAATTAGCTAAGCGTAGTAGCAGTAAGGCCTATCTAACCTTCTAACCTTCTAAAATACATACTAACTATTAACAACAATAACAACAACCTCTAAAAACGGCGATATACCTATATTTATCTTCTACCTTTATATCGATATAATCGTCTAGACTTTATACCTTCCTTATATATAGAATTGTCGGCCGCGAGCGGAAACTACGGTCTCTACGCTTCGTATACACCTAAGCGATTAACATAACGACGATTGCTAGCAAGCGCGACCTTACTACCTTAACGACTACTATTTTGCCTATACTATATACGCGCTACGCGCTCGGAAATATAATATCTATACAAAGCGGAAAGAGACGGAATACTAGGCTTATTCGAGACATAGCGGCTATAATTAGGAGCTGGAGCGGCACCTGGAGCGGCACCTAGAGCGGCAACAAAGGTGCGGCGAAATCCCTCTATTGAGTAGTAGTTGAGCCTGCAAGGTGTGTCCGAGACAGAGAAGTCACCGCCTCGGCCCGACTCTTCTTCCGGCGGCGACAAGGTCGAGGCTCGTCTTCACGCGGCACATATCTCGCAAACAATTCTCGCCATCAGCATTACATGCACGACACGGAGGGCTGCCGACTGCCGACTACAACAAGGATTCGGTGTCAAGGGCAGCATCTACAGTCCTTCTTCTCTGCAATACGCCACCCCGGCCAAGTTCATGGGCGAAGAGAAAGGCAGTGAGAAGATAACTCAGGCAAACGCCCGGTATCCCTTACAACACTGCTTGAGACACTCCACAAGCTTATCTCAGCACTGAGAGTGAGCCCCATCCTTTAGTCAAGCATCGTCGTCGCCGCTACTCCTGCCAAGGCCGAATCCGGGTCTACGGAGGTAGAATGGGTCAAGGAGCATATTACCATCCGGACGCGACACGTATGTTTGAAGCATAGCTCCCGTTGTACCTAGACCTCTTCTTACCCACCGCAGTTCAGACCACCGTATCCGAGGCCAGCCTTGAGATCCCTCTGATCGACTTCTCGGCATTCTTGTCGGGCGATGCAGCCACCAAGAAGTCCACTGCACAGGCCATACTCGCTGGCTTTCAGAATGCCGGGTTTATCTACTTGAGTAATCACGGCATTCCGGATGACGAGCTCCGCAATACCTTCTCAGAGTCCGCCAAGTTCTTCGCGAGGCCATTCGCAGAGAAGGATCAGCTCGCATGGACTACTCCAGAGGTGGGTATCGTGATCGATTGCATCGATCAATTTCGCTGACATCGTCTCAGGCCAATCGAGGCTACTCTCAAGCCGGCAGAGAGAAAACGACCAACGTTGAGGGTGCCGATGACATTGAGAATGTTCGAGCACAAGAAGGCGCGGATTTGAAAGAGTCCATTGAGATCGGCAAAGAGAATGAGCCTGGCTTACCCAACCAATGGCCTACTGATGCCGCTGGCGCTGTGTTCCGCACGCAAATGGTCAGGTTCTTCGACCTGTGCAAAGATCTTCACGTCGAAATCATGCGGTCGATCGCCGTGGGTCTTGGGATTGATGAGTTCTGGTTCGATTCATACTGTGACGCGGGCGACAACACTCTCCGCCTTTTGCACTATCCTGAAGTCAAAGCCGATGTCTTCAAGAAGAACGATAATCAAGTCAGAGCTGGAAGTCATACTGACTACGGATCAATCACATTGTTGTTCCAGGTACAACTAGCCACCACGACTCTGCCTATACACTCTGCTAACGCAGTACCACAGGACATGTCTGGTGGCCTCCAAATACAATCCCCCACAGGGAAATTCGTCCACGCCACCCCCATCGAAGGCACAGTAGTTGTCAATGCTGGAGATCTACTTGCAAGGTGGTCTAATGATACCATCAAGAGCACAATGCACAGAGTCGTGGAGCCTCCCATTCCGTCTGATACTTATCCGGCGAGATATAGCATCCCTTACTTCTGTCATCCCAATCATGACCGCATGATCCACGCGATTCCAGGCACGTATAGCGCTGAGAATCCTATCAAGTATGAACCTGTGCATTGCGGTGAGCATATGGTTAAGAGGCTCAAGGCTACTTATTAGATTTTATAGATTCGATGAAGTAAGGTATATGAACAAATTTCACACCACCATCACCAAGGGTTTTCTCCAACCATCAACGTCTCAAACGCCTCGGGCAAGGCAGGAAACGGGAACCAACTGTGACCACCTCGTTTTGTGCACGGTCGTCCAAACCCTCGGCCGCGGTCCCTCTCCATTGACACATGCCAAGTCAGTGCTGCTTTAGCCCTACGATACCAAACGAGAAGTACGAGAAATTATCGAATCATGACTTGACCACCTAACCTGCCTCCCCGCCACGCTACAACTCTCGTTCGCCTAGCCAACCCCAAGAATGGGGAAACCTGACACACGCCAGCACGAAGCCCTGTCGGAGCTCTTATTGGCCAGCTAACAAACTCGATAAGGCTATCGTGGAGTAGTCTAACACGTGAAGCATACGGGTCAATGCTTAGTAGGTAGTCGAAGAATTGCCATCCATGGTTTACATATAGTTAAATAATCAGTAGCACGACCACACCAGACTCACACCCCCCACCAACCACCATGTCCGACATCGAAAAAGGCAAAGAAAATGCCGTCGTCATCGCAGACACCAGCGATCACTCCGGCCTCTCAATCGCCGAAGGACGAGTCATCGACGAACGTTCTTTATTATCGTGGTGGAAAAAGTATTGGGCTTCGTTCGCAGCGGATTTCACGGAGACGAGGGGGGTGCAGAGGGTTTTGCCGGAAGAGAGGAGACAAGCGGTAAGTACTTCCCAAAAAAACAAAAAAAAAAGAACGAGAAGATTGCAAAAAACTTTCGACATGTTTCGCTGATGGAATTCTGATATTATAATAAGGCTTCTTTCGGCGTCTACGTACAAATGATCTCACTATGGTGTAGTGCGAATTTAACCGCGAATCACGTAACGCTCGGGTTACTGGGACCTTCGGTGTATGGACTTTCATTCTTGGATTCGGCCATGTGTTCGGTTTTTGGGATTTCGGTGGGAGCGTTGTGTACGGCTTACATGGCGACTTTTGGACCTCGGTCGGGGAATCGAACTATGGTGAGCTTTCAGGGAAAATTTTTGGGGATTGGGTTTGGATGAAGGAGATATGTGTTGCTGAGTATTGAGAACAGATTGTTGCGAGATATCATATGGGGTGGTGGCCGAGTCGGATTTGTGTGGTGCTGAATTTGGTGATTATGCTTGGGTATGGGATGATTGATACGGTGGTTGGAGGGCAGATGTTGTCTGCGATTAGTGGTGGGAGTACGTCGATTGTGGTTGGGGTGGTGATCGTAGCGGTGAGTCTTTATCTCTGTTTCGACGGTCGTGTCAGGATGCTGATGATGAGTAGCTCCTCACTTACATCCTCACCGTCTTTGGTCTTCCTATCCTCCACGCCTACGAGCGTTACGGCTGGATTCCGCAAGCCGTGATGTTGCTGATTCTGGCTGGCTGCGCTGGACCGTACTTCAACACTTCAGCTCCATCAGTGGGCAACAAGGAGACAGTCATCGCGAATCGCCTGTCAGTGTTCGCGCTCTTCCTGTCCGCGCCCAGCGGTTGGGCTCCCGCAGGAGCCGACTTCTTCGTCTATTTTCCAGAACGCACATCAAAGAGGCTCACATTCTTTCTGTGCTGGACGGGGCTCACGCTCGGATATGTAAGTGAATCCGAGTTGCAAGATGTGTTGATGTCTGACATGTGGTGTTCTAGGCCTTCACCGTCCTCATCGGCACCGGCATAGCCTCTGGCATCAAGACGAGAGCAGCTTGGGCAGCGGCTCACAAGATAAGTCCCGGTGCAGTAGTCGTCGCCGGCTTCGAACCTTTGGGCCGCTTTGGACACTTTTGCGCCGTGATCGTCATGCTCGGTGTGATCGCCAACAACGCTCCAGGCACTTATGCTTGCGGCCTCAGCTTCCAGTGCTTGGGGTCTTGGCCGTTAAAGATACCACGAATGTACTGGAACACACTCAGCGTGGTCATTTACACGATCTGTGGAGCTGTCGGACGCAACCATCTCTACAGCATATTCCAGAACTTTCTATCCTTGATGGGCTACTGGGTGACCATCTGGGTCGTCATCACTCTGGAGGAGCAGTTGATCTTCCGCCGCAACACTGGATACATTTGGGAGGATTGGAATGATCGCAAGAAGTTGCCGATCGGATGGGCGGCTTTGGCCGCCTTCGTGATCGGCTGGGTGGGAGCGGTCCTCTGCATGGACCAAGTGTACTACATTGGGCCCATTGCAGGTTTGATCGGAGATTATGGATCTGACATAGGCTTGTTTATCGGCGCAAGCTGGGCGGCACTTGTGTTTCCCGGTCTGCGATATCTTGAAAAGAAAGCTATTGGAAGATAGATAAGTTAGTAGAGCTCAGCAGCCGTGGAGAGCAGGCAGACGGGAGGGCGGGCAATAATGAATGACCATTCTGCATGAGAGACTACAACGTGCGGCCATCATCCTCACTGATCAGACGCCACGGAACTAGGCCCTTCAATACTGATGTGCCATCGTGTATCACGCCCCAGCGGATCTTGGTCAGGCTATTGACAACGACAGATGTCAGGCCGGCAGTACATTTCTTTCCAGCAGCAGGCGTCACAGTCGCCAAAGTCTCCGGGCTCGCCGATGTCATGAAGTGCAGTTGTTGATGCATGTGCTCTTTGGCATCCCAAATCGGCTCATCGTCATCGGTCTGCGATGAAGGCCGTGAATGATAGAAACTCCAGATGGTCAGGGTACCAAGGATCAAGGTCCAAGCATGATGAAAGAGATCACCAACCACGAACTCGCTGTCAGAGTGCCTTGCACTTGCTTGCAAAATGTGAGCGGCATGCCACACAGCTCTGGCAGCTCGACTTGCATCTTCGTTGGCCCAACGCTTAACCACTTTCTGCGATCTTGAGTAGTCCATTCTGGATACAGAGCGGCCGAGGATATGTCTTGCGCCGGCATAGATTTGTAAATCCAGAATCTCGGCAAGCAAAATCAGCTGGGCGGCGTGATAAAGTGCATTATAAGCGGCAACAAATGAATCGAAGCGCTGAACGCTGTATAGCTGAGCTTCCGGATCTCCTGTGCAACGCATGAGATTGGTCCCTGTGGAGGCGGTGAAATGATCGAAGTCAATCTTCCAGCTCTCATATGCTTTCGCCATGCGATCTCGCCAGCTGCCTGCACTGAGACCATTGCTAAGCAAGCCCAGTGAGGTCTGATCGCGCCTCGTCATGTCCCAGGATACAGACATCAAGCCGTGCAGAAGGATTATGTGGGAGATTGCGTTCAAATTCACTCGCTTTGTCATATGCGTCGTGAGGTATGTCTTGAGCACAGCGAGCAAGTGAGGCGGTGAGTGGTCTTGCGACTTCCAGGCCTCGATCCACGCATGGGGCGTATCTGCTTCCCAAATTGCCTGGTCGCAAGGCAGAGTCGAGCGAAGCTCAAATGCGGACATGCACAGGCTTTGGCTGAATAGAACGGCATGCTGAACATCCCAGACGAAGCACAGCTGAGCAAGACGCTTCTTTTGCTCCATTTCTGCCCACGTCTGCCACCGACTTGCTATATCTGCATCGGCGTCGCTGCAGACCAGGCTTTCCGGTTGTATGGTTTGGCAATCGCTCCGACGTATCAAGTTGATCAGAAGACCATGAAACAAATGGCTCATATCGTGCTGTCGTTGACCGCCTCTTGACTTGCCCAGACACTCAGTCAGGAGAATGGCTTGTAAGACCCAGAGTTCCGGCTTTGCAGAAAAGGCCGGGTTGGCAAAGATTTGAGGCCGGAGAACATCATGTATACAGACTGCTAGTTGATGCGAGTCTTTGTCGCTGTATGTTGCACCAAGTAGAATGATGGTGGTGAGCAGGATCGGCTCAGTCGCTGGCGGGGAGAATGTTGCCGCATGCATCAGCGGATAGGCCACATTGAAGCGCGTGAAGAAAAGATCGAGATATGTTTGCATAGACTGCAGGCTTAACCTCGGATGGTCGAACATCACAACACTGCCATCAGGTAGAGTGGGCCGGGCATGCTCGATCACATCCATGATTCGCTCCCTGGTTAGCTCGTCCAGGGAGGGCAGTGTCTGCTTGTGGTTGAGCAGAGACATCGGACACTCGCTAGGATGGAGAAGAGGAGATGCATCATCGACGACACTATCTCTTGGTCTTTGCTGCGGACTTGCTACCGCGTCGAGCTGTTTGACTGTGGCTGCCCTTGGTTGATTCTGTGCCAGCTTGGAATGCATCGACACCATTTGCGCCTGCGGTGGCTGACGTGTATGTGTTGTAGGGGGAGTTTCAAGGGTGGTGAACTGGGTGAAGACTGCTGTGGGTTGTTGGAGGCCAGTGTTGCCAATGGATGGATCGAGCGAAAGATCAAATAACCAATTGTAGTTGTTCGCGGTAGTATACGGCATGTTAAAGCTACTCGCGGTGTCTGGCGCAAAGATGTCGTCAAAGGGCTCAGACACAAGTGTGGGCTCTGGACCAGATGACAATGCCGTGCTTTCCCAGAAGAAGTTCTCGTCTAGTGAGTCTTGGAGAAACGGATTGCCAAAGTTTTCCGCTTGACCCGTGTAGGCAGGCTGCTGCACCAATCGTGTCGTAGCTTCATTGGATCCTGTGGGTGATATGGCAAGATCTGATGAGCTTCCTGGAGGCGAAAGAGGTAGAGCGGGCGGTTGATGTGCATGTGCCTGGAGTGAATAATGGTTCACGGCACGGTTGGATTGCTGTTCTTCAAGTGCTGGGCGTTTAGTGACCACGCGGCCTTCTGAATCTTTCCACAGCCTTTTACGAGTCATCAAAGTGCCCCCTTCAGCGTCCTTCAGTCTATGTCGAGCCAAGTGGCGTTCTGTAAGCATGTCAGTCCATCGTGGGGCCCTGCAGGAGAATGTGCTTCGATACCTAGAAGATCGGGTCGCTTGAAGTGAGCCCTACAACGTTCGCAAGTGTGCTCTCCTTCAGCGTGGTTCAGGACGTGGCGTTGGAGATGCTCATGTCTGCTGAATGAGCGACCACAGCCCTCGGCATCACAGACCCAACGTCCATTGGCTTGCGGCATGATGGCTTATGGCCAGATCTGGAAAGCAGCACTGACGCACAGGCCTGGTAGAGTTCCACGATCAAGATTCCTGATCCGGGCGGGGCGGTTAGCAGCAGAGAGTGGTGGTTATACAGCACGAATGGGGACGACATAGTGAATAATGCTCGCCGACCCGCCCCGGGATCACGATAACGTAGGCGAAGAGTGAGAGCGCGGAGAAGGAAAGCAAAGATGGGGGAGAGTTCTAGGTACCCTGTCCTGTTTAGTCTGGTCTAGAATACCGAACCAACCGATGACCCTTGCTTGTGCCAAAGTACCACCCATCCGTAGACCAGTTCTAGCAGACAGAGCTGCCCAGTACCGATCGATCCACAGTTCGACAAGCGTCGGTACAAAACACATACACATGACAGCCGGTCGCCAACAACAACTTGTCGACATTCGCTTTCGCTTTCCCCCTCTATCGTCAACGAACAGACATCAGCTATGCAGCAACGCCGAAGAAGGGGTAGTCCACATAGCCTTTGCTCGGCGGGTCTGCGCCGTAGAAAGTGTCACGGTCGTACGCATTGAGCTCCAAGCCATGCGCGAGCCGCCGAGGGAGGTCGGGGTTGGCAATGAACCACCTCCCAAAGACGATAACGTCCGCCGCATCGGCCTCCAACTTCGGCAAAGCATTATCGCGATTGAAGTTGCCCGCAGCGAGGAATTTCACGCCGCCCTTCTGGAGGATGTGTCGGAATGGGTCAAGGGAGATGGCAGTCTTACGAGTCATCTCCGGCCCCTTCGCGTTATACGCCGACAGGGCATCCAGCTTGGCCTGCTCGTCCATCACTTCGTCGAATCGAGGCTCGACACTATGCACGTACGCCAGGCGTGACTGTTCTGGCCGTGCGATGATTTTCTCGCACAGATATGCCCAGTGCGCAATGGGATCCGAATCTCTGGTGTCTTGGAAGTAGCTCAAGGGCGCGAGCCGGATGCCGACTCGATCTGATCCGATGGCTTCGGAGACGGCGTGGATGACTTCCAAAGGGAATCGACATCGGTTCTCGATCGAGCCTCCATAGGCATCGGTCCGGTTGTTGATGTTGTCGTGCAGAAACTGATCCAGGAGGTATCCGTTCGCAGCATGGATCTCGACGCCATCGAAGCCAGCTTCGATGGCGTTCTTTGCTGCTTGCGCAAAGGAAGTGGTGAGCGCCTTGATCTCCTCCACCGTGGCTGGACGAGGCGGATTGTCGCTATATTTGGTTCCATCCAATGCGTTTCCTGAGATTGGAATGTCGCCGGAACTGATTGCTTGCTGACCGTTGCGGAAGCTTGGTGGTGACGCTCGCCCCGTGTGCCAGAGTTGGCTGAATATGAAACCACCCTTTGCGTGCACCGCGTCGGTGATGCGTCTCCAGCCTTTGATTTGGGATTCAGTGAAGATGCCTGGCACGCCGGGATATCCTCCTGCGTAGTGTTCAATGTCCGTCGCCTCGGTGAGCTGAAAGCCACCTGGGTTTGCTCGTTGCGAGTAGTACTCAAGTGCAAGATCACCAGGCACGAAAATTCCGTCTGCTTCTTTCACAGCTCGCATGCGAGTCAAAGGAGCCTGCGCGACCCTGTGGCCAAGTTGGATGCGTCCAAGTTGGACTGGTTCGAAGAGCTTCGTACCCTTCAAGGGAGCGTGAGGTGGTGGCGAGACGGCGGATGGCATTTTGGGTCGAACGATCGCACTGAAATGTGAGTTGCAAAGAGCAGACGCAGGCACAGAATGCTTTTTGAAGTGGCGTATGTGGATCGTGGTGGTCCCTTCATCCCACTATTCACACCTGGCCAGGGTGGGGAGATCTCACGCTGAACTCCCATGCTTGCAGGCCTTCGTCTCGACGCAAGATCTGGTCAATGGGTCATGTTACTACACGTCGGTTTTGGAGTTCCTCCCGATCAGTATGCCCTTGTGTGTCAGGTATAACTCCAGATGACTGTGCACGACGGAGGCAGCACTGTTAGAGACGATCGTGGTTCATTGAGCTATGGAAACATTACAACCAAAACGCAAGTCGTTCATCCAACATGGCCAGTCCATCACTTCTTGCCCGTCGCGAGCATCTTTTCAACCTCCTCCCTCGACGCCGGCATCAAAGCTCCGGGCGGCGGCTGATTCCTGCTCTTGAAATCGTCACACATCTGCTCCATCGTGACCCACTCCACACCCTCGTGCTTGTTGATATGATCGATGATCCTCTGATGCATCAAAAGAACATGAGGTCTCCCACTAACATCCGGATGAATCGTCATAGGAAAGACGAACTCGTCATAGTTCTCATAAAAGTAATCGAAATGATCCATCCAGATCGCTTCGACATCCCGAGGATTGACCCATCCATGGCTATTGGGACTGCTCTTGATGAACATCATCGGAGGCAGATCGTCAATGTACCACGAGCCAGGAATCTCCACTAAACCTGTCTCCTGGCCCTTCACCAATGGCTTCATCCATTCCTCGGCCTTTTTCGAGTAATCGATCTTTGTCCAAGTGTCTCCCGTGCGTAGCCAATACATGCAGTGGTCCTCATGTGACATGGAGTGATCATATTCGATCCCATACGCAAGCATCAACTCCGTTCCTTCTTTGCTCGTCTCCCACCACGGCGCAACGGATCCCCGAGGAGGTTTTCCGCAAAAGTCCGTGAGGAGTCTGTAAGTCTTATCGAGGACATCTCGTTGCTGCTCAATCGTCATGTCCACCGGGTTCTCGTGAGAGTAGCCATGCAGACCGATCTCGTGCCCGGCATCTCGCACCGCTGCACAATCTTCTGGGAAGGTTTCGAGACTATGCCCGGGGATGAACCATGTCGCTTTGATGTTGTTCTTGTCGAAGAGTTTCAGTAATCTTTGAGTTCCTCTCGTGCCAGCCCAAATTCCTCTTGAGATATCTGAAGTACTGTCCTCGCCACCATACGAGCCTAGCCAACCCGCGACGGCATCGATGTCGACGCCTACATGAAGGTCCAGTCAGCAGTATTCAGTATTGTCGTAGGTCAATGCATACCGTAGCTAACGAGAACTCTCTTCTTTCCCATGATGATTCCGTATCGGCTGCAGGCTCGGTTCTATGAACAAGGCTCTTCTCAAGGACAATGATGGAACACCGCTTGTTTGCGAATGAAAACAGAACGTCAATGCACAGCAACGATTCTTGCCCGAGGATAGGGCGATGATAAGGAACCCTTGTTCGGAAGAGGGGAACGTCGTATACCGGAAATGCGGTGTGGATTGCTTACTTGAGCTCGTGAATGCCTGCAGACGAGTGAAGTCGGCCCGTTGGTGGAGGGAAAGTGGCACGGTGGTGGGGGTACACTTTCGCCCTATCAGCAAGACTGCTCGGCAAGATGGACCGGTGTTGCAATTGAACCACACCACCACCACTCAGTGGGCGCGTAGAATGGAGAAGTGTCGGTAGGAGTACTGCCTGTGATCATGTCAACCGGCACAAAGAGAGAAGTCCCCAATGGAGCCCACAAAGAAGACGCCAAGATCCAGAAACTAGAACTAGATCACAGGATGTCACCAGGAGTACTTCGCAACGATGCCAACGGAGCTCACACCGACAGCGATGATGTTGTCGTTGTTGGAGCAGGACCCGCCGGTCTGATGCTCGCGTGCAACTTGGTCCGATTCGGCATTAAAACGACAGTAATCGACGACAGGCCGGATAAGACTTCAACTGGAAGAGCAGATGGTCTGCAACCGAAAACCATCGAGACTCTGAAGCAGATGCGTCTGGCTGACGACCTACTAAAATATTCAGTGAAATTCTACGATATCTGCTTTTGGAGCTCAACCCCCGATGTGCCATTGAGAAGGACCGGAAGAGATTTGGCGTACCCGCCAGAAATAGTCGATCTGCTTGATCCATTTATGATCCTGAATCACCAGGGTAGTGTCGAAGAAGTATTCTTAAAAGACCTGGAAGCCCGGGGAGTCGAAGTGCTGCGAAGTTCTGCATTCGTTTCAGCCCAAGAAACTGCCGGTCAGGATCGGGCTCTCACAATCTCCTACCTCAATCGGATAAATGGTCGCACAGAAGAGCTGCGAGCAGACTATCTGGTCGGATGCGATGGAGCTCACTCGCAAGTCAGAAAGAGCATACCAGGCGCAGTCGCAGAAGGGGCTTCGTCCGATGCACTCTGGGGAGTCCTAGATGGCGAGGTCGATTCCAATTTCCCGGATTTATGGAGCAAGACAATCGTGCAAAGCCACAAGTATGGCTCGATCCTCTTCATTCCTCGTGAACGCAACATGACCAGATTGTACATTGAGCTGAAATCGGAGGACGGAAAAGGTATCTCGAAAGCGGAAGCAACCCAAGAGTACGTGTTGGAGGCCGCGAGGAGGATTCTGCATCCGTACAAACTTGACTTCACAATGGTCGAGTGGTTCGGTGCCTATCAGATTGGTCAGCGAGTAACGAGTCGATTCAGTGACGATAATCAGCGCATCTTCCTCGCCGGCGATGCGAGTCACACGCATTCCCCAAAGGCGGCTCAAGGAATGAACACCTCTATGCACGACTCCCTCAATCTGGCCTGGAAGCTCAACCTGGCGATTCGTGGCCTCGCAAAGCCTGACCTCCTCGCCACATATCAGCAAGAACGTCGTCAAATCGCCCAAGATCTGATCGATTTCGACCATGAGCACGCCAATGCGTTCCATGACGGCGACCCCGAAGCCTTGGCTCAGAACTTTGCCAAAAACGTTCGCTTCATCTCTGGCGTCGGCGTCGAATACAGTGCGAACATTATCAACCAGGACAGCGGGAAGCAGAGCCACATCCAACCAGGATGTCTCTTGCCACCAGCCAAAGTAACCAGGTACATCGACGCAAACCCCCTAGACATCCAGCTCGACATCCCGATGCTCGGACAATTCAAGATCTACTTCCTCTGCCCAGATCTTGCGAAGTCCATGACTTTCCTGCGAGCCGCTTGTGATGGCATCTCAAACTCATTACTTCCAGCAACCTCTCAACAAGCAGCCCAGTCTTTTGCAAAGAAACCTCGTGCAACGAGCGAGATGGACGAATACCACAGACCAGAGAGATATACGGCCGTCAGTCAGCTGTTCACTGTGGCACTAGTGACAGCGACGGCAAAAGCAGATTTCGAGCTCGCAGACTTGCCACCGCTTCTGGACCGGAGCAAATGGACGGTATATTTGGACGACATTCCGGAGAAGAGCACAAATGGCAAATCTTGCTTGGAGAAATGGATAGGTGGTATGGCTAGCACCGAAGCGGCTGTGGTCAACGTTCGTCCAGATGGGTATGTGGGTAGCGTGCAGCGCTTTGATGTCAGTGCTGGCGCTGAAGTTGGATTGACTGTGTCAGCTTGGCTGAGTGAGTACTATTCTGGTTTCCTCGTGGTATAGATGATGTACATATCGGCAAGTTCTGTGATCCTCTAGTTCCGAGCTACTGTCCATGCAGAACAAGTGTGGTCGAGCAAAATTCTCCCTAAAATGAGAACGAATGTCTGAATTTGGCGCCTGAGCATGTTCTTTCATTGCTGATTCTTCGTGATAGTGACACGGAAGAGATTAAGCATTCGAGTGCGCTGCAGTGCCGTTTCCATTAGTCCTTATAGTAATGCTCTGAACTGCGTTTCAGCAACCTGCCGCTCATCAGGCCATTTGCTGTCCACATCAGCCACGCAATCGTAGCTGATCAACCAACTTCCGACACCGTATCTTCTCCAAGGGAAAGGGTCTGCTCCGATCTCCAGACCTGCCGGCAGCGGCACATCTTGGACGGAGCCTGCTTTCTTGATCTGCTTCTCGAGCGCCCCAAAGATCCTATACCTCTCGTCTCGGGCCTCTTGCTCTGAGCCGTCGTCTAAGTGATATAGGTACTGCTGCAGGTTGCCGCGTGCCACTATGCTTTCGGTGCGCGTGCGCCGACAGTCTTCATAGATGCGCAAGGCTTTCAGCTTCGATGGTGTTGATTTATCGCGGATGCGGGAAAAACAGTATCCCAGGACCGCACCGTCCTCCAGACTCATGCCTGCACCACTGGCTAAATATGGTAGTGTTGCATGGACAGCATCGCCGAGAAGCGCAAAGGTGCCATTGGTGTTATACCAGGATTGATCTAGGCCTGGCCGGAAACAAAGTTTCCATTTCTGGACTGACTGACAGTATTTGAGCAATTTGGGTATTCGCGGATCCCACTCCGCGTACAAGGCCTGCATTTCTTCAACACTGCCATCGACGGTGGTCGCGTTGTCAGGTATATCGTCTGGTACCAGAAGAACAACATTGATCTGCTTGCCATTTCGCAAGACATAACTGACCGCATGAGCTCCGGGTCCCAACCAGTATCGTACGTGATGCTCCCGCAGAAATGGCGCAAGCTCTGGATCGTTCTCCATGCCTTCGGTACTCAGTAAGACCCGATATGCCAAGTCGCCTGTCGGCGTGGGTGGGTCTGACTTGCCAACCAAGAGGTCTCGACAGCGGGAGAAGATACCATCTGCTCCGACAACTAAATCAGCGACCACTTGTTCACCAGACTGCAGTGTTATGGTGGCAGTTTCAGGCTGTGATGAGTCAATGTCCACCACTCGGGCACTCGTCTGAAGAGTGGCGCCAAGCTCAATGGCCCTCTCAAGCATTGCTCCATGCAAGTCGGCTCGGTGGAAGTCCCAGAACGGTGCTTTGTACTCTTTGGCGGCATCGGCGAAGTCCATTATGGTAAGCAGATCGCCTTTCCATCTCCGCATTTCAACCTGGACAGGAATTGTGGCAAGACGAGCCAATCTTGGACCGAGTCCCCACTGTATGAGCACTCGAGAACTGTTTGGCAGTACTTGTATGCCAGCGCCTGGAGTATGTCAGACAAAAGCCATGCAACGAAGTCGGAATGAGCTGACAGACCTATTTCGCCAATCTGTGGAGCGGATTCTAAGACGTGAACTTTATGACCAGCAAGCAGTAGGCTGATCGCAGCACCTAGGCCGCCTAGACCAGCGCCAACGATGGCCACCTGATATTCTTCAGCATTCAACATGTTAGGAAGCCAATCGAAGAGACATAGCGTACATTCAGGCTTTCTTCCTCGCTGCGAACGGCTTTCTGAAGTACAGTGATCCCTTCGAATGTTTTGTGCATGATTGGGACGTTGTCGATGTAGTTGCGAAAATATGATGATCTTGAGGTACGTTACAGATACGCCAATTTGGTGAAATGCAAAGGTGTTTGCAGAAGGAATAATCGTCACAATATCACGACACCTCATGTCACCCGTTGAGGCTCACACTGTCTTTGGTTGTGGTCGTGAGCTCGATTGCATGACGAACAATCGATCAATGCTCGTAGCCACAGGTTGTCGGCGTGCTTGCCGAGCTGCCCCCCGGATTGTGCATAGTCCAGGGTGGAACAAGGTTGAGATCGTCACAGTCTCAAGAGTGGGGTTGTGGAGACCAGGGTCAGCCTATCTTGTCCACCACAGAATGCATGGTTAGTGAGATGCACCTCGCTCGTGGCAGACCAGTAGTGGGAAGAGCGGCTACGTGATTCTGTAGACAAATGCACAATGGCTGTCAAGTGAGTAGTATTTTCCAGCGGCAATTGGCCTTCCCGGCTCAACCACGACCGAAGACAAGCCTGCGAGAAAGGATGGCAGTCCTGGAAGAAGTATCTTGTCCTCGCGGCATGGCTCGTATTGTAGTGCCATATTTCACCAACTACAAGCGTTTTAGACACACCACAGGACCATTCTTCGCCAGGTTCTCTAACATCTGGCTGGCACTTGGAGCACGCAATGGCAAGAAGTTTGCTTGGGTTGACCATGCCCATAAGAGATAGGGCAATGTCGTGAGAGTCGGATTGTGTCGATTGCGGTCTCCAGACACTCCAAGCTGATGGCAACGGCTTTCTGAAAGAATAGGCCCAGAAGTGGTTGGTTTTCGCAAACTGTATCGGCATCGAAAGCCATTTCTATGGGGCCTTTATCTCTAGAGTCCCAGGAGTCTTCAATGTGCGTGACCGAGGTGGTGATGAGTGCGAGGCCCAATTAGAGCCGCATGGTCCGAGGAGAGATGTCGTCTACGCTTGGCCTCCTACTACCACTCAAGCCTTACGCCAAATATCTTCCGGATCCGTTCTTTAGCAAAGGTCTTCAATCTGTAAAGAATTTGCACGGAATCGCCTAGATGCGACCGAAAATGCAGGAGCCAATGCCAAGTCACAACATGGCATTTTGGATATGCTGGTTAATGCCAAGGACAGAAATGGCAATCCGATGTCAAGGTAAGAGCTGATATCCGAGGCGTTGACAGAACTGATCGCAGGTTCTGATACCGTATCCAATCCTGCCTGTGCGATCTTTTACTGGGTTCAGCATGGCGAGAGAGCAGCGCCAGGCACAATGTTACGTCTCTTGCAAGCTGAACTTGACGCCGCCATTCCCGCTGATGCAGATCTTGCCACGGATGCTCAAGTCAAGTAGCTTCTCTTCCTTCGCCGTTGCATCGACGAGGCTATGCGTTTGCACTCCACATCTGCGATCGGTCTACCGCGATTGGTGACATCGGAGGGAGGCGTACAAAATAATGGAGAGCTCTTTCCTCGAAGTTCAGTCCTTTCTGTCCCAAGCCATACCATCCACCACGATGCGGAGGTCTAGGGCCCTGAGTGTAGAGGATTCAGACCCGAAGTCTTACTGCCAGGCAAAGAATCTGCTTTAATCCATTCTCATTTGGGCCGAGAGCTTCCGTAGGCCAGAACGTGGCTCATATGGAGCTGGCATTGATCGTTGGAACCGCGTTCCATCGTTTCGAGTTCGAGCTGTATCAGGAGGTGTTGGAGTCGCATGAGGGTTTCTCGAAAAGCCTGATGAATGCTGTTTGGGCATTTGAGGACGGAGAGCGGCGACTTAAGTATAGTATACAGTGATAGAGAAAGCCGGTATCTTGATGATCATGTTTTTGTTGTGTGAGTTGTCTGTCATACAGTCGCGTCCAGGATCGCGTCACAGACATTGCCAAGAGCTGACTAATCCAGCCGGCACATTGTCCCCTTCCTTGCTGCCTCTTTCCAACACAACACAAAACAACTCACTGCAACTTGCAGAGAATAGTATATTCAGTAAACGCTTAGAGCTGGAATCTCGTTCTCTGATCACTACCTTCCCGACAGCGCTATACCGCAAGAAATTTTCTAGAAGGAAAGGAAGTTAGAGACTATTCGAACCCCATTTTTTTTCTAAAGATTCTATAAACATAACTCAAGAGACAACTAACGCCTTTTCTCGAGAATCCTCATCGGAGCGCAAGCAATCTCAATTATATATCGACAGCCTTCAAGCGCAGCATCAAAGCCCGAGAACGACAAAAACACACGACCCTTGCTGACATTCTATCCCGCCCACAGTATCGAAAAATCATTCATCGTCAGGCATATACTCCTCATCGCTCTCATTCTCGTCCGGAGTTCTCGTCACAAGAACGAAGTTTGGAAGTCGAGAGCCATTTGGAGCGAACTCACGGTACTTGGAGCAGCGCTGGATCGATGCCGGCTTCATTCTGGAAGCCTCTTCCATCAAACCAGCCAGGTCTTCGTTGTGAATGGATGAAGCGAGATGATTGAGCTTAGCATTACTTGGTCGGCCGCGCTTCGGCTTGTGCTGAATGCTCTCAGCAGTAGTGTGTGGCGGCTGGAGTGGATCTTGCTGTGTGGCGGTAGACGTCCTAGACTCCCCCGCTAGAATTGCCGGAGTGACTGGTCTCGACCTGGAACCTTGGCCTGCAGTGTTGCCGTCCGTGTCTGGATCGGATTTAATTGCCAGGTTTATATCAACTTCCCTCGTCATCGAAGCAGCCCGACTCTGAGCCATGATAGGATAATCAGGACACATCCTAGGAGCTACAAGCGTCTGCTTAGCTCCAAGCTTCGAATTGAAAGCACTACTCTTCTTGGTTTCTCCACGAAGAGACTGTGCAATAGCAGCACGCCACTTCAGGATATCACGTCCATGCTGAGGAGCCGCTTTCTGCTTCTTTAGAAAATTAATCCGGTCCTGCCTCCGTGCCGCGCCCTGGCGTACCTGCTGACGAAGTCGACCAAGGACACCATAGAACCTGGTAAAGTCTCCCAACGTCTTACACTCGTTGAGAACCCGAGCTAAGACATCGCTTGAGGCTTGAGCATTGCGACGTATGTTCGCCCCATTTGGATGGGCAAAAGATCTTTTGACTTGAACTTCTATAAAGGTTTGATATTGATGTAGAGCTTTCTCAGCCTTTTGAACGTTCTGTACGACACGTTAGCTTCTGTAAGAAGGCATACTCGCACTCTCTTTACTTACATTATGGTTTGTAGTGGCTTTAGCATTCTTACTCCGTCCTTCGACCATTACCGAAGTCTTGCGACAGTAAGAAGCTATGACTAAGCTCGGCTCGATTTCCGAAAGCTTAATCCGTAATACGACGATGCGACGATAACGACGTCTATACGTCGTAATACTTGTCGCAATTGAATATAATAAGTTATACTATCTTGCTAATAGTCTTGCGATTCTGTGTATATTTAAACAGAGAGTAAACGACGTAGGACCTCGAGGGAAAAGGACCGTCCTCTTATACGCGCTCGAATATGCGCATTTGCCCCTAAAAATACATTGTTACCGTCGAAAATATAGATACACCCTATACCTATAAGAATATAGATACCTCGATATTAGCTTTACCGTCTTTACTTAGATATATTGTATTAAAGATAGACTAGTATATATATGATTTTAGAATTTTAGAATTTTAGAATATTGTAATATTCTTACTTTATTACTCTATAGCTTTATAACTATAATAGCACTAAAACAAAATAATAAAACAACTTATTACTATTATAATAAAATAAAATAAGTTTATAAGTTTATAAGTTTATAAGTTTATAAGTTTATAAGTTTATAAGTTTATAAGTTTATAAGTTTATAGCCCTATAGCCCTATAATCCTATAATCCTATAATTTTATAATTCTAATAGAATAGAGTAGATATTATAGGGGTAGACGCGCGAGTCCTTACAGATACGTAAAAAGCGATATAGCAGGCTTAGCAAGCTAGGCCTACAACAGTAAATCCTCTTAGGCGCAGGATAGGGAGGCCTATACGTACCAGATTGTCAATACAGCACTTCTGACCGTAGCGACAACAACGCAATCTTTGCTCCTTTAAGTTCTTTTCAACATATCTTTTTATATAGAGGAGTTATAGCTTAACAATGTAGAACAAAAATACTCTAATTTGTATCTATTTTTAGAAAATAATAAAATTTCTAGTCGTTACCTATTGAATTTATAGGCTATATAGCCTAAAAGTCTAATTTAGAAGTTTAACAATTTTAGCATTTTTTAGGCCTTAGCATACTATTTTTAGTAATCTAAAATCTAGATCTTATAGTTTCATCTTATAAAAATCTAAATCTAAATTTATATATTATTATATAAACTATTAGTAATATAATCTAGAAAGGAATATTATTTTCTTACTATATTCTCGTTAGTTTATCTTTTTATTTAGAAGAGCTATAGCTTAGTAATATAAGACAAATATACTTTAACTTTTATGTATTTTTAGAAAATAACTAAAACTATTATAGCTATATACTAAGATTAGCCTAAAACTCTTAGGTAAAGATTTTAAGATTTTAGTATTTATTAAGCCTTAGTATACTATTTTTAGTAATCTAAAACCTAGACCTAAAAGTTTTACCTAGTATAAATATATTTTGAGATTCTTATTTTAATACGCTTACTATTAGTCTTAAAATCCTAAAGCGAATATTCTTAACAATTGTAGGCTTAGCAATTTAAAGTTTACAATTCTTAAGAATATTCTTTTCTAAGTTATAAGACTATTTATAGCTTATTTAAAGTAAAAGCTTTAATATAGATTCCTACTAGGTGAAACTATTAGGTTTAGGTTTTAGATTACTAAAAATAGTATACTAAGGCTTAAAAAAAGCAAAAGTCTTAAAATCTTTATTCTAGAATTTTAGGCTAATCCTAGTAGATAGCTATAACAATTTTAGTAATTTTCTAATACTAGATTAAAAATAGATTATTTTTGTCTTATATTACTAAGCTATAACTCGTCTAAAGAAAAAGATATACGAAAGGGAACCTAAGAAGAATTTAAGTTTTAAATTCTAGATTATAGAACTAATAGTAGCTATATTACGAGAAAAATCTCAAAATAGATTTTTATTAAGTAAAACTATAAGGCCTAGTTTTTAGATTACTAAAAATAGTATATTAAGACTCAAGAAAACGCTAAAATTCTAAAATCTCTAACTTAGAGTTTTAAGCTATATAGCTTATTAATTTAGGAGGCAACGACTAGAAATTTTAATATTTTCTAAAAATATACATAAATTAGAGTATCTTTGTCCTATATTATTAAGCTATAACTCCTCTAGATAAAAAGATATATTAAAAAGAACTTGTAGGGGCAAAGATTGCGTTGTGAATTCTTCATTGACAATCTGGTGTGTATAGAGCTCCGTCGCAGGACGCAGAAGGAAAGTATCCTTGCGCGACGCAATTTATCAGCTTCAAGTCCTCAGAAATTCAGAGTACTGAATGTTTTGAGCAAGACTCTTCGGATTGTAAAGAACGTGCATGTACTCATTTGACACTACTGATGATACTAAGACTCCCAAGTACATTACATGTAGCCTCGCCTATGTGATGATATTCCATGAATGGATGCATAGCAATGCAATGCAGCCAGGTATTGCAGTGATTTCGAATATGGGTATCTGATTTCATCTCCATGCATGTCCTCCCTTTGTATGCAATGATCGATCTTCCAAAAAAAAAGTTTCATGCATTCCCGCAGCTCGTCTCCTCCTCAAGCATGAAGTCCAGCTCTCATGCTCGTCTCCATCTATCGCCACAAATCATGCTTACTACTCCTCCTCTCATGCCCGCCACCGATCTTCGGAGGGAGTGGCAAGAAGCTGCTGCGATGGTTGCTACTGTTCTGCGAATTGCTGCTGCCGACACTTCCCCAGCGATCGCCAGAGCCGCCTGCACTACCTGGACGAGGCGCTTCTTCTTGTGGAACAGCGAGGAAGCCGCCAAAGCCGTTGCCGACGATGACGGACTTGCGTGCTTCGCCACCGAAACCACCCTGTGCCCACTGCGGCCCTAGTCCTCTTGACGCGGAGTATGCGCTTAGCGGCCGACCTCCAGAAATGACGCTCTGTCTCCTGTCGGCTCCTTGTGCGGGTGCTGCGATGGCTGTGAATACCCATTCGAGCTCGTCGATGCCTTTCGAGAAGACTTCGAGCGTCTGATTGAAGCCACCACCTGGGGGCTGCTTGTATGTTGAGCCGTTCGAGCTCAGATTGCTAGCTTTGCTGTTGAGAGAGCCTTGGTCGGAGCCGCCGAATGCTGGTAATGGGGGGAGCATTAGAAGTTCTGGGAAGTTTTGGTCGCGGACATACAATGTGGTGAGAGCCGGTAGAGCGTTCTGGTGGAGGGAAGATGCAAGGTATGAGTAGTACGACTCTGCTGGCTTCTGGAGACCATGGACTTCATCGCTGCTCACAATCTCAAAGTGTAATGTCTTTAGGGAGATGGAAGTCAGCGGAGGAAGTTGCTGTGCCGCGAGCGAAAGTGACTTCGAAACCGTCTCTACGATCGAGAGGTGTTGGATGTTGCTAGCACTCCAAAGCACCGAATGCAAATCCTGCACTGTGACACCAGTATAGTCCAATGTGAGTGATGCAAGCACTTCGCGGATATGCGGTGCTTGTAGCCACGAATTCAAACCATTAGCTGTAACATTAGCTAAGTCCTTGAGCTTTAGAATCTGCAAAGCTGGAAAGTCGGGGAGTTGGCCGGGCGAGGATTGGAAAATGGAGTCGTCCAGCCAGGAAACATTAGACAAGGTCAGATCATGCAAAGTGGGCAAGCTTGCAAGCACAATTCGCAGCGTAGCCGGCTCAACGGCAAGATTCTGCAGTTCCAGTTGTTCGATTGCTTGCCAATGTCGATGGGCAAGCAATTCAAATGCGTCCTCTGAGCCGCTTCTATATTCCATCTTCCGGATGTCTGGGCAACGCGCTTGCATCTCCTGTCGAAGGGCCAAGCAGGAGGGATCGCCAGAGTAGAAGCCATCTGGAAGGTCCACATATCTGATGTTTGGTAGTGCTGACACGGTGCGAGCAAGATCGCCTTTTGCAGTCTCTCGAGTCATGTATGGGAGCTTAAGGAACAGTGTTTGCGATGCCAGATTTGGCTGCTCTCTCACTGTCCGGCATAGCAGCTGTAATCTGATGTTCGGCACATCGACTGGTTCGATGTTGCTCTTACTGCGGAAATGCTTGCCACCTTTCCGCCGTTTCTCCGCCAAGATCTCCTCAAGCTCGCAGTAATGCACTGCGTCTATCCGTATGCTGGTGTACAGCGACTGCTGGGCGACTGCATACCACTTCCTGCACGTCTGCGCGCAGTGCGCCAGATCTCGCAGGTCGCATAACATGCAGCCATCGCCGATTTGTGATTGTTCGCAGGGCTCGTATGTGTAGTCTTGGGTGTGCGGGCAAACGTAGGAGAAGATGGTCGATAGCACTTTGTCGGGCAGTCGAGTTGTGAAGTCGCGGCCGCCCGGTGCGTACCTGTTGGGCGAGGAGTAGGCAGTGTGGGCTCGCGGTGGGCTGTCTTGCTTCAGTCGCGAGCGCGAGCGAAAGTGCTTGAGCAGACCCATGCCGGGAAGGTATATCGATCGATAATGGCGGTCGAAGTGGATTGGCTCCGCGGGGAGTCGAGTTGCTTTTGGATGTGGTGGTTGATGTGTTGCTCGTTCGCCACGTTTCCGGCGGTACAGTACATAGAACTAATTATAAGCTGCCGGCAAGCATGATCAGCGTCTCTGCAGGTGTCTCGCAGGGCTGCAAGTCGCAATATAATGGAGCGCGGCACGAAAGTGAGTGAAGATACTAACTTACCCCTTGTTTCGCTCCACGCGCAGGGGCCAATGCGCGACGTGAAACATTCAGCTTATGTATACATACCGAAGCGCTGCCCTCTTCCTTCGGCACCTATTATTCGCCTACAGTATTCGACCAACACTTCATCAAAGGCCTACTGTAGCTCCGGGCACACATTGGCGGATCAGAGATAGACAAGACAAGCGAAGTGGCGCGCAGAACATGTGTAGATCTGCTCTCGTATGCATTTGAAGGGCTATGCCATGCCATGCCATGCCTGTGACACTGAGCCGGCAGGTATCTTGGGGCCACAGGACGATGGATGTTTACCCAGCCCTAGCACGCTGTGTCACGAAACAGTCCTGTCCTGCTGGATTTGAGGCTGAGGCCTGCTTTGTTGCGACGTCTCTCGGATGTCTGCGGGCTCTGATCTACCCAGCAATGCCAGTGAGAGCAATGGAATATGGAGCTCGGTGTCTGTAAACAAACATCGAGCCCCATCGCATACGAAGTGGGTAAAGCCATGGGCCTACCTGTCTGCTTACTACCTATGCTGCGATCTTCCTATGCCACGTTGTCGGTGCCTGAGATTTGATGTACGTGATGCGGCGTAGTCGTTCTGGATGTCGTTTGGACGAAGACTGTCCCGCAGGAACTGTGGCACAGGGTGGCATTTCTTTCCCATTTCTTGATGCAAGGCATGTTCAACCCTGGTTCCGAGGTGTCAAGTGTCAGATTTATTGGGCCGGGTGGAGTCTGCATATCTCTCTCTCGTGTCGTTCCGAAGACTTCACTTCTTGCTTTCCACCGACTTGCCATTTCTCCTCTGCCCAACGAAGCTACAGTGTTACCGCAAACGCAATTGATGAATGGTGGCTAGGAAACCTGCCCAGGCCCCTGCATTGGCGGGATGTGCTTGTTACTGCGAACGGCTGCGGTCGGCGACGATCACGGACGCGGATTGGGCGGGATTAGGGCGGAATGGAGGTGAAGTGAATGGACAGAGTCATCACGGACAGCGAGGTAGCCTGCCCTCCCCTGCCCTGCCCTGCCTTCTCTCTCACGTGCTTTGGATGATGCTGATGATGATGTGGAAAGATGCATTCGATCCTTGGTGCTGCGTTGTCGCGCACAGGGCAGCGCAGCGCACGAGCTACCTATCTACCTACTATCCGTGGCTTTGTCGCCCCCTCTGCGAGGTGGTTGCAAGCCACCTTATAATTTAGCCAAAATCGACACTTTACATTATAATACCAACACTACACCATCAGATCCACTATATTAATTTCCTAACCGCTTCTATACGTACTTATTGAATTTCTAACAATGCCTCGTGCCCGTAAAACCGCTAGTGCGCGTGTACGCCGCCCCGTCGCGAAATTGACGCCCTACGTACACGAAGAAAACCGTATTTAGGCCGTTTTAGATAGGATACTATCCTTCCACTACGACTACGACGATTACGTACCTAATATTAAGCAATAGTCTACCGACGAGCACGTTAACTATTAGAAGCTTCGCTTCCGGTATCTAAAGGTTATAGGTCGTCGTAGTAGTCGTAGTGCCCTCACTAAGCGACAGCCACTAAACACGAAGATAAAGCCTACTTAGCAAACAGCCCTCCTTAAATACTACTATAGGCGCGAGCTAATAGGCCTAGATATTCCTACACGATTGCTATACGTTACTGCTAATAATATCCTTCTTCGTAACGCGCTAGATCTACTCAATCTACCGACGGTAGATAGGCGCTAGACAAAGAGGTTTATAAAGGAATACGGGCTTTACTAAGTACTATAAAAGCCGATTGAAATAGTACGGAAGGAGGCCTATAAACCTAAGCGGATAAGACGATAGTATATACGGCTACGAGAGACAATAGCATACTATAAGATTGCTGATCTACGGCTAATATAGAACTTCGATAAGACTGGTTTCCGGATTAGTATTAGAGGTAAGGAATACGTCGTTATAATAGACCCGAAACGTCGCTCTTAGAGCGCTTCTAAGACCAACCGGAAGCATATAACCTCTATTGAATTAGTTAATACCGCCGGTAACTCTATTCCACCTATGCTAATTGCTGCTAGTAAGGTGCTCTAAGAACGGTAGTTTACTAACCTGTCCGCGTCTACGCTAGTAGACATAACAGAAAGTAGTTATATAAACGACAACTCGGCCTACTACTACATCTAGCACTTCTACAAATACTCGAAACGATATATAGCTAACGAGGACTAGTAGCGTATACTAATATGCGACAATTACGGCTCTTACGACTTCTAAGAGTTCCTGGAATTTGTATAGTCTTATAAGATAGTAATCTTCGGCCTACTAGCTTATATATTATATTTCCTTCAACCGCTAGATATAGTCCTATTCTAGCCATTCAAACACTATTACAAACAGGCTGTAATAGACGCTATACGTACTGGTTGTGTTCAGTTTAGTATAACCGAGTTTATAGCCGCAATCGACTCTATTCGAGCTAATATATTCAAACCGAGTAGTATCAAATCCTCTTTCCGTAAGACAGGCCTCTTTCTATACGATCCGGAGCGCGCTATAACGTTCCTTCGGCTGGAATACAACGCTAGAGACAGTATATAATACTAGCAACAATACGAACGATTAGACGCGCTTGCTATCGACTATTCCGACCGAGTTATAGACTCGGCTAGAAGCCTAGAATACCTCCGCGGGGATGACTATTTACTAACAATTCCCTAGCGCCTATATAACTTAGAGGTGCCTAGGCCGGCAATAGAGAGTCGGACTGGATTAATAAGTATGCGGACTACTATAAGGCATACCGACTTCCTCTAATAGAGGCTCGAAGGCCTCCTGTCGTTACTATTAGCTAGTGTTGTAAGGCGGCTATTTATCTATACTGAAGTCAACTCTTAATTAGCCGCCTAAGCAACCTTTGACCTCTCTCAAACCGAGGCGGCAACTCGGGCACGTAAACGACGAGAAGAAGCGTCTTCGAGGCCTATTATCACTAGTAGACTATTGTATACTAGACAAGCAAGGAGGGCCATTAAGAAGCGGAGGTTTAACGACTAAGAGGCGGCACTAAACTAAGCAAGAGATAAGGCTAGGCGATTAAGGACATAATAGACCAACTATAAGAAGCGCTGTCGCAAGGCTATTAATATAAGCGTTAAGGGCCGTGCAAATATAAAGGTCAAGGTCCAACCATTACGTAAGATAGGCTATAACCTATAGTCGACTGCTAGTTAATTAGTAAAGACTTATAAGCCTACTAAGCCATTATTGGAAGCGCTCAAAGTCTTCCCTATTACACGTATACATATTAAGATTGCTAGAGCTAAGAAGACTATCGTTTCTATCTATAACGTACTTACCTGCGGTAGTAAGCCTAGTAGTAATATTAATCCGGATACTGAAGAAGAAGGTCTACTTAAACCCTTATATAAGCTTGTTATATAGACTTATAAAGAAGAGGCCCGCAGGCAGTAACAAGCTATAGTTGCTGCTAGGAAGGCGGCTAAGGAGCGCTTAATAAAGCAGTTTAGAAGAGACAATAGTATAATATATAGCAGCGATTTTAGTAGTAGCGACAGTAACGGTGATAAGCTAATACCTGTCAATTAGCATATACAGCCTGCTATACTACTACGTAGTCTATCTAATAGGCACGAGTTGCCTATTAGATCGTTACCGCCGTTGCTACCTTCTTCGCTATAGTCGCCTGCTAAGCTGGCCTCTAGAGGGCTATTACCTAGCAATAGCGAGGAAACATAGCAATATAGTGAACCTACAACACTACCTAATGGTCTATATTATATATAGAGGTCTTCAATATATTCTACAGGTCTTGTTTGCTCACTTTGGCACCATTCTGACGGTGTGGTGCGGCATTATAATGTAAAGTGTCGATTTTGGCTAAATTATAAGGTGGCTTGCAACCACCTCGCAGAGGGGGCGACAAAGCCACGGATAGACCACCCAGACGCCGTTTGAAGTGACAGGGGCTTGCATCGCAATGGAGAAGATTCCACGCAATGGAAAGCACCGAGTATCTCCCAGTCATCGCTCCTCGCTCCTCGCTCCTCACCCCTCGCGACTGCCCAATGTTTGTCCGCCACGACGCTGCTGCTCGCGGTCCCGTCATTCATCGCCGCATCATCCACTGCCCGACCTTGAACATTACTACTGTACATCCGATCCCTTACAGTCCTAGTGTGGTAGCGTTCTGTTCTTGCATAACCCTGCCAACCCTACACCACCAAGCGCAGACCGCGATCCCACCACCCATCCCCAAGATATCCATACCTTCGACGAAATAGGCGTTTGTTTACTGCGCAATGGGTAACCTGTTGTCGTCGTCCGGTGCTCCTAAGGAGAAGCTCGAAGCCGCCGAGAGGGACCTCAAGTCACGCGACGACACCATTGCAGCCAAGGAGAGAGAAGTGGAGCAATTGCAGAAGGAGCTTCACGATACAAAACACAAGGCCGACAATGCAACCTCCGAGGCGACCAGCCTGAAAGCCAAGCTGGCCCAGCTCGAATCTCAGCTCAAGCAGTTGCAGGCGGAGAGAGAAGAGCTGGTTGGAGGGCTCACCACCCAATTGGACAAGATCCAGAAGGACTCGGCACAGAAGAGCGCGGCTTATGATCGCATGTCGCAGTCGATCTCGCAGGAACGTGACCAGGCCCGGAAAGAGCTGAGCGCCGTCCAAGAAAAGTTTGCCACCTACGAGGCCAGCAGGCAGAAGCTTGAGAATGACCTCGCTGCCACCAAGAAGGAGCTCGACGAGGCTAAGCAGGCCAAGACCGATCTGGAGACCACATTGAGAAACGAGCTTGCCACATTTCAACAGCAATTGTCCGAGTCGAAGCAGAAGCACGACTCACTGCAAAGCGCGCATACCACTCTCGAGAGCAAGTTGGAGAGTGTCAAGAGCGAGGCTGATGCCAGCCTTGCCGCAGCAAAGAAGGATCTTGCCGAGAGTCAAGCCAAGATTGTCGCCCTCCAGACTTCGAGCGAGTCAGCTGCCAAAGACTCTGAAACCAAGCTTGCATCCGCGCAGCAAGAGCTTGCGCAGGCGAAGGAGAAGCTCGCGGCTCTCCAAGCATCTACCGACAAAGCTAGCAAGGAATCCGAAGAGAAGCTCGCTGCTGCTCAGAAGCAAATCTCAGACGCTACAGCAAAGATCGCATCCCTCGAACAGGCCAACAGCAACCTCAAGAAGACGTCCGAGGATGGCGCCAAGGCTGCTGAGGAGCTGAGCAATGTTCAAAACAAGCTTGCCGCCCTTCAGAATCAGTATGATGATCTCAAGGCCAAGTCAGAGTCCGAGCTCGCCAACGCCAAGCAGACCATCGATAAAACCCGCACCGAACACGCGTCGCTTCAAGTCTCGCATAACAAGCTTTTCGAGGAGCTACGCGCCATTAAGCAGGCTCTAGCTGACGAGAAGAAGAAAGAGGCGAATCTCGAGGAATCAAGCAAGGTGGAAATTGACAAGTACAAGGCGCAGATCGAGAAGCTTAAGACGAGCGGCGCTACCAGCGACGAGGCGACCAAGAAGCTGAAGGAGGCACACGAGGCTGAGCTTGCAAAGGTCAAGGCGTTGGCGGATGAGGCTTCATCGAAGGTCAAGACGGTTGAGCAAGAGAGTGCGGCACTCAAGAAGCAGCAAGAAGATTCCGAGGCCAAGCTCGCCGAGCTTAAGCAAGCCAACGAGAGCAGTCACAGCAAGATCGCCGAGGCGGAGGAGAAGGTGAAGGCTGCTGAGACGGTAAGTCTGACGACGCCGTACACCAGCTACCATGTACTAACATTGATTTAGGAGAAAGCGACCCTCGCATCCAAGCTCGCCGAACTCGAAGCTCAACACGCCAAGACCGCCGACACGCAGCACGACCTGACCGCCCAGCTTACCAAAGCCGAGCAGGACCTTGAGGCCGCCAAGAAAGAGAAAGAAGAGGCATCGAAGAAGGCCGACGAGCTCGAAAGCGTGCAGAAGAAGCTTGCCGAAGCAGAACAGGCTCGAGAAGAGGCCGAGAAGAAAGCTGCTGCCCTCGAGAGTGAGCTCAAGGGGCTGAAGGAGGCAGGGCACCCCCCCGCTGTCAACGGCGTAGACGAGGCTGCACATGCCGTCACGGCTGCTGCATAAAAGAAGCAGCAGCAGCGGAATTGGACATGATCTTTCCGAGCGACGTTCGTGCGAAAAGAGCTTTGAGGATGGGATGGGTTAGGATACGATGTGACTGCTTGCGATTGGAATTTGAATTCTAGTACCCTGTGTGATTGACGTGGCTTTTTTCGATACCCCCCCCGATCATTGCATTCATTTGAGCGTTTGCGCTTGGAAGTCTCGAAACTATCAATAGGTAGTAGTAGTGGTAGTAGCGGTCGTAGATTGAAGAAGCTGGGTTCGTAGTTGGGGAATGTCTGTGCTGTGAGTAAGGACTGTATGTAGATTGTAAAAATTGAAGGTTTGAAAGTTCTCAGGCCTTTGGGGCTTTTGATTCTGGAAGTTACGGTTCTGGTATTCTAGGGATGGGTCTGGGACGAGAAAGAAAGATAGAAGGCTTCCTGGTCAACATTCTCCACAGATCATCCATATACCTTCGACCCTCCTCCCATCACTTGCATCGCCTCATCCCAACACCCGAAGCCTGCTTTATTCTACCACTCTTCCTCCCCCAGAAACAAAACCAAACCACCCCCAACATTTCCTCCACCCTCTCTCTCCCTCCAGAATCCTCGCTGCGACTCCAACCCCTCCTTTAATGGCCTCCTTCCGCGCAGACGCGACTTGGCGTCGTATGCTTATCCATACTACTCCTACTACTACTCTGTACTTCGAGATGAAACTCCATGCTAACGCGACGTACTGGAATCGCCACGTGGTGCCCATGAGGCGTATCCCCGCTCTAGAGCGATATATGGAGGTGGATCCGGAATTGAAGAGGACGTGTTGGGGGAGGTTCATGAGTGTGTTTTGAGGGTTTTTGGTGCGGTCGAGTGAGGAACATGGTAGGGCGGCTTCGGGGAGAAGTTAGGTGTTGTGGAAGGTTTCACGTCTCGTCGAAGCGTAGAAGAATGCGTTACAGTACCAGCTGACCAGGCCGAAGAACAACTTGAGGGCTAGCTTACAGTACGCTAGACGCCATATACTGCCTTCGCCGCCGCCACGCTGTACCTCAACTCAACGCCACCCTACGCCATTTCGTTTTGGGAAGGTGAAGGTGCATGACGGTATGCCAAGCTGTTTGAACCCTTCGCCACTGGTTTGCTTGGTCGAGCTTAACATTGCTTGTCCCTTAACTTATCTAAGTCACCGTCTTTCCGCCACACGGACTGCTACCGAATCATCTTGCACGACAGCCAAAGACGTCACAGCACTCTCTAGTGCCATCGTCCCTCCTGCAATGCACGCACCTCTCTCCTCTTCTGGAAGCTCGGATGCCAGCTTCTGGTGCCGGGAACCGCGATGGACTACGCAATTCAACCCGGTATCACGCATGAGATGGCTTGGAAGTGGTTGCTGCAGATGCGGATGGACTTGGGCCTGGTCGATATACTTTGCTTCGTGGTTTTGCAGCTTCCCTTCTTCCGTCACAACACTCACTCATCATGAAGGTAGTACCGCTATTCTCTGTGGCTTTGGGCGCAAGCGAAGTGCTGGGCTCGCAGAGCCCTCACCGAAAAGCACCGGCGAAACCAAAGAGGAGCTTCGAAGCTCCAAGAGTGAGTGCCAGGAGTACATCCAAATCGACACCTTACTTGACCAACAAGACCAAGGGTATGTGTAAATCCTGCTATCAGCAGACTTGGCCAATTTCTGACGCTGCACAGAGTTCGAGGTTGATGGCAGCAAACTGCCTCAGGTTCCCTTCGACATTGGCGAGTCATACGCAGGGACTCTGCCAATCAGTGACAATTCGACAGACGAGAACCGGTTGTTTTTCTGGTTCTTCCCATCCGAGAATCCCAAAGCGTGTGATGAGATCACAATCTGGCTGAACGGTGGACCTGGGTGTTCGTCTCTAGATGGCTTGTTCCAAGAGAACGGACCTTTCCTGTGGCAATCCGGCACTTACAGCCCTGTTCCAAACCCATATTCGTGGACGAATCTGACCAACATCGTATACGTGGACCAGCCCATCGGCACTGGCTTCAGCCCAGCTGCAGAGGGAGCGCCAGGCAAGATCATCAATGAGGAGATCGTGGCCAAGGACTTCATGGCTTTCTGGAAGAACTTCATCGAGACTTTTGATTTGACTGGACGAAAGGTGTACATCACGGGAGAATCATACGCTGGTCAATACATTCCATATATTTCATACTACATGCTGGAAGCCAATAACACCGACTACTACGATGTCAAAGGCATCCAAATCAACGACCCGTCTATCAACGAGGACGACGTGCTCACCTACGCACCCTCAGTATGGCACCTGAACCACTACTCCAACATTTTCGGCCTCAACGAGACTTTCATGAAGGAGATCAACGAGCGAGCTGAGAAATGCGGTTACTTCAAATGGATGGAAACAGCACTCACTTTCCCGCCAGACGGTCCACTTCCGGCAGCTCCCAATGCATCTGCTCCAGGTTGCGCCGTTTGGGATGACATTGTCACAGCGGAAATCTACGTCAACCCATGCTTCAACGTCTACCACTTGACCGACTACTGCCCGTTCCTGTGGGACGAGCTCGGATTCCCATCCCTCGCCTGGGGCCCGAACAACTACTTCAACCAGTCAGATGTGCAGAAAGCAATCCACGCACCACCAACCGACTACGCCATCTGCGGCGACGACGACCTTGGCCTGAACGTCAAACCCTACGACCGCAGCGTCCCAAGCGCACTCGGGCCTCTGCCTCGCGTCATTGAGAAGACGAACAACGTCCTCCTCGGACACGGCTGGCTGGACTTCTTGCTCTTCGCCAACGGATCTCTCGCCACAATTCAAAACATGACTTGGAATGGCAAGCAAGGATTCCAGAAACGACCTTCTGATCCCTTTTACGTTCCCTATCCACAAAATGACGGAATGGTCATCGATGAGATTTTGAACCAGCCCGTTCCTCCGATTCCGTTGTACACGAACTTGGCTGGAGCGGGAATTTTGGGAACTACGCATACTGAGCGGGGGTTGACGTTTTGTACGGTCAATGGGGCGGGCCATGAAATTCCACAATATGCGCCCGGAGCTGCGTTTCGACAGCTCGAGTTCTTGCTTGGCAGGATTCCAAGTTTGTCCACTGTTGGGCCTTATACTACTCAAATGGGAAGCGAGGGCAAGAAGACTGCTTCATAGACGGGCGGCATGAATCACCCCGATCAGGGGAAACGAGTTTGTCCCAACGATAGGATAATGCGCGCGTACGTTGATGGTGCTAATAGTCGAGTCGCCATCCGTAGACCTACAGCCTTTATGAAAAACCATGGAAAACAAAACTGTCCCCTGAGGAGACGTCCATGGTATACATCAGCCTATCTCTTCCCATTCATTACTCGTATCCCTATTGATTCCATCGACCTGTCTGCAATCATTCATTCATTCTCTCTCCCGATGTTTTCAATATCCTCGAGGCTTCACCCTACAACCTCCTCCCCTCAAGGCTCCGAACAGAGAAGCCCTTGCTCCAACTACAAGCAACCCTACCGTTAGCATAATCCATCCCCATCATCCATCCTCCTTCGCAACTTACAATCGGAAGCAAACAACACAACGCCTGCTGTCCCTCCGCACTGCACTGCTCGACGAATTGATCTGTAGATGTAATATCCTCGGGTGCTACCGGAAACGAAAACTTTCAGCTGTGATCCAAGTGGGACTGAGGAGACTCACGGTTGGCACAGTCCAAGCTGGCGAGATCTAAGACGTTTGTGGCGCAGCATTGTGGTTGGTAGTTGTTGGCATAGACTGCGGCATCTTGTCTGGCTGAGAGTCGGGTCAGGCCTGGGGCGGCGACGGCGAGGGTTGCGAAGGAGAGGGTGAGGAGTTGCATGGTGAGGTTTTTTTTTACTTGTTGAAGGTTGAAAGAAGAAGGAAGAAGGAGAAGATTAGGGATAGTTGTGATGAGGGCTCCACTAGCAGGAAGTCTGCTCTTTAAATCTTTCCTTTTTTTCCCCGATTCTCATCACATCACTGGCGCGTGTGTGTTTTTTTTTTCACTTCCCCTTCGAAAAACACCACTTACGTACGCCATGAAACTCCACCGTGGTCGCAGCAATCAGGTCCGACAATGTCTAGCCGAAATCGGTACGTTCTTTTAAACGACATTGAGATCGACTTGACTACTCGCCACTGGCAATCATCCTTCCAACAAACAAGGCCGATGCTGAACCCGCGTCTTGGTCTTGTGCATCTGTAGACGAGCGGACATGTCATTGCTGATCTGCCGATGGACCTGCGTTGACACTGGACAGCCACCTCATCGCTTGTCAAGAACCCTTGTCTTCCTTCGCGGTGATATAGGCTAGGCGTAGCGTCAGGAACTAGGAGGGTTATATAGTGAAGTGATGTCTATCGTGGCAGGAATTCCTTGTTTTTTGACCGCAAGGATCGACAGAATCCTTGTCGACCAAGCATCGGCAAGAATTGCTGCGCTGACACATTCGGGAAACGGCTAGGCGGAGAAATTCCTGTATGCGTCGATAGCGTGAATGGGGGATGTGAGGTGGTGGTGATGCGACTCGAGTGCATTCGTCGTCATTTTTTGTCGACTTCATCGTTTTTTTTTTGTCAGGTTGGATTGAAGGGTTAGAAGGTGGTGTCTCCTTTGTCGAATCATCATGGAGAAATCACAGCCATAGCTGTTGATTGTTGATTGTTATAATCACCTAATTACTTACAATTACTGTGATTGTAGATGTGATTGTTATATATGTGATTATATAATTATAATCACAATTAGTCGGTGTTTGAACCGTGTTTCTTAGGCAATCGAAGGCGATACCGCGGCGTATAAGTATCCCTTAATTTCGTAGTGTTTCTACCTCTTCTTTATACAAAATCGTATTAAGAATAGGTTAGAAGCGCGTAGAAGTAATCGAGGTAGGTTAATAGCGAATACTGTCTATTGCTATAGCTAATCGTATAGCTATCGGACAGCGAGTTAGAATCGGAGGTAGAGGTTATAGATACCTTACTATCGCTACTACCGCTACCGCCGCTATAGACTTAGACTTAGCCTGTCGATAAGAAGCCTAGCAATAAGAAGTCTATCGCTAATAGTGTATCTAGCGCTTCCGAGGAAGAAGAAGAAGAAGAACCGGTTACTAAGAGGCTTCGTAAGAACCCTAAGAAGACGGTAAAAGGTTAGGATTAGCTTAATTAATAGTATAAGGAAATAGAGGCTTAGTAGGCTATTATAGAAGGGTTGTTATAAGAGTCTCGCCGTGTGCTAAAGGAATACGAAGGTATAGAATACCGACTAATTGCGAAGAATGCCGAGCTCGACGTCTTTACTAAGAAGTAGGAGGCTTTCGAGGATTATATCCGTAAGAAGGGCAACTATATAGCCGTATATCTAGGGGACTGTCGCTATAAGGTGTATAGCGAGCGTATACTAAGGATAGAAGAGAGGGCGAAGCACTTTAGGTTTCTTAACCCCTACGCCTACGACCCTTATCTACTATATATAGGCGAGGAGTGTAAATTAAAGGTCGAGCTCGCTATATAGCGTACTCGTAACGCCTTATACGTCGAGGCTACCGCAAAGGAGTGTATTAGTAGCATTATAAAGGATTAGAATATAGAATAGTAGGAGTTGTTAGTATTCTAGTTGCTTGCGCGCCTGCCTATTCCTATTAATTATATCATTTAGAGTCTTTAAAGCCTAATAGGAACCTCCGGAGTCGACTAATCGAGCGGCCTCGGCTCGCGCCTTGAACCTTAGTAAGCCCTATTAAACTCAAATTTTCTAAACCTCTATCCTTTTATAACTTCTACTATTTCCTTACTATAGTAGAGATACGTAAAAACCCTAAGCCTTTATAACGGCTCTTAGAAAACTTCCGTAAGGGCTAAGAAACATAACGGGAAACGCAGGATAGGCAACGGATACTATTTACCTAAGATTCGAGCGATCTAAGCGACCTCGAAGATAGCGAAGCCGGAGAGGTACCAAATCCTATACTACTACTACTAAATCAACCTATACAACCTCCTTAGCTAATACCTAACCTATTATTCCTTCCTATATAGTCCTCCTCGTCCTTAGTAATACCTACGTAACCGATACCGATACCTATACTATCTAAGAAGCGAAAGAGAGCTAGCAATAGGCGTAATCCGGAGTTATAGTCTTATTCGAGACCTCTAAAGAATAGCGAGCCTAAGAGGGTTAAGAATAGCCGGCACCGAGTATTCTACTACAGACACTATAGTAACAACGATATAGAGCGCTTTTAGTCTTAATCTAGCAACGCCGCCGAGCACCTATTCTATAAGTATTAAATTATCGTTAGTCGTATAAAAGAGAAGGATAATAGTAAGAAACAGAGCGTAATCGGCTTCTTAGCTACTATTAGGAAGAACGCAGGTGTTAAGGCACAGAAGACCGTTAATATACTAAAGAACGCAGCGGATAAGAAGACCTTTAGATACGCTCTTGCTCGCTTTGTTATAGTACTTAGTGTCTTATATAGTACTATTGTAACGAAGGAGTTCAATAACCTAATACTAGCAGTTAACCTATAAGCTAAACACGTACTTCTACGCTTATACACGACCCTCTTTAGCTATATTCTTTACAACTTCGAGTATTAGCGAGAGCGCGTTAAACAAGCCTTATTAGGCGCCTTAAGCTGTATCTACGTTAGTACTAATACATAGAAGGCTTAGTATAGCAGGAAGCACTTCTAGGCTATTAATTGCTAGTATATTAATAATAAGGGCAAGTTAGTTTAAGTACTACTAGATTTTCTACCGCTTCTAGTCGGTTCTTATATAGGCGACTTCCTCGCGCTACTGCTCATTAATAGCTTTAAGGTCTTCAATATAATAGACAAGATCGGCTAGATAACGGCTAATAATAGCTCTAATAATAAGACCCTCTATATAGCCGTAGAGACCTTCATTCAAGTAGAAGGCTATAGCTACTTCCGGAAGCGCTATCTGCGCTATATTAGCTATATTATTAACCGGATAACGCAGGCATTTATATTCGCTAAGAATGAAGAGTCTACCGAGAGCGAGGAGTTTAAACTGTCTATAATAGACTCGGATAGCGACACAGTGTCTATCTCGAAGTAGCTAGATATAGACGTAGACTCCTTTACTAAGCAAGGTCTATTATAACGGCTGTTCTCACTCGCTAAGCTTCTACGCTAGAACGACAACTTCAACGTATTTAAGGAGGTATATAAGGTATAGCCTTTACTGCCTACTACAATACCTAAGATTCTAGGTAAAACACGCTAGAATAGATAGCTCCTTATAATTAAGGAGGCACTATAAACGAGGCTAATATTAAATAGCTTCTTCGATAGAATACCGCACTTAAGGGACGCTTAGCTTACTACCGAAGAATAGTCTGTTCTATAGTATACTTATAACTTCCTTATACTATTCAAAGAGGTCACTCTTAAGCTACAAGGCTACGTAGTAACACTAGATTAGTACTAAGAAGCTATAGAGTATATAAGAAGCTATCTTACTCGGTTAGTAGAAGATAACACTCGGCGTTAACCTCTTGTCCGTTTAATTTAGCTAGTAAGACAGCTATTCGATAAATACTATCGACTTAACTAATAGACCTGCGTCTATACCGCGGCAGTCCTTCTATATCTAACTCGAAGGCTCGCGTAGTTGAATAAGTGCTTAGCAATTAATATAGACGCCGCCTTATTAGAAGCTAGAGGTCTATAGTAAGACTATAAACAACGCTATAGATATAGCACTCCTTACTTAACTTCTAAGCGTAACCTCGAAGGTCTTACTAACCTAGAACGGTAGCAAATACAGTTATAAGCCGACCTTGTTACTAGCGACGAGGATGCCTTCGAAGCCTTTATCTATAGACTACCGATTAGCCTTCTAATCGTCGGCAAAGACTATAACAATAGGCCTGTTTCTATAACACTAATTAAGTAGTAGATATAGCAACAATCGGCTAATCTAGCACTCGTACGACTTACTATCGACCTATTGTCCGCATTCGCTATATCCGTAGAGTCCGAGCGGACCTTTAGTAAGAGCCGGCGTACGATATTATAGGAGCGGTTATTACTTAGTAGTAACACTATCCGGATAAGTAAGTGTTCAAAGAGTTAGCAGTCTATAGGCCTTGCTTATATACTATTAGAAGGGCTGTATTTACTAGAAGGCGCAGAGCACGAAGATAATATATTAATAACTACTAACAACGACTATAGTCTTTGAAATAGCACCCTTCTTAACTATAACGCTTACTACTATAGTAATTACATAATTATAGCGATTGTGATTGACGATTAATCACTCACCTAAGATTGTGATTGTAATAACGGTCAGGTGATTGTAATTAATCAACAATCAACAGCTATGATCACAGCATATCTTGTCGGCTACCATGTTCGAGACGCCAGGAAGAGCTCGTGTCAACTCTAGCCGCAGGAGTCAGAGATTTCTGTTGTTGAATGTGCAGTGCAGCAAGAGCTCGAAGGGATTCCAGAGGTAAGTGCCGTACATTTCTGCCGTTGCTGATGTGATGAGAAGACCGCAGATCGCTGTTATAGTCATGGTGAGAGGAGCTGTAATGAGCTGTCCAAACAATGCAGTGTTTGGCGTTCTGGCATTCGCTCTGACCGAGACAGTATGATGCTTGAGAAACTGCAAGCCATACACTGCCACTCAGGACAGATTTGAGCCTTTGACTGTTGAGGGTGTGTTCCTGTGCCTTCATTCTTATCGATGGCCCATCCGAAAATACCAAACAAGAACACAAAGAAGTTGATTAAGCTGCAACGACAGCCATCAAAGCACTAGCTTAATCAGCGAGACTCCCACCATACCATTAGTCCTATAGCCAACCCGAGCGCCAAAAGCGAGAGCACAACGTCCATGCTGTACTGTAACATCGATACCAGCAATGAACCCAATACCCGGAAAAGTTTTTCCAGGTGTAGGTGTGTCGATCTGGTGGCATTGGAATCAGATCTTCTATTCCGTCGTCAGCAAATGGTTAGAACTGCGGCCTCACAGGATGAAAATCTTACGCAAGGAAGTGTTGCCCTGTGATACCCGGAATTCTCGTCAACATGACATTCTACCAGTACTAGTATCTCCCATCCTCGTGTGCTGGTCCTTGATCTAGAACGGGCATTCATTGCTTCGAGGACTCCGGAAGTGGTCTTCAGATCAACATAAAAGTCACGTGCCATGCTGCAAGCAACCACTTTAGCCGCGCGGATGAATCCCACCAAGCCGTGCCTAAGTATCAGAGGCGAATCGAATCGAAGCGAGCTCCAAGTCACGAGATCGGGCAAGAGCTATCAGCACGAGAGCTCTGATGATGAAGTGATAGTAAAACTTGCCGTCTTCGGTATGAGGTAGCATCCAGTCTGGCGCCCAAAATCTCACCTCATCACTTCTTCCAAGCTTTCATTTTCTCCCTCTTATCAACATCCCGATAGGTATTCCACCATGGGCTCCATATCGCAAGAAGATTATCAAAACTCCTCATCTCCAATCCCCATCGTCGACTTCGCAGAATGGTACAAAGCAACCTCTCCCTCCGAAAAACTCTCCGTGGCAAAAAAATTGATCTCAGCATGTCAAGACCCAGGATTCGTCTACATAATCAACCACGGCGTGTCTGAAGATCTGCTCTCCGAAGCCTTCAGCGTCGCGAAGAAACTTTTCGATCTGCCTATGGAGGACAAGATGAAAGCCCCTCATCCCGACGGTCCGGATATTCATCGTGGGTATTCGCGTCCGGGTTTGGAGAAAGTGACGCAGTATATGGATGGTGATGAGACAGTTGGGGAGGCGTTGAGGGCAGTGGTGGATGTGAAGGAGAGTTATGAGATTGGGAGTGAGGAGTGTGAGAATCAGTACAATGTTTGGTTGCCGGAGGATGTGTAAGTTCCAGAACGAAACGATAGATTTGGAGTTCGGTGTTTGCTGATGTGGACTCGGACAGATATCCAGGGTTTCGAGAATTTACGACGAAATTCTTCTGGCACTGCAATGAAGCTGCTCAAGAGATTTTGCGAGCGATAGCTGTGGGATTGGAATTGGGGGACGATGAGTTTTTGGTCAAGTATCACTCTGGACATAATAATCAGCTTAGATTATTACATTATCCTCCTGTGCCGGCCGATGATCTGGAACAGGGGAAAGCGGCGAGGATCTCTGCGCATACGGATTGGGGAAGTATCACAATGTTGTTCCAGGATGGTTGTGGTGGACTTGAGGTGGAAGATAAGGACGGAAAGTTTGTGCCCGCGACACCGATTCCAGGAGCCTGTGTGATGAATGTGGGTGATCTGCTTATGCGGTGGAGCAACGATAAGTTGAAGTCGACTTTGCATCGTGTGACGCTTCCGCCATCGTCGGATAGCTATGATACTAGTTCTGGGAAGAGGATGACGAAGGCGAGGTATTCGATTCCTTATTTTGTGAGCCCGGATGCCTTCGCGAGGATAGAGTGTTTGCCGGCTTGTGTTGATGAGAAGCATCCAGTCAAGTATGAGCCGATTGTGCAGGATGACTACAGAAAGATGAGGGCGAAGGTGCAGTATAAGAAGACTGATACGGATACTGGTGCGACGCCTGTTGCGGTGGCTGGCTAGATGGGCTATCATCTCTGGAGACGAGAATATTATTTGAGATTAGCGACGTAGTGACTTTCGTAGCTCAAGTCGAACTGACATCGTTTGACATAGACTGGAGCAGATCTGTCATTCCACCAGGAACAGCATCCAAAAACTGGAGCTCTGCTTTCATATTCAGCATGAGCATAGTTTGCAATTCCTTCGCTGTCTCAACACATTCTGCTCCTGGCGAATGGTTGTCGTCGAGCATTTTGACAGCCTTCTTTCGGTCGCGACAACTCAGCGTCAGCAGGCCTTGAGATGTGCGAACATCTCTCGCGGCTAAGCTCAGATTTGTACTGCGAAGACCAAGCCATTCCATCTCAGGTGCAGCATGGTCTCTGCTCTCGTGAGCTAAAGCCTTCGAGCCATGCTTGTAAACACACAGAATGGCGATCCCATCTGGGTCGAAGTCCGCGAGACCATACACCAGCGGCGAAGAAAAGCCATTCTGCAGGGATGGCCTGCTGAGGAATCGCAACATGGCGCGAGATGACAGGTCCGGGTAGCCCTTGCCCGTCATGATGATGCCTTGGCGAATAATGGTGCTCCAGAGCTCAGAGCCAGCGATAGATCGAAATGTTGCTTCCTTCTCGATGACCAAAATCCACTTGACCTTAGACATGCTGACGCTGAGAATGTCCTTCAGAGACGGAATCAAAGTGCCTTCTTGATCCTCACTGGCATCAATAACGGATCCATCTCTGCGACACAACTCAAAGGCACCAGCAAAGAGTCCTTTGGCGGCTGCGGTGACATTGAGCGTAGACCGAGGAACACCGAAGGTAAAGGCGATGTCATCTACGTATCGGTCCACATGTTTCTGGCTACCAAATAGAGCAGGATCTCGATAGAACATGTCTCTGCTGAAAGTGAGCAGCAACTGTGTGCGCAAAAGGAGGACCACGGTTTACCTTTTTGAGATGACCACGTCGTTGCGGAGTGCTTCGTGCAGAAGCTCCATGATTCGAAGAACCACAGCTAATGAGTCGGTCAGACACTGTTTCTACATTGAGAGTCTTCTTCATGAATACCGAATCTCCAGGCTTCATCTTCGGACCTGCCAGGGAAGCGGAGCGTCCTGCCGGGAAGTTTGATATTTTTGGATTCTCCATCGTTCTGTTTCGACGACTTTTTGGGAGAGTTTGTGCGTCTTGTCTTAAGAGCGATACAGATGTCACTCTTGTCGTTCAGCAAGGCATCGACCATTTGCTCCATGACAGCTTCGATCTTGTCGATCACATGGCCACTGGAGAAGTTAACACGACTCAAAATTTCATATGGCTATACTGTACTTAGGGTATACTGTATCGACTGCGGCCCGTGTCGACAGTGACGATGCTTCATTCGGTGCGTAGGCTTGTGTAGGCGCGGTTGGCGACGCGTCGTGATCGTGCAGAATGTCATCTTGGCGAATTGAACAGTTCATATCAGCAGCTGTGTCGATTAGTGACCCTCGCCAAGAGGGCTCCAGCAATTCGATCTCGCTGAAGAGGTCGTCGAAGTCATCTTCATCCATTCTGATAATGGTGATGTTGATGAAGAAAGGTGAGAGGGGGCAGAAGAGTGCGATGGTGGAGTGGAGCGGAGCGGAGCGGAGCGCGGGCATGGCAGGACCCCTTCTTGGCAGCCTTGACGCGCCTTCCGCGCTCCAAGACGCGTTTCCGTGTCACTGCAAGCCGAGACAGCATCCAGACTTCACGGCGCACGCTTCAACATTCACTTGCCCGCGTGTCTGCCTGCTGTCCTGCTGTCCTACTGTCCTCAATGGCGGACGTCATCTCCTCACCGCCCGCTCCCCTTTCACGCAAACGCCCAGCACCCTCAGACGAGTCACCGCCAAGAGTTCCGCTGAACACCAAAGGCACGCAATTCATGATGCCGACACCCCCAGATACAGAGGAGTCCAGTAATGCTAGCCCAGACGGCAGCGTCAAAAATGACCATCGGAAGCGCGCAGCATCTCCAGCTCCGAGCTGCTGCACAATCGAGAACAGCATCGACGCCGCGTCAAGCAATGTCGGGCCTAATTCGAGCACCTCGAGCACCAATGCTGCAACCCAGCCTAATGCTCCGGCATCTACGTCCACGTCTACCACGCACTTTCCACCGGCCAAGCGTCGAAAGCTTACCCCGGCAGAGAAGCTGGAGCAGGCCCAAGCCAAGGAAGCCAGGGCACGCGAGGCTGCTGAGAAGAAGGCCCTAAAGGAGCAGCAGAAGGCGGAAGCCGAGGCAGAGAAGGCACGGAAGGCGGAGGAGAAAGCACGCAAAGAAGAGGAGAAGGCTGAAGAGAAGGCACGCAAGGACGAAGAGAAGGCGCGTAAAGATGAAGAAAAGCGTGCTAAAGCAGAAGAGAAGGAGGCGAAGAAGCGCGAAAAGGAGCTCGAGGAAGAGCGCAAAGCGCAAGAGAAACTCGCCAAAGAACGCAAGCAGATGAGACTGGGCGCCTTCTTTGCCGGTAAGCCATCAACACCAGCAAAGAGCAGTTCAGGTGGCGACGAGGAACAGCCACGGACTAGGCATAATTCGTTGTCCCTCGAGCCATTCGATGCAGTGGCAAGTCAGATCCGCTCATCTGCATCGCCTTCCAAGGGCACACCTCCGCCTACATCGGCCAAGAAGTCCAGTATTGGTGACTACAAGCGGACATTCCTCCCATTCCAGCTACCACCCACTGCAACCTTGGCACCTGTGCCGGAATTCTCTGAGGCAGACCAGGACCGATTTGACCATGAACTCAACGACCCATCAATTCAGGAGAAGTACGATCTCGGGCTCTGCACATCATACGCGAGCCTGAGCAACTACTTTGACGAGCAGAGCAAGAATGGACGTGGCCTTCCTGAGCCGAACATCGAGAAGATCGTTGATGCTCTTCGTGGTGTCAAGAACGGACCGATTGATTTGACCGGGGAAGTGGCGGATCAGTCTGGTGAAGGGGTTCTTCGGAGAATTCCAGTCAAGCAGATACATTTTGACGAGGACGTCAGACCAGACTATTGCGGCACATACACCCAGATCAAATCACCTAGACGCAAGCGAAAGGTATCGCGCAACCCCTTCACGCGCGCACGACCAGATACAGATTATGACGTGGACTCCGAGGCAGAATGGGAGGAGCCTGAGGAAGGCGACGAGGAAATCGGAGACGAGGAGGATGACGAGGCTGACAGCCAGGCCGATGCTGGTGAGATGGACGACTTCCTGGACGACGAAGACGATGTCAAGATCAAGCGAAAGATGGTCATTGACAGCCTGCCGCCGGAGAGCACAGGTCTATGCTGGGAGAACGAGAGAGGACGCATTCAGCACGTTGATGGCAATGACGTTGAAGATCAGCCAGAGGCGATGTCAGGTATGCGGCTTGGGTTCCTCCTTCCTGGCTTTACAGGCACGACAATCGACCCATTTTCGACATCATACTGGGACAAGCCAGCACCTGTGCCGGCCCAGCCACATGCACCAACTGCTTCCGATAACACTACTGGCCTCATGGGACCGCCGCGGCAGCCACTGCAGCCAAAACTGAACTTCTCAGGCACGCAGCCACAGCATGATCTCATCGGCGCTGCCGAAGGTCAGAAAGGTCCCATCACGAGCCTTGCAGCGTCTCAGGCCGCTAAGCGCGGACCTAAGCCAGCTCCAAAGACACTGAGTAAGGAGGACCTCGCAGAGTTCAAGGAAGCAGTTGTCGGTAGCCCACTGGGAAAGATCGAGCTGCAGAAGGGTTTGAAGAGCAGGTGAGTAGTATTGAATTTAGGAGGCGTTTGACCAGATACTGACTCATCAGTAGATTCCCGAAATTGACCAACGAGACGATAAAAGAGAATTTGAATACGCTCTTTGCGCAAAAAGGTGCAGGGAAGACCAAGCAGTGGGTCTATTTTGGCGACTCGTGAGTGGTACCCTGCTGCCGTATTGTGGTTGATGTACAGTATCAGCATTACATCCATCGCATCTGCCTGGAATACAGCATGATAGTGATCTTGCCGACCAGAGGCATGCATGATGAGCATTCTTTTATGAACGAATGGCAGAACAAATGTAACCTTACTTGGCAGATACAGAATATCTCATTTGGCGCCAGCCACTAATAGAGCTTGATGGGCATCCTAATCGCTTTTCACATCGACAATACCACTGCTCCTCAAATGCTTGCTCCTCGCCTTCTTGACACCTTCTTGAACCACAGGAATCTCACTTGGACGTCAGCAATGGCGTTACATTTTGATAACAACGCGTCACTTCTCCAGACGCGAGCTTCACATGCGTGCCCGTTGCCAAGGTTTCGGCACCATCGCTTGTCCTAGCAACCAGAATACATTTCAAGGGCTGACAACAACAACAACACGACTTTCTTCTCACTCTCGCCGACTCTTGCAACAGAAACCACAACATGGCGATGACCAAGCCGCGCAAGGTACGTCCCCCATCATCATATGCTCCGTACATCAACGCATGCTGACCAGCTACTGTGTAGAAACGCCCCGCCAAAGCTGCTGCTGAGGCATTCGGCATCGCCGAGATCCTTGAGATGATTCTGCTCGAGCTGGCCAAAGACCTTCAGCAGAACACGAAGCCGCGGAAGAAGCTTGAACCTGCGAACACGTTGGCGAAGCTTCGACGCGTCAACTCATTCTTCAAGGACTGCATCGATGGATCTACCCAACTCCAGACAGCACTCCAGCTCTCCACCTACGGAAAGCGCGACGTGCTCGCGCCATTGGACTGGTTGTTCAAGAAGCAGCTTGGCATCACCATCTCTTTCAGAGGCTTAGACGAGGGCTCGCGTCGCAGCAAGTTCAAGTTGCGCGAGGTTGATCTGAACCGAAACAGTATGGATCGGAAGCCACTGCGTGACTTCGTCCAGGCGAAGAACAAGAAGAGCGCCATGTGGCGCAAGATCCGCATCGCACGACCAGAAGATAATCTGCGAAAGATCACCATCGATACTACTTTCCGCCTTGGAGGTCTAAGCAGCGGTGTGCTCCGATTGGAACGGACAGTGTACCCCAAAGTCTTCGAATTCAGTGCCGATGACACACTAGGTTCAGTCTTCGAACTTTTCCGAGACAACGTGCTCAAAGCACACAGAGAGGATCGGAAGAGTTTCAAGCCCCCGAAAAACTTCCTTGTGATGGGCTCTTACAATGATTGGCAAGCAGGTGAAGAAGATCTGCGTTGGCTAGAAGACCCAAAACAATGAAGAGGGATCACAGATGGTCTGGTGATGCATAGAAGTCTGGACGTATGGTTTCCCTTCTACAAGAGCAGAGGTTGAAACGCTGCAGGTGTTCATGCCTCTGAGATTCTGACGCGCGCATTATCAGCGTCCTTGTTGTTAGAAGAAGTTCAACAAAAATGGAAAGATCGACTCAAGTGCGTTTTCTATCACGATTGGACAACTTTCCTCCAATGAACTACGTTTCGAGGGAGTACACACAGGCCTTCAAAGGCTGTATCCAGCCTCTAGTAAACACCCACACCTCCAAAACACACCTATCTCCCCAGCACCGCTGCCTCCCTTTCCATCACCGCTGCCTCCCTCCGCAACACCACCAACAACTCCTTCAGCCTCTCACTCAAAATCCTCGTAGCCATGTCCAACTCCTCCCTCAACCATCTCCTCCTCGCAACCTCCTCCTCCTCCCAAACCCTCTCCAACTCCCTCAGCACCAAAAGCAAATTCTGTCTCGGATCCTCCCCCAACGTCCCAATCACCCTCTCAAAACTCTCCCACTTCACCAAAACCCGAAAATCTTCTGCAACCAACCCACCTCCACCTGCAACTTGTCTTCCAATCCTCACAGTCTCGATGTCGGTTTTTATAATCGCCATGGGTTGGAGGTTGTATTGATTTGAGAGAGAACGTGTTGATGGTGGCGTTTGGAGAGGTGATGATGGTGATGATGGTGACTTTTTCCAAAAAGTGTGTTTCTATAGCGTCTGAACGCTCACGCGTGATCAGGCAGAAGGCGATTTCAACTGGCAGAGATCCCTGCTAGCCAGGAAATTGGGCAGAAAACGTAGCCTTCAGTGATGGGTTGTCTGGGAAGTGCCGATGTTGTGTAACAGAAGTGGCGGATGTCGACGTCCTCTTATTTTCCGAGCGCTGGCCCGTTCTCATTTGATGGGCCCGGACAATAGCTCACTTCATTCACTCACATGCGACCTCGCTTAACCCAGTATCGCTACTACGCCCACATGAATCGTGCATAGATCCAGACCCGAACACCATGATACCGGAACGCGACTAATGACAGCCAACCACAAAACTCCCATGGTGATCCGCACATAATAATACCGCCATATCCAGCGCAAACATGTCCCGCCGAGCCTTACAAGTTTCGCAAATGCTACCGCGCCTCAAAATGAGGGAAACCTACCAACTGATGGCTAAGTATACATCTCAGTCGTTGTCTTTGTCTTCCAGGTATGAACACAGTGATCCGAAAAGGACGAGTCGTATAAGGAATATCCTTCAGCGATTCCGAGTATGATCCAGGCTAAAAAGTTGATAGCTGCTATGGTGAGCATGGCAAGATAGAAGTATTGGCACGCGTCGATCTCTTCCACGACCGAGTAGGTATCCAGAATCTTTTCGCGGATTCGGGTATGCAGCACACAATCTTGAGCGTGAATGTTCCAGCTTTCTCGCATCGATGATGGAACTCGGTGATTGATTCGTATCCTGTCTCTGACTTGTCAGCAGTTGGATATACGCGCAAGAGGTCAAGAATTGTGACAGATGGTATGTGCGACGTCTCCTGCAAGCCCACATGCGGCTCGACCTGAAAAATGAAAGAGAGACAGTACTGTTCGTCCTTCACCAATGCTCATATCATTGCTAAGCAATGCTATCGTCCGATATACTTCAGCTCGAGGACTCTCACCGGCACGTAGGTAAAAGCAGTAACAACAAAAGCCAACTGATTGGCAATATCGCCACCGCTGGACCCAATAAGCTTGCCCAGTGGGCCAACATACCACCTGCAGAAGTGTCAGCAAAATCCTACGCGACAAAACGGAAAATAAAATTGCAACATACGTCTCAACCATACCCATAACCCAAGCAACCACGCCCAAAGCGAAAGCAGTGCCTCCGGCAATCCCAAGCGGAACTCGATTCGGATCATTCCAGCCTGCGAGATCGTAATTGTCGAAATCACCTTTTCGGAAAAAGTAATGCTCGGAGAACACGATCACAAAATAAGACGTACACCAGTATCCGAGCAGAGACAAGAAATTCTGCAGATACGTGAGGAGATGATTCCTGCCCGCAAGAGCAAGTGCCACAATCACCCCAAAACACAGAATCGTCCAGATGAAGCGGGGGACTTTGGCAAAAGGTCGAGAAAGTTGTTGACAGGATAATGCCGCGCTGTAGGTGTTCATGATGTTCATGTTGATGCCTGAGAGCACGAGTAAGACGAGGATGAACTTGGCGAAACCTTTGGGGTGCAGCATGTCTTCGATGAGGTAGCCCAATCCAGAATTTTTGTAAGCGTCTTTCCACTCTGGGCGGTTGTTGAGGGCGGAGCTGACGACGCAGCCCGAGACCATGCCGATGCTAGTTGGAATGGCGATGCCGAAGGTGGTCATCAGGAAGACTTTGACCCTGCTCACGTTCACGGCGTAGTGCACGTAGTAATCCGAAGCAATTGTTGCCCAACTGGCTGAAGAGCCGTAGACGATCGCGAGCAGGCTGAGCACCGTCCCGCTGAAGTCCAGACCTGTGAGGGAAGAAGGAGTCGAGTTGTCGGCATAAGGTCCCGTCATGCCGAAGACAATCATGAAGATGATGAAGTACACCAGCCAGGCATATTTCTCATAAACCAGAATCGCCCGAAGTCCAATGAAACTCACCACCAAACTGCAAACCGCAATAATAATAATCCCCACCACAATACTAACCCCCCCATTCGAAACCGCCGTCAACGCCAACCCCCCAGTAATACACCCCACAGCACTCCACCCCAACTGCTGAATCGTATTCAAAGCCGCAATGATCTTATTCGGATACCACCCCAGACTGTATCTCCCAATCGAAATCTGTCTCAAACCCGTCGCAGGGCCCATAGTAGCACAGAACCCGGAAACCGAAGCTCCCAGGATCGAAGCAAAGACGGTAATAAGAATACTCTGCTTCAAATCCAACCCAAACTCCCACCCCAAAAATCCCGTAGCGAAACATGAGATGTTCATCGTTCCGGAGGCCCAGATCAATGCCATGTTGAGTTGAGCGTGCCAGGGTTGAGGCTTGCGATCTTCGGGTCGTTTCCGGTCTATAGCTTCGGATTCGACTCCCAATTTTTTGTCCATTGTCGCTTCGAAATGTCGAAGGCGGGCGAAAATCCCATTGTCTTGATGGAGTGCCGGAGGGTGGCCTTTCTCGTGATCGCTGCTTCCATTGCGAGACTGTACTGTGTAGGTCGTAGCGGCGAGTTTTTCGCGCGTGGTCAGAGGTCTCTGTGGCCGGTCAGGAAGCTCAGTGATGAGCTCTTCTGGGGTGCCGTGCTCTACGTCCCGAGTCATCTTGTCTATGGATGGGAGGTTGAAAGACGAAGACGTCAATGAGCATGAGAGAGAAGTGCCGGACGAGGGCCTGAGGAGTCAAATACCTGCTGCTTCGAGATTTCGGCGCTGCTGGACCAAGTTCGGTGTTTGGCACAAGACGGGAAAGGCTTCACAAGGCCGTCGTGGCTATAATAGCCAACAGGAATCGGTCCAAATCGGGAAGTGTATCCAAGACCGGCGGTCGGTGTAGATTTAGTAGCCGCCCGCTCTATTAGTTATAAACGCGTTCCTATTTGTTTTGTTTGTTTTCTACCTCGTCGTCGCCGCCGCTACTACTACCCCTTCCTACTACTACCTCTTCCTACTATCGATTTAGAACTCGCTACTCTTTCTCTCTATTAAAATAGCTAACCTTATAAGCACCGATACCCTCGCTACCCTCTAAGAATTTAATACTACCTATGCTACGCCGCCGCTAGTCGAATTTCCGTAGCTTCTACTAGCGCTAACGACGCGTATTAACGTAGAGGTTTCTAAGAATAAGGAGAGCTCGGCGAACGACGAGGAGGGCTCGGCAGATAATAGCGGTATTAGAATATATCGAAATAGGCGCAAAATACGCGTTAAAGTTATTCTAGGTATCTATATAATACTCGATATACTAGACGACCTTCTATACTAGCGCTAGGCGATAATCGAGCTACCCGCTAAGTTAATATTTACTATCGCTACGTAGCGCTAACTATAGCTATATTAGTCTAACTTTTAGTATCGTAAGGAGGCTTACCGCGAGCTAAGTACTAAGTTATTATTAGAGTAGTAGGTATATAGAAATAGTAGAAAGTAGGCGACGACGTAAGGTTATAATAAGAAGCTACGGCCGAAGAAGATCGATAAAGCGCGCGGTTATATAAGAAGGGTTATATTAGTAGGTAGATAGGGTAGTCGTAAATTAGTATAGTATTCGATAGAGATCTAAAAGAAAAGGGAGGAAGGTAGGCTAGTTAGCCTAACGCTAAGCGCTAAGCCCTACCTAAGGCACCGAGACCCTAGCTTTACTTAGCCTAGTTATATGCTAATTACGTGTAACCTCTTTAGTCCTAATATACGCTTCTCTTCTAAAGGCCGCGCCCTCGTAGCCTATTTATATTACAACCTAATCTCCGTTACCGCTAACTTAGCAAACTAACTAAGCTATTTAGCCGCGCTAAATTAAACGCTTAACTATCTAATTATATAACTATATTAAACCTTACCTCCGACAATGTCTAACTTCTAACTGCGCTATTACTGCTACTATAGTAACAATAAGGGGTTATATAGCTATATAAATTAAAGGCTAGTAACTAATTATAATACGAGCGTACCTTCCTTACTATAATAGGTAGGTATACGGGGTATTGTAGTACTGCCCCCGTTCTAAGTAAGGTTGTCCGAGTTCTTTACGTCTACTTTTAAAAGACCTAGCAATGTCTGCTTCCGAGGGTTTGTCCGCTTCCGAGGGTTATTATTCTTATTATTACGAGGACTATTATTTACTATCGTAGTTTTACTAGCCCTAATTAGTTAGGTTTAGTAGCCTTCAATTGTCAATCTTATCTTATCTTTTTAGAAAAAACATAGCTTGTCTAGTTTCTATAGGTAAAGGCTATTATAAGTGTAGTAGTTAAGGTTCGCCTCGCTTAAAGGGTTAGAAAGATCGAGGAGTAACCTATTATCCGCAAGATCGACCCTAGCTAGCTTAGCTCTATAGTTTTTGCCCTTAGTTAGTCTATTAGTCGCTTAATCTTTTAGGCGGCTTAAAGTTTTAACTCGGCCTTAAAGTTTTAATCAAACCTTTAACAGGTTTAATAATAGTAGCGAGTAGGTAATGTTAATAACGGTAGCGCTAGTCGTCTTAGCGCTAACTTTACCTTCTTCTAATTTCCTTCTTTAACTAATAATAATATTAGTAACACCGTTACCGATATAGTCGCGTCGTCTTCCTCTTTCGAATAGCAATATACTCCGTAACACCGTTACTAATATAGCCGCGCCGGCCGCGCTATCCTCGCCGATTACCTAGGCCTCGAGGCCTCGATAGAATAAATAAATAAGAGGGGGACCTATAGGGCTCGGTAGTAGAGAGGTAGAGATCTTTTAGAAGAGCAGGTAATTAATTAACGCGTTATAGCGCGCTTATTAACACTCGGTGCGCGTTTACTATAGTAGTATAGTCTTATTGTCCCTTATTGCTAACAATTGCTTGCCTCTAATTAGTTAGCTAATAGCACCCCGGGGGTAGCATTGTTCCTAGGTAACATTATAGGCCCTTAGCCTTCTTCTTATTCTTTATACTAGTCTAATACTTATCTAACAACTTAGTTATATCTTTAAAAGAGTCTTTAGCCTCCTACGAGTCTTATTTAGGTAAATAGCCTTGCTATCTTAATAGGTACTCCTTCTTGCCTTTCTTAGTCCGGTACTATAGGATGCGTTCTATAGACTATAGCTCTTTACTATTAGCTAAGACTTCTTCTAACTTAGTAGGCGCTTCGTCGCCTTCGCGCTAGTAGTATAGTTTAAGGAGGGAGATATAGAAGGTGTTATAGATAGTGTAATAAGGTAGAAGCTATAACTAGTAGGCCTAGCTATTGCTCTTCGGCTCTCGGATTCGGAAGGGGCTAATAAACCGTAGTGCTAGTTTAGGTCGTATTCTGCTATTAGGTAATAGGTGTTTGCGGATACGGAGGTTCTTAGTGCTTAGTATAACTATATCGCCCTATTTGAAGGTTATTAGCGTATAGCGCTTATCGTAGTAGGCCTTTTAGTATTCTTAGGCCTTTGTTAGCTTCTTAGCTATCTTAGTATAGATTTCTCGCATCTTCTTAATACGTTCTATTGCCGCTAGTGTTTCTAGTACTTAACGCGCTTCCCTTTCCTTACGCTCGGCCTCGAGCGAGGTAAATAGATCTTATAGTAAGGCAGCATTTTGGCCTATTATAGCTATATATAGTAAAACCTTGGTTAATAAGTGTACGCTATTGTTATATACGAATTCTGTAGGCTATAGGAGGTTAACCTAATCCTCGGGGTTCTTATTAATATAGCTGCGTAGGTACTGCTATAGGGTAGTATTCTGCCTCTCTATTTGACCGTTAGTCTATAGATAGAAGGCTGTTAATAGCCGATACTTTAGTCTTAGCTATAAGCAAATCTCGCTCTAATAGTAAGATGTTAGTATCGATCTACGATTAGACACTATCCCTTTAGGGGTTCCCTAATAGGTATAGAAAATGTTGCTCTATAGCGCTTCTGCTATATTAATAGTAGTCTAATCCTTCCGCGCCGGGATATATCGAGCGCCTTTAGTAAATCGATCTACTATAATAAGGATAGCATTATATATATCCTTACTGCCTCTACGTTTAGTAAGTAGAAGGCCTATAATGAAATCCATTATAAGCTTTGTAAATAGCTTCCTAGGAATAGGAAGTAAAGACAACTCGCTAAATAGTAAGTGCTTTAGTGCTTTAATACGCTAGTATACTGTATAGGTCTATATATACTCCTTTATATGCCGCTTACTATTTAGCTAGTAGTATATGCGCGATAGTAACTCGTACGACCTCTCTATACTATAGTAACTAGCAAGCTTACTATTATAGTGTCGCTTTAAAAGCTCTTATCTAATCGATTATTTAGCGGGGATATAGTATCTGCTCTTAAACTTTAAGTAACCCTTGTTATCGATCGACTAGTTACTCTTACTAGATCGAGTCGCCTATCTACTTACAAGCCTATTAATACGTTTAAAAGCAAAGGCGTCCCTCTGCTAAGTACGCAATAGCTTATCTATAAACGATTAACTATCCTCGCTTACAAGGTTATTTAATAGCACCCGTACTATCGAACGAGGTACGTATTATATATATCTAATAGCACTAGCAGCCGGAACTACTATAACCTCTTCTATAGTACTATCGCTATATAGGCTATTACTATAGATAGCAATGTCTTTAATCGAGTTATTTGTTAGGGCTAAAGAGGCTACACGTAATTGGCATATAGTTAGGCCGAGTAAAGCCGGGGTCTCGGTGCCTTAGGCAGGGCTTGGCGCTTAGCGTTAGGCTAACTTGCCTGCCTTCCTCCCTCTCCTTTTAGATCTCTATCGAATACTACACTGATTTACCTACACCCTATCTACCTACTAATATAACCCTTCTTATATAGTATTCGATCTACCCTTTAAGGGCAGCAGCTAGATAGTCCTAATTTTAAGCTTTTAGCGGTATAGCTACGAATAAGACTAATCTAACTATATTGCGCCCGAAGAACGGGACCTATACGTACTATTCTATCGAAACAACCGTACCAATTATTAAGCAAGGCCTTCTATACGGCCTATTACACTAAGTTAATCGCACTAAGCCGATATCTACTAATTCCGCTATATCCGTATCTTAGGGGCCTACAATACATTATTAGTGTTACCCCCTATTATAATAATAGCCGGCTTATTACGAAGCAACAATAACCGTGCTACCGCTAGCAGCGCTAGCAACGACAACGCTAGTAGCACAGTGCCTACTAAAGTGCCTCCTACTAAAGAGCCTACCGGAGAGCCTATTAAAGAAGAACCTGTAATTCTAGGTAATAATCTAGAATTGCCTGTCGACGACATTCTTAACAATATTGTTAACCGTCGATATAGCTAACTAGCCTTTAGCCCCTAACTAGTAGGGAGACTCTAAGAAGCTACCTAAAACAGGCTCACTGCCCTACGTTAAGAACAACAGCTAAAGGATAACCTCCTCGAAATTCGCCGCCTTTAGGAGGCCCTAATAACTAATACTAAGCCGACAGTAGGGCCTTCCTTACTATTAGTCCTAGTCTAGAAGAAGGATGCTAAACTCAAGGACTGTACCGTGTTTAATAGCTCTAGTCGAAAGCAATATAACGACTATATACGTAATTGTAAGCTCAACTAGCGAAATGCACTAAGGGCTCTTCTAGACGACTATTCCTTAGTTGTTTAC